AATAGTTTTATACTTGTGTTACCCCGAGTAGGATAAGTTTTATACGCGCATGACCCCAAGTAGAATAATAGTTTTATACTCATACTATCCCAAGTAGGGTAATAATTTTATACTCGTGCAATCCCAAGTAGGTAAGTTGTATACTCATACAACCCCGAGTAGGGTAATAGTTTTATACTTGTGCAACTCTGAATAAGGTAATAATTTTGTACTTGTTTGAGTAAAACAACATAGGATTCATTCATACTCATCCTAAAGTAAAGGAGTATAATTTTACACTCAGATGATACAAATCTAACTCAGAGTCATTCTGCCAATGTATAATGTGAATCAATAGAGTTATAGGGTAAAAAATCGTATCATTGTAAGGTTGGTCTTTTTAATGTGGTGGGGAAGACTCGACAAATAACGACTTCGTTATTAGTATACAATTGTACTTGTGTCTTGTACATCACTAAGTACTATTCTAGATCTGTCGAGTCATCGTATTTCTTTTTGTCGAGTAGTTCCCATTTAAGTGGGAAAGGTGTTTCAATGAGTGTGTAGGTCGAAGCCGAAGTAAGGCTTTCACTGTAGGTTCTTTTGAAGGAGGGAATTAGACCATTGCTTCATCAGTGTGTTCGCGCCTAAGATTCTCCCTCTAGTGCCTTCTTCTTAGGCTTAATGATTTAACACTTGGATTAGGTGGCTTTCCCAATCTATGAGTAGGTTGACTTTTAGTTTGGTCCGAGTTTTCAAGTTTTGAACGTGTTCTATTGGTCGACACTAGCAATTGTTGGGTTCATGCTTGACCTGATGTTGTGGTCTCTTCTTGGTACATGTTTGACTTACTCGTTCGTTGTCGTTTTACAAAAGTTTTTACTTCGTTTTATAAGGTTTGAAACTTGATCGGCTTTATGCTATTTTTGAATTAGTTGCAAGTATTTGGTTGCTTTCTATTAGGTTTCATAGTGTTATTTTCAAACCATTTTTAGTTCTTGTGCTGCCTTTTATTGAATTTGCAATAACTTCATGTTATTCTATTCTTGTAGATTTTTTTATCTCCTTATGATTTCTTTATTGACATTCATTCATATGCTTCTTGAGGCTATTAATGACCATTACAGGGTCTATATCATCGTTAAAATTGGACATCGTCTGATTGCGGGTTAAAACCATGTGAGTGGAAGAGATCACGGTGATCATTTTTCCAAGTCATACGGTGAGTGTCAAATGTTCTTACCAGACTGATGGAAGTCAATAAGAGGATTTGATTATATCAATGGATCGTGTTCTAAGCTTTGACTTCATCTTCGACTTCGAGGATGTTAGAATGACTTCCTTTAAATATAGCAGAGACTAAAGACATTCTGACTCTTAAATCAGCTTCTAGACAAGAAAGAGAGTAGTGTATTTGAGAATGAGGAAGTGAGATTTACTTTTTAACTCAATTTCCTTATATAAGATTCAAAAGATAATAAAAATCAAAAATATGATATTGATAACCCAAAAGCTAATAATTAATAACCTAAAAAATAATAACTAATATAAGATATTATACAAAATAATAAATAAAAAATAATTAATAATATTAAATAAATAAACTAGTTATTACATAATATAATATATGAAACGTAATTAAATATCCAAATTCTTTTCTATTGTCATTTACATGTTTTTATGCTATCTTTATTCGTAAACTTAATTCAAAAGCTGTAAATAAAATGAAAAATTCAAATTTATAAATTTGCTGAAGTTATCACTTGTTAATATTGTACGACAAACGTTAACAAATATTATCTATGATCATTGTTTAAAATTCCCTCAAACACAAATAAAACATTAGCAAGTAAGATTAGTAAGAAAAAATAAATAAATTTTAACACGAAAGTATTTTTTTAATCAAATAAAAAATAACTAATTTTAGTGATAATTAAAAATATGTGAGAGCCTAATGAACATGGTGCTTTTTAGACTTCCATAATTCCCTCCACTCCGTATTTCAACTCAAATATTTAAAGTATTATTTTCGTAATTTTATTTTTTATCCTAACTTCTTTTTCTTTTTCTATTTGTGTATAATTTCTACATTTTCATCCCTTGAGACTTCCATTCCTTGGTTATTTGATTTTTTTTGTTATCATCTTTATTGAAAACTTTTTCTAACAATTAAATATAAGAGCATCTTCAAATGAAGTTACTACTAAGAGTTGTTTAAGAATAAAAGTGAATATGTTATTGTAAGTCTTAGATCTAAGTTACTTAAAAGTGAAGAAAGTTGCTTAAAATTAAAAGAAAATTACTAAGATAAACAATGTTGACAAAGTTTTAAGCAAGTCAATTATGTGACCCATAATAAAATGTTCAATTTTATTATTAAATAACTCTTGTTAAAAATTCCTTTTGAAAATGTCCTAAATAATTGTTAATATTATGTATAAATTACATATGTTCTATACTTAAATTATACAAACATACCTAAATTGATAATCTAAAATAGAATAACAAAAATAAGATTGAATTCTAAAAAACTAAACCCAAAATATATTTTTGAATTAATTTGTTTATAAATACATTTGAAATGTACCTTTTAGAATATATTTTAAAAAAATCAATTATAAAAACATAGTAAAAAAAAATGTATTTTGAAATATATTTTCAAAATTATATTTTTGGAAATATATTTCGCATTTTCATAATATATTTTCATAATTTATTTTTTCGAGAAAGGCGGTCTGGAATTGATTTTAAGCATTGTTTGATTTATTGGGATAACTAATTAGAAATTAATTTAAATAAGTATCTTTTGTTTGATGGATGAGATGTTTAAATAAAATATTAATTATTTTAAGTAATTTTTTATGGAAGAAATTTTATTAATATACTAAGTTATTTAAATTTGTTTATAATTATTTCATAATAAATTTATTAAAATAAATAAAATAAAATAAATAAGGAGATAAATAAAAAAGAGTCCCTTCTTTAAAATGATGAAATGCTTATTTTTTTAATTATTTCATTAAATAATTTATAATAAATAAATAAAATAAAATAAATGAGAAGAAAAAATATAAAAATAAATAATTTTTTAAAAATTGAATAAGAAAACTTATATTAGAATTAAATTAAATATGAGTTGCTATTATATAATAAATTTAGATTTTACATTTTTATGATAGTAAACTATTCATAATAATTACTCCTGAAAGATGCTGTTCAATTTTTTAATTAGAATAGATTTGAGTTTGAAATTTGTTGCGAAAATTCTCAGGTTCAAGTATTATGAATAAGAAATTTATTATAAAAAAATTCATTTGTCAAATTTGGAACTGGAATTGAATATATATATATATATATATATATATATATATATATTATAGATATACCATATTAATATCAAGAGACACTAATGAATAAAATACATATAAATTTTATTAATGACGAATAATATTAATTAATTTATTATTTTTATTTAAAAAACACACTCTTTATTTTTTTTATTAATTTTATGATATCCAAATAAATATTTTAGTCCTCTATATCAATTATAAGGTAAAATTGGACATTTCTTTAAATCATGATTTATTATCATAAAATTTATATGTGATGAGAATAAAATTGTTTAATAACAAAACCTAACAAAAAGTTTTAAATAAAAACAAAACCATTCATTAAAAAAAGTTTTAAATTAAACTATAATCACATTTTTTTACTTAAATCATTGTTAATAAAGTACCAATGATTTTTAATAACAACTTCAAAGCTCATATAAATCACAATAAATCAGTTGCAATTTATTCAATAAAATTCACAACAAAAGAAAATTGTATAAAAAATTGCGTTAGTGAATATTAATTGTTTAATGAACTATTATATATGTTTCGTATTACAGTTTTTTTTTCAATTTTAAAATTCCTGTATTAAATCATATTTTAATAATATTTCGGATGAAACACTTTTCAATATATTTTTAGATTATGATTTATGTAAAACGTTATTCAAAAACTTATATTTTGATGTAATATTTTGAATAGGTTACTCCAAAATGCCTTGAACAAAGTCTCGTATCATTCTTATGTCAGTTTTTTAATACAATTTACGTTCTTATTTGAAATAAGGCCTTCATTGAATCTCACATATTAGTCCAAATTAATTGATTCCTTTCTTCGTTATATGGATGATTAATTTGCATTTTTTTAAATAATTTAAAAAATACAAAAATACTTAATAAATACATGGTTGTAATTAAGAATCTAAAAAGTTAATTTCAAATTACATTTAAATTATTTTTTAAATAAATGTAAATTTTTTTAATCATGATTATACCATTGTTTAATAATATTATTATAACTCAAAAATATTTAATTCAAATAGAACTCAATAGTTATTTTGCAAAAGTTTGTAATAAATATACTGTTGTAATAATAAGAGTTAAAAAACTATTCATACAGTTGTTTTTATAAAACAAATAAATCTGATACATATGTTAACTCTAAATAACAAAAAACTACAAATATGTAAAATATAAAATATAAAATTTCATTTCACTATTTAATTTAATCATTTAGTAGCATTCTTTTATTTAATACAATATATAACTTTTAAAGGTAACAATAATAATATTTGAATTTTCTAAAATTAGTTTTAAAAATTTAGACTTCTTTATATATATATATATATATATATATATATATATATATATATATATATATATATAGCCACATCTCTTATTCTTACATCTATAGTTTTTTTTTTCTGATAATAAATTGAGAAATTAATATTTATAAAAAATGATAAAACAATGGAAATTTTTTGAAAAAGCTTTTAATATCCATTTTTTATATTGTATTTTATGTCGGCCAATAAACAGTTTTCTATTCCGTATTATTAAAGCAATTTTTTCCTATGTATTCTGTAGTCACTGCTTTCTTTATATTGACGGTCACAATTCACACAGCGGAAGACACCATCGTTCACTGATGGAAGCCTTATCTCTTGGACTGCGCGCGCCCCTACTATAAATGGAGCTTACTTCGTTCCTCAGCTTCGAAGCAGTTTCTAATGCTTCCTTAATCCCATTTTCTTGCAATCAACTTTGCTGCCGATGCTCCTTTCCCCTTCGTCGGCGCGATTATGGCTTCTGTTGGACTTCCAGATCAAAACCGTTTGTTCGGATCAAGCTGTGCACGGAAAAGAAAGGTTTGTCGCCAAACGGTTACGGTGGAACCGAAAGCGGAGAAACGAAACCTGATTTCGTCGAAGTCATTGGCATTGGCTCTAGGAAGGACGCTGTTTTTGATTTCTGCTTGAGCGCGCCGTTTCGGTGGCCGTCGCTGCGGTTTTGGTAATCGTCTACTTTCTTTTCAACGTTTTCGTGTTTTATATTTTTATTTCGGAATTGTTAATTTGAAACTGTTTTCCTTTACGTGTTTTTTGGCTTGAATGCGTGAGGCTTTTGGATTCATTTTAGGTGATTAAGTCATGCTTTGTTGTAGTGCATGCCTCAATGTTTTATTCATTTTTTTGATATAAAAGTGTAAGGGAGAGTTGAATAAGCAATAAACCTTATCTACGTCGAGAGGCTTGTTTGGGAAAGCGAGAAATCTTGAAGAATATTTGCGCCTGATACAAATTATTTGTAGACAATTAGCTTTTTCTAATGGCAAAGGATTGTAAATCCGTGTGTTGTTACTGTTGGATCATAGAAGATTATGATGAATTTTTAGCAGGCACCGTCTGATGAAAGATTGCTTAGTTCTATCACCGGTTTTGGAAGTGGAAACTTTACTGCATATGATTAAAATTTCGTTGTATTAGCGTGTGGTTATCAGGTAAAACCAAGGAAATGGACTGTTAACCTGAATGACGCAAAATTTATCTTCTGATGCTTTGAAAAGTATGAATGCTGGTATGGATTGGGGCAAACAAGCTCCCAAAATCTTTATTATACAAACAAATAGTTACTAATTTTGACACAAGTTAGTTACTTACCAAATTGTATAAGCCACGTAGCTGGCTTGATAATCATCTTCTCATTTCAATTAATTTCATTTTACTGATTATCTTATTCTCTCTGGTCTTGGTGACTCTACCATGTTTCCTGACATTGTATTTGAGCCATGGCATTGACTGTAAAAAGAAAATTCGCTGTGATGTATTGAGCTGAATAACTCATTTTCTTCCACTCACTTTCGCAGTATTTTAACTTTCTCTGATTTCATTTTCCCTTTCACTCATCAATTGTTCTGAATTATTTTGCGTCTTATCTTCTCAATAATGACATCCACAGCTCAGAAATATGATTCTTTGTGCTCTAGTTTGGGATTTCTGGTCTGGACCCCTAGAAGCTTTATTTGGTTGATTTTAGTTTGGTTCTTCTAAGATCTTTTGTCACTTGGTGTACTAATCCAATCCCAATTTTAGTGGTGCACAAGTTTGCTTCTTGTTCGGCACTCAGTGTTGCATCGTGATTAATCAAACTGTGTTTGTGAGCAATAGCAATTGACGCCTTCAATTTCACAGTGACTCAATATAGATCTTGAAAATAGTACATAAGTAGGGAGCAACCCTTATTTCACTAGCTGATTTTATGGGATTGTGTTAAAATTAAACTCACATTTGAAGGGTTTATTAATGGCGGAACACATGATCTTTTAAGGGTGTTTCTATGCCCTAAATTTGTCATGTGGTAGCTATGCTGTTTACATTTTGGTCTGTTGCAAGTTCTCCCCATGACTTTCAATGGAATGGAATGTCATTTCCAATATGTTTCGTTCATTATATCTCCCTTTTCTTTAAAGCTTTGGAGGATGACTTTTCCTCCTTTGTACTTTTCTTTTTGTCCTCTCTTTAATAAATTTGTTTCTCTTAGAGAAGTAAATATTTTACAAAAAAATATTAAGACTGGGCAAGTAAAGTTTATGGTATTTTAGAAACATCTCTCAGAGTAAACTAAAAATGACTTATGGTTTTAGTTTATTAAGTTACGTCTTCCATTCCAGATAACGTGGTTTAAATTCTTCTGGAATGGATTTATATTGTTTGTTTTTAAATTATAAATTTGTTTTAAGATAGCAATCTTCTGCAGGAGTATCCTCATGAAAGAATCAGAAGAGGTGCAATTACAACAAAGATCAATTGAAGAAGGTTTTCATTTGATTTATTATGACTTGATTATTCTTATCCTATAATTATACTCTGTCTACATAATATAGAAACATGTACTAGCATATTTTGTGATATCTAATTTGGGAGTAAAATGTTAAATTGCAATTTCCTTCTTGAGTAATTCTTTATTATAATATGCAATTCACCACAAAAAATGAAGCTTAATTTTTATTGAAAATAAAATAGAGAAAGAAAAAGTAAGTTCCTTGTTTTAACCATGAATTTCAATTGAAATACTCATACATATCTCATTGTTCTGTGGTTAGAAGGTACTAATATTCTGGGCTATCTACTGCAGAATCTCATCCAAGAATTGTCAAAGCTCCAGTATTTTTGAAGTCATGCTCAAAGACTATTGTCCTTGTTTGTACATTCCTTACCTTCAAAATCTTGCAATAAAACCTTTGTTTCAATAGTGGTAATACTAATCCACGGGTGTCGAAGTGATCTGGTCTGCTGTATCTCTTTCACCTGATGATGGTGAAACTTTCATAAGTCAACTGAGATTTTTAAATTCTTTTCAGCATAAAGAAACATGTTTGTTTGGTCGTAATTATGTGCTTTAGATAGTTTACAGCATGACTTAACATTATATTCCTTGCATGGTTAATTATTTTATGCAAAAGCCAAATCATAAAATGCATGATTCCAGCTAGCATAAAAATCGTTCGATGGCAAGTGACCTTTGTTCTCTCCTCCCCCCTCTCTTCTTTAGGTGGCCAGTGCAGGATATGGCTTGAACCACACTGTTGCAGCTGATATTTTTGAAACTGTAAGGTCCAGGAATGGATTAACAGTTGCGATAGTTATAAAGCCATTTAGATTTGAAGGGTTTAGACGACAAAATGAGGTATCTTTGACTCTTTGAATTGCATACATCTCTACTGTAATGGTGTAAGAAATTACAACTACAAAACATTCATGTAGTGTTTTGAACATTACCTTCTGCAATATGATGAATATTTCTGTGGGTTTTACACCTTACCGATTATGATTACTTGAGAAAATTCCTTTTAAAGATATTGGTCATCTTATTTATTCTTCACTTTATGATTACTTGAGAATCCTTGACTTATAATATGTTTTACAGTTAAATCATTTTTAGATCATATAGTCTGCTTAATACTTTTTTTGTGCCATAAATTCTTAGGTGAAAGCCTTGACGCAGAGACTTAAGGACCACACAAATTTACTTATTGGTGAGCTATATTTCATATGTTTGCTTGTTAAAGTTTGATTCTGACAAACTTCTTATCTGGCTCATTATTTTTGCCAATTAGAGTTAGTAATTAAAGGGAAGCTTTTACTTTTCTGGAAAAAAAAATTTGTATTTTAATCCTAATGTGTAGAAAAATATCACTGAAAAGGTCATCAATTTCTTGCTTTTGTCATGTCTGATGCATGTCCAAGGAGGAATATGTCACACAAGCTGTCTGTCTTAAACTGGTACCCAATATAAAAGAAAGATTGACTTTTATTCTAAAAGTAAAGTTGATACTGTCTTGTACTGTTGGCAAGGACTGATATAAGTGCAAAGTTTCTCTCCTACTTATGTTCTTTGACAGGTCTCTCTATTTATTTCATCTCACCTGTAAATAACTAACCTCTGAAAAATAGAAATAGAATCACTTATTTCACCTTTTATACTGTCTAACATACAGTCTTTCTAACTAATCGATCATTTTCTTTACCCTTTTGGAAAATAATCAATTATAATTTACTTTTAATTCAATCAACAAAAGGCCTCCAAAAACTATAAAATTTTGCTCAGTTGTTGATTTATGATACAGAAATTGATATTGATTCACTGCTTGAGAAAGACTTGTTGACTCTAGATGAGGCCATGAAGACTACTAATGATGCAGTTTTGCTAGCTATTAAGGCTGTCTCTGTTCTAAAATCTGTAAGTTTAGTTTTGTAGTATACTTCGTGCTATTTGTTTGTATAAACTATTATGTGGTTACAGATTAATAGTTTTGCAGGAGATGCACAGAAAATTTATAGATAGATTGAATGAGAGCATGAAAGAGGCCAGCCCTTCAGAAATTAATAAAGTAGGTTTCTATGATTTTTACCCTGATAGTTTAAAATCCTTTTTTCCACGAAAGTTATTTGATGATAGACTTGTTCATATTTTCCTTTAAACGGGACCGCACTTGAATATCAATATGCTCTTTTCTTTAATCCTGTTCATGTTTCCATTACCTTTCACACCATTCATTGTCAAACTGATGCTATTGTGTACAGATATTGGAATCCTATAGAGAAGCAGGGATTGGATTTGGAGCTGCTGATAACATCAAAGCTTCAATTTTGCAGCCTATATTTGAGAGTCCTTTCCTGGGTGTTCGTTTGAAGGTATCAGCCATTTTTTTCCATTTTCATGCATGATAGGTATTTTTTGTTTGTTGACGAATCACAATTTTTTCCAAAATATGTTGATTGTTATTAAATGCCATTGTTGTTGCTAACTCCTTTTTCAAAATGATTGACCCCTCTCTGCCATTGTTAGTGTAGTGCCTTTCTTTAAAGTTTATTTTAGACATTTAGCTATCACTTATTTCATTGAGTTTGATTTTCTTTTCCTCTACTGTATAAGCTTATTATAATTACTATTTTGTTCAGGATCCAAATAGCATAGTTATATGCACTATTGCATGTTCTGGACCCGTCGATGATAGAGATATAGCAATCTTTATTCGTACTTTTCGTCAAACAACAGATTACACAAAGGATATTATAGTATCAACAATACATGACCCTACTGTCGAGCCGAACCTACTCATAACAACAGTGCTTACACTTGGGTAAGTTTTATTTTTGTGGATAAAGAATAAATTTATCAAGACAGAATGGAAGACAAGTTGGGTAACTACATTTCTTGGAGATGTAAATATGAACACATGTTGTTAAACTTCTTTTTCCATGTGAGGATTATGAAAACGTATTAGTTTTTGTTTTTTATTTCTTTACACTGAAGTTCCTCTCACTTTGATAACAATAACTTCCTAATTGTTAGTGTTATTGCTAAGTTGAGATTGAGCATGATTTATCTACTTCTGACTCTAGAAATTTTAACCAGAGGATTTTATTCATTTGTTCTTTGCATCCACATGAGAGTTTTAAAAGATGGTTTGCTTGCTTTATTTTGTTACAATGAACTGTCTTCAATGGGCATATTGATTATGCATATCTTGTTAAGCACAAGTTTCAAGCTTTAAGCTTCATTTTTTTTTTGGCTGCGTTTCACATCAGCATGGCATCAATTGAGCAGTGGGATATTGTCTGTTTTGTAATGTTTGTTTTCTATCTTACTCCCTGTTTGGTTGAGAGGATGGGGAAGGATTGAAGAGGACGAAATTAATGCAGGGTGTTTGTGGAGAGAGGAAGATAAGAGAAGTAATCTTAAAAAATGATGAGGTCCACTGTATTATTTCTCACTTATTTTTCTACTCCTCTTTTCTATTTTTCTTCAACCAGACATTTAATTTCTACTATAGCTTTTATCTATTTACACTCCCCCAACTTTTTTTCAGCTAACTTGTTTCTTTTCTCTTTACCTGGCATAGCATTAGTGAAATTTCATATAAAATGACTTGAGAAAGAACTAGTGCTGTTCATTTCGAAATGAAGATTGAGTTTCATGTAATTTGAATTGAAAATATTGGGATTGAATAAAAAAATTGGTGCTAGATTTTGGAAAACAGGTAGAAAGTATGTATAATGAGTTTTCCATCAATTATATACGAATAATATGAGTTAGTTTGGATAAATTTCTCCATAAGCTTTTTTAGGACAGAAAAATAAGAAGAAAAAATGAAATGAGTTTTTTTTCGGTAAGTTAAAAATAAAATTTTAGAAAAATTATACTGAGATTTTCTATAAATTAGCTTACGCATAAGCTAATATTAGCTTATAGAGAAGTTCGTTTTGTTTTTTCTTCTTATTTCTCCTAGTAGTGCTTATGGAAAAGCTTGTCCTAAAAGATGTTATATTATTATCATTGGTTTAACATATAAAAAGAGGAATTTCAAACTGTTAAGTAGTTGTGCTCGGTTCTTGTAAGAATAAGTTTTGTAATATAAAGAGGAAGGTTTTGTTTCAAAGATGTGTTAACAGGATGAAACAATATATATGGGTTCTGTTATGTCTTTGATACATTTTAAAAACACCACATAACAAAATTAGAAGTTAAAAATGGCAAATGCTACTTAACATAGGTTCTCAAAATATTTGTTTTGACCATCCTTGGGACATAACACGACAGCTTCATTTGATGAATGTGCAAGGACTGGAATTATGAAGATTACTCTCAAATTAGCTAATTTTGTTGTTAAATGAAACAAAGCAAAGAAAACTACCGAGGGATCTTCAGTTTCTCTGTATTGCTCATATCCTAAACATTGTTTTTAAATAATATGTGCATACATTTTCTGAAACTAAAGTCGGGTATTTATATAAAAGACTTATTAGCTCATTAAATTATTACCCCAAATTACTAATAATTTCCTTTTGATCTGTATATTTTTTCCTTATTCCCTACACCATTTCTGATAGATTTATCGTTTCATTTAATTAGATGTTTAAATGTGCAACGATCTTCTCAGAATGGTGGGATACTATCCAGACTTGTACAGCATTTTCCTCTTATATTTAGCTTTTGGGGAAGACATAATCAGCAACAAGTTGGCCCTGCAAAGCAGACTGAAGTATTTCTTCCAGAAATGTTGATTTCTGTTGATGTTGATGAGAGGACAAATCGGATTGCTTCAGGTAACATAAATAGCAATTTTGACAAATACTGTGAGGAGTTGGAGCCAGCAATGAACAACATTAGCTCTGAATTGCCTGCTTCGAGGTTTTCACTATTTTAGTTCCTCACGAATTATTCGCATTTTTTTCAGCAAAATTTATCCTACTGTTTCACACTCATTTTACTTTTGAACTATTATAGGGGTTCTGGGAAAAGTGAAGATTTACTTGACACCACTTCCCACTATAACATCCTCTATGACTCTATTTCTGAAAGAGGTAATTTTGAGACAGAATCCAATTACTGTGTTGGATGCCTTAATATGTTTAGTAATTTCTTTTTGAGTTGTCTATTGTTCAATTTTATATCATGTTGCATTAGGGGACTCTGCTTTTCAAAGGGAGCAACTTGAGAACTGGAATCTGGGTCCTGGATTCGAGGTGGCAAAGAAATGGGCCCAAGAAAAAGCAGCTGATGCTACACCAATTGTTGATAACCTAAGCATCTTTCTCCTTCCTGTTGGTGTGAGGCCTTCAGAAGAGTTGAAAGAAAGACTGGAACTCTCATTTATGACAAAACAGCATGACCCAGATAATGATGATAATGATGTGAGAACACAAACATTAAATGGAGGTACGTCTCCTTGGAGTGTGGCAACTGATGCTAGTTTGGAAGCAGTTATGGAATTTGCATCTTCACTTCTGAAAGGCAAGAATGCTAATAAATCAAAGAAAAATGGAGTACTGTCTGTTCGTGCTGCGTCTATGTTGGTAATAATGATTCTGATATTTTTTTATAATATATGTTCATTTATTTATTACTGATAGAGAAATTGAGGAATATTATGATATTAGTGATATTTAAGGGAAATGTCTCACGTTATGTCAATAATGTGACAATTCAAACCACACACAGTTCTCCAAAATTAGATATGCATAGTTTTGCCATTTTCTACTCTGGTAGCTTTATATGTACTTTATATCTTCGTTTAGATTTCTTATCTTTTGCAGGAGTTCTTTCCCTTTAGTAAAGTTCTTCATTACTAAATAATAGAATAGAAAGTGGGGATAAAAAAGGCGTAGTCTCACTCTCTTATTATTAGCAGAAATATGAAAATACACATTTTAAAGTCTTTGCTACTTTACTTAAGTATGCCTTTTGAGAGTTACCCTAATTTAGCTTCAGTAATCAGTACAAAGGTGAAGTTAAATTTTTAAGGATGTTATCAAATGTGTAGCTTGTCGTTTCTCCAGATCAAGCTCCTACAGATGTGTCATACTACTGAGTTTCCTATTTTGCATGACAACATAGCTGTCCAAAGAAATAATTTCTGGACTATAATACCTCTGTTGTTTATCTAGCGCAAGGCACAACCGTTTTATGAGGTCAAAGTGTTCTTTAATGAATAACTATTACTAACTTTGTTGGAGTGAGATTTGTGAAAGTTTATTTTTGATAGCTATATTACTATTATTACTTTTAAATGAATATTTTGCATGTGCCATACTTTAGTAGTTGAGTGTTCAGTCCTTGGAAAATTTCCAAAATTTGGTTTTTGCCTCCCACTTTTGTCACTAATAATTTTAGGGATGATAAAATAGGTCAGTTAGCCAGTCAATGGGATGGGGCAGGTTGACCCACGGTAGTTAGGACAGGTTACAAATTTCAACCCTCCCAGCCAAAGGATGGGTTGATGGGCTAGCGGGCTAGCTTGCTAATAAATTTTTATATGTATCTCATTTAAAATATATTTTGATTATATAAATAATTTTTAAGTTTTTATCTATTAATTAATATTTTTATTAGATAAATTAAAAAGTTATTATATTTGTATTTAAAATAACTAATTATAATCAATAATTTAAACTTAATTAATTAATTTTAATAATTTAAATTATGATATTATAATATATTCATATATTTTAATATCATAATACAAAAAATATAATATTTTTAATATATAAATATTTTTTTAAAGCGGAGGGCTCATCCGCATTGCCATTTTTAGGTGGGCCAGAATGTTGGATCTAATTCGTTTTGTTATTCTTAAATATTTTTTGTTCCTGTAATTTTGAAAAATACTCAAACTTCTTAGCAAAGTTAACTAAGTTTGGATATTTAAAAAATATAGGAAGTAAAACCAATGTTTTGAATATACAGGGATAAAAACTAAAATTTGATTTTTTTTTTTTAATTTCCAGGGACTAAAACGCTATTAACCCTTATTGCAATCTTAATTCATACATAAGGATTCTAGATTAAACGTAATATTTTTCTACAGGAGGCAGAACGTGATTTGTCAAAAAAGTGGAGTCCTGTGGTGGAAATGCAATACAGGGGAGGAAGATACAAGGGACGATGCCAGGGAGGTCTGCCCGAAGGGAAGGTAAATTCTTAAAAGTCTATAGTAACAAGCAGACTAGGCTCGGGAAGTATGTTATTTCTTCTCTTTTTGCCTACGCAGTTCAATGCTGAAGATAACCAATTATGTTAAATGAAAATTTACAACCAGGGGCGTCTTGTTCTCGGAGATGGGAGCATATATGATGGCCTATGGCGGTATGGTAAGAGATCTGGTCCAGGTACATTCTATTTCAAAAACGGAGATATGTTTCAAGGATCGTGGAGGGATGATGTCATACATGGCAAGGTTTGCAACGTTTTTAAGTTGATTTTTTAGATATGATTGTCAAACCCAAAGATCAGACAAAAAATAATTTGTTTTTTAATATATAGGTTGGATTCTGTTACCAAAACGTCTTGTCTTTATGCCAGGGTAATCTATATACGTAGCTTGGTTAGGATCTATTATCGCTAGTAATAGTTACATCCTATAACTAAAAAAAATTGATTTTGATCTGTCTATATATCCAATTACTAGCAGTGGCTGCATTGATCGTGTACACCAATTTTCAAAATTGGATAGTAATTGCTGTGTATTGATCAAGCAGGGTTGGTTTTATTTTCACACTGGTGATCGGTGGTTTGCAAGCTTTTGGAAGGGAAAGGCTAATGGCGAGGGGCGATTCTACACAAAGTCCGGTGATGCCTTCTTTGGCAATTTCAAAGATGGATGGCGACATGGCCAGTTTCTCTGTATTAAATCGAACGGGACAAGGTTGGTTGGTTGGTCCTGTTAGTCTCTCCCTCAGTTATAAACAATTTGGGGTAGTCCTACCAATTCAATTATTAACATATGGTTTTCGATTTCATCAGCATGCTGGTTATGGTTCCTCAAACAACATATATATGCCCATCATTAAGATTTGCTTTGTGTCAGATGTGATATTGACTTACAGACGGAATATATATATATATATATATATATATATATATATATATATATATATATATATATATATATATGTATATATATATCAACATTGGACTTCAGCTTCAATGTGAAAACTAAGGGCCTTAATAAAAATATATATTAACAAAATCAATTAAGCCTGTTTTGTCATATATACCATGTGTTGTGCAGCTTTCAATTATTTTAATGCTAGGTTAAACATTTGTCTGGTTATTATTTTTATTGATAAAGATGTGTTATTTTTCTTTTAATAATTGAGGTCCTTATTTGGAACTCAATATTCGGTGATAAGAAGTCAATAAGAAAATAAACTGTTGCAGAAATAATAATGTTGCATTGGATAAGTGCGTTAGGCAAAAATTGGGGGTAGCACCTATTGTAGAAAAGATGACAGAAGTAGTCCAATTGCTAGAGGAGTGAATCTGTTAGGTTTCTTTACATATACATTTAATTTCTTAACAGAATCTGAGAAAACTATGCACAAAACCACAAAGGAGAGATCAATAAGCAAAATGTTTGGTTGTGCACGTCCTTATATAGTAACAACAGAAGTTCAATTCTATAATTGATTTAATTATAAAAAAAAATTGAGTTCACTTAATAGAGGTAGAAGTCTTGCAATGCAATATCACGAACTTGTGCTAGACTTTCATCATTGCATATTGAAAAGTCAGAATTTTAAATATTCTACCTTTTTGGCACTTGTAAATGGACATACTTGATGTGCGCGATAAATATTTTGCACTTAACGTGCCATTATGATTTCTTGTCACCAAATTGACATGCGTGTGCAACTGCCATATGAATAGGTACACTGAAATTTGGGATCATGGTGTTCGTGTAGATAGCAAGCATTTAGACAGATAACCGAGGTGGACGAATGCGGTACCCAATATTTTGTAATTACTGTGAATCTTACTCTTGTGTCGTTTTTTATGTTTATACATCTCTTTGTGTTGTATAATGCCTTTTTTTTTTTGTCTGCAAGCTGTGTTTTACTGTCATTTTCCCACGAAGGCAATCTATTCTTAATACAACTTGTTAGTATCCATCTTGATAGAACTTTGAGTAGATGTATGAAACAAAATCAATTGTTTTTTGTATTACTTTTAGCATATGAAACATGTATTAGTTTTTTGTATTAGTATTAGGTTTATCTAAAAATCCGTTTCATATTTCATTAAACCTTTTGTTTAGTTTGGGAGATTGACTAAAATGGCTCACTTTTGCAAACTAAATATCAAAATGGGCTATTTTGAAATAAAAACTTGCATGTAGCTGTTTTGAGGCTCTTTCTTCCTACACACAGTAGGAAGATCGACCCGCACCTCACAAAAAAATATAAATGACCCAATTGTCCTTAAATGTTTTGTTACATTTCATTGCACCTCCACAACCTTTTTATCCTTTCTGACTGAAGGATCATTCCTGGAAAAAATTCAACACTTTGGAAAGATCATTCAGAAGTACCCCTGAAATGAGCTTTTATCATAATGAAATTTTTGGAAAAGTTTAAAATTCATTATGTTCACCGTAATTGGAATGTCAATTTTTTACCAATCTTTCAGGCTTGTCTAATTGTTTAGCAAATCTCAGAGATTACGCATAGTATAATCATTCTAAGCATTCAAAGTGGCGGGATTCATAAAAAGACTATTTCAAAAATATTCTAACATATTTTTTAAAACATCATTTCGTAATCATAAATTTCTGTATGGGATGTTACAGAACAAGGTTTAGTGAGGATATAGCAAAGTTTAAAAGAAATTGTATGAAGATAATAATGTCATATATTTTTTGCATTTTTGGGGCATGCAGAGTGAGATTTGGAAAACAGTTTGAAATGCATTTTAAACATTTAACTTTAAACATTAATTACAACCGATTCAGATCGAAACTTGGTTTAAACTAAATTCATTGTGATTGAATAATTAAAGGAATATTTTTTTAAACATGTTTAATTACTACAAGATTTTATTTATTTTATAGTTGATTGTATGGATAGAATAAAAACTTAAATTAATAATATTTTTTAGTATAAGAAGAGAAGTAAGAAAAACGAGAGATAAGAAAGAATGCTGTTTAATTATGTGGTATACAAGGCACTTCAATGTTGATTGGTGTCTCTTTTAAGTTCAATCAAATTTTGGTTATATAACTGAGAATGAAACCAATAATATGTATCCATGCCATGATTACAAAAAAAAAATCGAATTTCGTTCTTAAGCATTTTCATCCATTCAAATTTCTTAGAAAAACATTTTTAGCTTGTTATCAGTAGCATACCATTTATTCCTCCGAAGAGGTACAAGCATAAGAGAGTCTGACTTACTAAAGGCAAACAAGTAAGCACAGGGATCGATCATCAATGGCACTTTCAATTGAACTATTAATTTCCTTCTTTACAGCTTCAATTTCTAAACTAGTTAAATAGGGATTGGGTTTCTTATTTCCTTTTCTACAGATTCAATTTCTAAACTAGTTAAATATCGACTGGTTTCTATGTTTCTCTAATTTATTGAGGGAAGAGAGGAGGAGTCATAGTTGATGTTGAGTATTGAGATGGGAAAATAGTTCCACTGGAACATAACGTTGCACAAAATTGTGCAAATGACAGAAAATTTGTACTAAGAAAAAGCGAAGACGAATTGAACCGCTTGTTACATCTTACACATGGTGTAAATGTACTTCTACTTGATAGAATTCTTCCATCAAATTTAGCAAAGTTAATATTTCTATTCAACCTTTCATCTAAGAGCACGTTGAACTTCCACATATAAGTCAGACAAGACAAGTGCAGTACATGCAATGAATACTTTATTCTTTAACACTCGTTCCTGCTGCATCATAGTGCCTGAGAGAATCAAGACTGAGGTGGAATTTCACCCATTAAAATAACAGTAAATGAGAAGTCATAAATATTTGCTTCAGAATGGTAAAAAAAAAAAAAGGTTAAATTATAAATAGAAATGCTTGAGTAAATGACCAACCTGCATTTTTGAGGAACCCTCCAGGAAACAACCGACAACTTCTTCAAACTAGGAGGCAAGGATAAATAATGTTTCCAATCCTGAAGCATAATTCTAAGATCGTGAAGCTTGCTTTCCAAACCAAAGCAACAGTTTGCATGCATGGTACAAACATGATTTAAATCTCTACTTGGTTCACAAAGGCCACCAAAATTTGATGTATCCAAAAACCTCATCTTCAGTCCAATATCAGTAATGAAAGGATGAGTCTTGATGTAGTTAAGCACATCTTGATCATGGAATCCAGGATAGGTTTCTCGTGAAGAGTACCAGAATTTGTAAAACTCTATTGACCTATTGTTGGACTTTACATAGTTGAACCCTCCGTTGGGTCTGTTCTCTACATCATCAAATCTACCTGTGAAATGATCACACGCTGTCTGGAAATCTGCATCAGAGTAAAACTGTGGAAATGGGTTCCTAAACCACATGATATCGGCATCCTGGGATAGGAACACCAAAATAAGTATCTAATAGCGATACTTCAGAAATTTATCTAGCTTCTTCTATAGATTTTTCGAAAGTCTTACCCTTTTCATATTTTCCCCTTTTTTAAAAAAGAAAATTCGGCGTAGGAAAATACAATAACATCAACAATTAAATGTGCAGCCTGAAGTTAGCAGAAATGAAACTATGCACTGATATGGTTGTTCCTATTAGTTGCGAAAATGATTTAGTAAATTTAGTGGACATTTGCAAAAGCTCCGTATAGTTGTTGCATCAGTTCAAATGAAACTCAGACAAGGAAGTTAGAGGTAGAAGTTTAGCTTAACATACTGTTCTATAAAAATGGGAATAATATTTTCCTCAAGATTTGATTAGAATGTTACATTGACCATAACCAAATTTTACTTTTCCTTATCAACCTAAACCCAAATTAGAAGAATTTTAAGTTGTGCCACAAAAAATAAATCCCACATGCATTGCTGCAATAACGTAAATGAATGTACTATTTGTTTGTGAAATACCAATAAACTAGCTAATTAGTATAATAGAATACAAAGTCAACTTAGTAGTAAACCCATTTCCCTCATTCACATCAAAATCAATCACAAACAATAAATTCCACATTCAGAATGATTTCATGGTTGCTAAAACTAAACTACTTCAAGGTTTACACAAGTTAGACAGAAAAAAATAACTTACTGTGAATACAAAATTGTATCCCATTTCAAGAACAGAGCGTAGGAAATCAATTCTTCTCCACATCATCATCAAGTAGCGAGGGGTCATGAAGTACGCCTCTTCACGAAAGTCAGCTTCTTCACTAACAAGACAAAAGCAATGAGTATGTATAGCCTGACAGCGGGCAAATGCCTTTTGGTCCAATGCAATGATTACCAAATGATTTAAAAAGGCACTGGTACGATCTCCTATTCTAAAGCTTTCAAGGAAAAGCTCAATGACTGAATTTGGAGCTGCCCATGCTTCATTTAACGTAGTCAAGATTACAGTTCTGTCTTTCATAGCAGCTTCATTCAGTACCTTCTCAAGTTGATAGTCATTGCTAGTCTGCAGGAGAGTCAATCAGGAAGGTTATGCTTATGCTTATGAAACTAAATAAAACAAATGGATTTAGTGTTTATAAATATTCGCATTAGGATGACTTTATTCATAAGACCAGAGAATGCCTAAAAGTATGAAAACGCCCACTCAGCTAGTACAGGACAATCTATATTTTGTAAATGACCAACGAATTCATATCAACAGGTTACACTAATTTTGTATAGGGAAATCACAGACTATTACAAGTGTTTCTAATGACCTAATAGTTAATAGACCTAGTTTGCCTAGTCAATTAAACTCATATAAACGGAAAAAAAAATTATTAATCTTCGACAATTCCTGTGTAACGTTTTTATAAAGATCTAACTAAATAGTGTCAACTAATACAAAATCACAAGTTCTCACTCGTAGTATCTGAAACTTGCGAAGATATCGATTAAAGAAACTCTACACACATTATTTCGGTTGAAAATCATTAGCAATTGTTAATGCCCAAAGTTAAGGAGTCTCTCGATTTTATGCATAAAATACACTTCCTAAAATAAAAAATCCAGATTATTCAATTCTCAAAAGAAATAAGAACTTCAATTTCATTTCAATTGGTGAAATAACACATTAAAATTTAAGACAGTATATGCATTAATTATTATATAAATATATGTAATATTGAAACAATGCATTAACTAACTAATTAAGCATGCAAAAACCGCGAAGTAACTCAATTCGCTGCAACAAGTAGCAGGAAACGAAAAACAATGCGTAACGCGAAGAAAACGGAACTGACCTCAATGGGATCGTTGTGCACCGACGGAAAAATGCTAGAAATACCAGACAGAGAAACAGAATAAGAGTAAGGGAAGGTGGAGAAAAATCGGTGCGAATCAATGTCTCCGAATAAGACCAAGCAAGAGAGGGAAACGGTGGCGAAGAAGAACGAGGCCGCGATGGCGCGCCGGAGGTGGAGGACTTTGGTCTCCCGAAGCATGTCGGCGGAGAATCACCGGCGGCGAAGCGACGCGTGGCTCTGGCGGTGGAATAACGTGTCGTCTGGTGGCGCGTGAGAGGTCATGTTAGTGTGGTGTGCAGAAATAACGAGAGAGATGAGAAAATCAGAAGTGAAGAGGTGGATGCGGGTTGAATGAACGGGAGTGGAAACGGAGATGAAAACGATTAATTGTGTGTGCGAGTTGAAATGCTCGAGATTCGAGGTGATTCCGTTACAAGGCGGAACGCTTTCTCGCTTTAGCATTCACTGTGACTTTCATTTTGTTACCATTTTTAACTGTCTTCCCACTTCCACGTGGAATTGCACCATCACAACTATGTCCAGCTGGTCAACAGGAAAAATATCTTTTCTCTCAATCTTGCTGATATTAAGATTTTAACGTAATCAATTCCACTCTCTCTTTGTTTATATATATATTGCATCTACTTTATATTATTCTTTAAAATGCTAATGAAATGAATAAAAAAATTGGAGAAATTCATTACTTTCCTCAATCATGTTTATGTTCTAATCATACTTTTTTAAGTTATGATCATGTAAACATGTTTTGAACACATTATATAATAAAATTTGATGATTAATTTCAACGCAAAATTTCACTTTAATTACATACTTTTTTATATGAAAATACTAAAAAATATGTATAATTTTGATTAAAATAATAATTTGAATACATAAAATATAATTATTGAAATTAAATATTTAATTGATTTTTAACCATGTTAACCCTAAAGTTAAATACACTCAATTAAAAATTTGAATTCACCATTTCATTTTTAACATACTGATAAGGTTTTTTAATTAAAAAAATGATATATAATTTAGTTTCTTCTAATAAAATAGATGAAGATAATTCATATCACCTTCGTCTAATATCAATAATTGAAATTATCTTAAATATTGATTATTAGATATTATTTATATATTATTTGATATTGTTAAGATATTGTTAGATATTGGTAACCACAATATCAAATAATATCTTCTGTTTATTTTGTTACTTTCAGTTACTCTTTTAGTTGTATCTCTCTACTATAAATAGACCACCCTATGTGTGATTTATACACAAGAAAAATTAATTTCAAACCCTATTTTCTCTATATTCAACATGGTATCAGAGTCAAAGCCTAACATCTTTCCGGTTATTGTCATGGGTCAAAAGTTGCCCTTTAGTTGGGTCAAAAGTACCCTTTGCCTGGTCCGGCAGACTTCGTTGGACGGGGTGTGTTGAAAGTCCCACATCGCCTACCTCATATCATTTTGTATGGTTTAAATACATGTTAGGCTACTCCACATATTGTCAATTGGTTTTATGTTGGAACCTTAACATGGTATCAGAGTCAAAGCCTGACATCCTTCCGGTTATTGTCATGGGCCAAAAGTTGCCCTTTAGTTAGGTCAAAAGTACCCTTTGCCTAGTCCGGCAGGCTTCGTTGGAGGGGGTGTGTTAAAAGTCTCACATCGCCTACCTCATGTCATTTGGTATGATTTAAATACATGTTAGGCTACTCCACATATTGCCAATTGGTTTTATGTTGGAACCTTAACATGGTATCAGAGCTAAAGTAGGCAAGCTAGGTCACAAGATTAACAAGTGTTATACATTACATGGTCGTCTTCCTCAATCTGCTGTAGTTGTTCAGACCAATTTTTCCCCACCTTTATCTGCAGGGGATCTTCCTTCTTCTGTTGCATCCGACATGCCTGTTATGTTCAACAAATTTCTCGAATGGTATAAGGATCAACAGTCTTCTAGTTCTACTATATCTGTCACACATACAAATACATATTTTGCTGGTCTGACCCAATCATTTTCTCCTAGTCCTTGGGTTTTTGATTTGGAAGCCACTGATCATATTACTGGTAACAAATCTTTGTTCTCCTCTTTGTCCTCTCCTAATCATTTACCTTCTGTTACACTGGCTGATGACTCTAGAGTATTATCTCATGGCCGTGTTGGAACGGTTAAACTTTTTCCTTCTAACCATTGATAATGTTTTTTATGTCCTTGGGTCTCCTTTTAACCTGTTGTCTATCAGTCGTCTAACTCGTTCTCTTGATTGTGTTCTTACTTTTACCAACAATTCTGTGTGTTTATAGGATCGGAGTTCGAAACAGGTGATTGACACAGGATGTGAGTCTCATGGTATTTATTATCTCCGTCCCTCTACACATGTTAGTACAGTTATGGAGTCTCTCTCTTCTTCATGCTCAGTTAGGTCATCCAAGTCTTGCCAAGTTATAGAAACTTGTCCCTGCCTTATCCAACTTATCTAGTTTGGCGTGTGAGTCATGTCAATTAGGCAAGCATAGTCGTACTTCCTTTCCTCATAGTTTCACACGTGGTGCTTCGTCCCCTTTTGTCGTGGTTCACTCTGACATTTGGGGACCTAGCCGCGTTAAGTCTACTTTAGGTTTTCAATACTTTGTTACTTTCATTGATGATTATTCCAGATACACTTGGTTATTTTTGATGAAAAATCGTTCTGAATTATTTCATATCTTTCAAACTTTTTTTAATGAAATTCAAACTCAGTTCGGTGTTTCTATTAGAGTTTTGCGCAGTGATAATGAACATGAATATCTTTCTCATTCTTTTAAACAATTCATGGCTTCTCACGGTATTTTGCATCAAACTTCTTGTGCTTATACACCTCAACAAAATGGTGTAGCTAAACATAAAAATAGACATCTTATTGAAACAACTCGCACACTTTTAATTCATGGAGATGTTCCTCAACATTTTTGGGGTGATGCTCTTCTTACTGCATGTTATCTCATTAATCGCATGCCTTCTTCAGTTTTAGATAATAAAATACCTCATTCCATTTTATTCCCTCATGAACCACTTCATCCTTTACCTTTGAAAGTTTTCGGGTCTACATGTTTTGTTCATAATTTCAGTTTTGGTCTTGACAAGATTTCTCCTAGATCACATAAATGTGTTTTCTTAGGGTTTACAAGATCACAAAAAGGATACAAATGTTTTTCTCCTTCTCTTAACCGTTATTTTGTGTCAAAAGATGTCACATTTGATGAGTTGTCTCTTTATTTTAAAAGTCAAACTTCACCTCTGTCTCCATCCAATCTTGTCAACACTCCTAATACATTTAATGTTCCTGTTGTTTGTAACCCTCTAACTGTGTCTTCTTCACCATTAGTACCTGCTCCACAGTCAGCTTCTTCTCCACTGCCTTTTCAGATTTATAGTTCTCGAAACCAATCACAACCACCACCATGTGACTCTACTCAAGTGCCAACTACCCTGTCTCCTCCGGATCTGACACATGAGTCTGACCTTCCCATTGCCCTCCGAAAAGGTATTCGTTCTACATGTAATTCCTCTCCCCATTATATTGCTTTGAGTTATCATCGACTGTCATTACCTTTTTATACATGTCTTTCCTCTATTTCTTCTGTGACCATTCCAAAAACTGTCCGTGAAGCTTTAGCCTATCCTGGTTGGCGTCAGACCATGTTAGATGAACTAAGTGCTCTTCATAATAGTGGAACTTGGAAATTGGTCTCGTTACCGTCTGAGAAATCTGTTGTTGGTTGCAGGTGGGTGTTTGCTATCAAAGTTGGACCTGATGGTACTATTGATCGCCTCAAAGCTCGTCTTATGACCAAAGGTTATACTCAAATTTTTGGGTTGGATTATGGAGATACCTTTTCCCCTGTGGCAAAGATGGCTTCTGTTCGTTTATTTATCGTCATGACTGTTCTTCAACAATGACCTCTTTATCAACTGGATGTTAAAAATGCTTTCCTCAATGGTGATTTGCAAGAAGAAATATATATGGAGCAACCTCCTGGGTTTGTTGCTTAGGGGGAGTCTTCTGGGATGGTATGTCGTCTTCGCAAATCCCTATATGACCTAAAACAGTCTCCTAGGCTTGGTTTGGAAAGTTTAGCAAGGTTGTTCAACAATTTGGTATGACTCGGTGTGAATCAGATCATTCTGTCTTTTATCGACACTCGAGTGCTGGATGTGTTTACTTGATAGTATATGTTTGACATCGTTCTTACAGGTAGTGACAACCATGACATCTCTCAGTTGAAACAACATCTCTGTCACCATTTTCAGACCAAAGATCTTGGCAAACTTAGATATTTCTTGGATATTGAGGTGGCATAGTCCAATGATGGTATTGTTATATCTCAAAGGAAGTATGCCATAGATATTTTGGAGGAAACTGAGTTGATGAGTTCAAAGTCTGTTGATACACCCATGGATCCCAATACTAAACTTCTACCAAATCAGTGGAAGCCTATATCTGATCCTCGAACAAGATAGAAGATTGGTTGGAAAATTGAATTATTTTACAGCTACTCGTCCCGACATTTCCTTTGCAGTCAAGTGTGGTAAGTCAATTTCTTAATTCACCATGTGAAGATCATTGGAATGCAGCTCATTCATATCTTGAAGTATATTAAAGGATCTCCTGGAAAATGATTGTTATATGGTTCTAATAACCATACAAGAGTTGTTTGCTACTCGGATGTCGATTGGGCAGGATCTCCTTCTGATAGAAGATCTACATCCTGGATATTGTGTCTTCATTGGTGGTAACTTGATCTCATGGAAAAGTAAGAAACAAAGTGTCGTGGCAAGATCCAATGCAGTAGCGTAACATAGAGCTATGACCTCAGCCTTCCCGTGAACTTGTTTGGCTCAAGCAATTGCTTAGAGAGTTACAATTTGGAGATGTCACTCAAATGACACTTGTGTGTGACAATCAAACTGCTTCTTCATATTAGTTCTAATCATGTCTTTCATGAGAGGACCAAACACATCGAGATTGATCGTCATTTTATTCGAGAAAAGATTATGTCCGGAGATATCAAGACCGAGTTTGTTAACTCAAGTGATCAGCTAGCAGATATTTTTACTAAATCTTTACTGGGTCCTAGAATTGATTATATTTGTAACAAGCTTCGACACATACGATTTGTATGCTCCAACTTGAGGGGAGTGTTAGATATTGTTTAGATATTATTTGATATTATTAAGATATTGTTAGATATTGGTAACCACAATATCAAACAATATCTTCTCGCTTATTCTATTACTTTCGTTACTCTTTTAGTTGTATCTCTCTACTATAAATAGACCACTCTATGTATGATTTATACACAAGGAAAATTAATTCCAAACCCTATTTTCTCTATATTCAACAATTATGACAAAAACCTTTCATCAATTTTTTTCCACCTAATATCATTATTTATATGATGGGAGATAATTATAAAAAAATAATATCTATTTAATATATTTTTTTTAACACTTATACTATATCTAACTTTCCTAACAATCACTATTTACAATTAACCTAAAATATTATTATCTCTAAATGATTATTATTTTATGATAATTTAGTCACATGATCCAATAAATAACATAGTTAATTTAAGTAAATTAAAGTATTATAATTGTGAAATATAATAATAATTATGATTATAAAATATTTATTTATTAATATTATCAAAATTATATTTTCAATCATCATAAAAAATTTAAATACGATATATATAATATTTGTGTAAACTTTAATAAGGATGACATGATATTCACCATAGTTTTAAGTTTTTTTTTTAAATATTTTTTAATATATAGAGTAGAAACTTAGCTAATTTTTTTAAGGACATATATTAATTATATTTAGTTCTTAATTCATACCATATATCAAAATCAGAAGCACGAAACCAAAAAAAAATGAAAATAGAGCAATCACATAATTTAGAAGCAAATAATTCTTTTATTATAATTCTCTAAAATTTTAAATTTAAATTTGAAGCAAATAATTCTTTTATTATAATTTTTAAAAATTTTAAATTTAAATTTGAACAATTAACTGATTTTAATTAACTAAAATACAAGTAACATTTAATCTAATTAATATTTAATTATTAAAGATTCAATATCAATTTTTAATTTGATTTTAAAATCAAAATCACAAATTACAATAAAAATAATAAAATCAAAATTAGAGGAAAAAAAAACTTAGAACAATAAGTGATTTGGTACAACTTGATTTTGTGAATTGATAATTGGGATTTAGTTTTCTCCGACGAAGAAACAAATTCAAGAAAAGAATAAAGGATAAGAGGGAAGTAAAAAATAGAATTGAAAAAAAATGAAAAAATTAATTTCTTATGTTAAAGATTTAGTAAAATAATTTTTTTTATCTCATTTTGAAACAAATCTATATTAGTTAAATATTTTGAAATCTAATACAACAATAATAATAGCCTAAATATTAGAAATATATAACTCAAATTACAAAGGTTTAAATTAATAAAATAAAATCTATTTCACATGGACTATTTTATAAATTTTTAGCAAAAGTATCTCAATTTCCACCAATTATAAAAAATTAACAGAGAACTTCAAATTCAAATTCAGTAAATTATATATTTATTTCATAACCCTAAAAATTAGAATCTAATACAATTAAAATTAACAAAAATAATAGTTATAACAAAAATTATAATAAAAAAAATCAAGAAGATCATATGAACTAAAAATATAAAACTAAAATAAATAAATATGTACATTAAATATAAATTATCATTAAAAAAATATAAAATATAAAATATAAAAAATATATTCATTAGGATAAAATTATATATATATATATATATATATATATATATATATATATATATATATATATATATATATATATATATATATATATATATATATACATGTGCTATCTTTCTACACATTTTATTAACTTAATAAATTTTATTATGTAAATAAACTAAGTGATTTTTAACGTAATTTCCCAATATAGTAATTAAAATGGAAATTACCTTCATGAACTATTAACAACTTCTAATCCTAATAATGAACAAATAAAAAATAAATTGTTATGCTATTATAAGAGTCATAGGAAGAATAATTGAGACATTAGTGAAATATTAACAGCTTCGAACAAAGTTTAACTCGTACATCCAGCTACTACATTATTCTTTTAAATCCTTTTACAATCTTATTATAACATTTCACTTATAAATGAACTAAAAATGTAAAAAATAAAGAAAAAAATTATTCCCTGCACTGAAACTATGTCATCCATTCACTATAACCATAACACTAAAAATCTTTAAAATAAGTTATAAAGAGATTATTTAATTTCATTTCATCTCAACCACTTATATTTATATAATTTATGAATGAAATAGAAATATTTTTCTCACTATAAATTATCCAATCCTAAAATTAAGATATAATTATAATAAATCAATAACAAATTTTCAATATATGAATTTTTTACTTATAAATTTATAACCACAATTTCTCTCTTTTCACTTCATTGTTTGTGAATTAAAATTTTGCTATTTTTTACAATTTCATAAAAAAACTTTTGTTATCTTTATTTTCATTGTACTTTTAGTATATAATAATTTGTTTGTTTATTATTTTAAATTTTGTAAAGATTTTATTTTTTGATAACTATTTTATTAAAACAATTTTAAAAATAATTTGTTTTATAATTTTTGAAAATAAAAAAATAAAAAACAAATAAAATATATTTTTTATTATTGCACTTCCACTCATAATTACTTTAAAATATTTTTTTTCATTTCTTAAAGTTATTAAAATTATTTTCTAAAATTTACTCATGTTTATATGTGTCTCTTAAAAAAAAAGATTTCAAAAATAAAGTTACCAAATAATTTTTTAACTTATTTAAAAAAAATTAAAATCAATATCCAAAACTATTTTTAAAATTTTTAAAAATAAAACAAAAGCAAACTCATTAATCAATAATACTTAATAAAATTTGCGTATTTTAAAAAATAAACTTAGTTATAAAACATTTTTAATCAAACTTAAAATGACATAATCCATTTTTCCTAACTTTAAATACATGTATCCTTCAAAAGGAAGGTAAATGCCGTATCAAAGATAATAATTAAGACTATGACTATTTATAATTTTTTTATAATTACTTCAAAATATGAGAAGTATGAAAGAAATACGAAAAAGTAAAAAAAAAAAGTTATATTGTGGAAAAGTTTGAAAAGTAAAAAATAAAAATAAAATTATTAGTGATATTTTAAGAAAATAATAAAATCTTAATTTTAATCACTAAAAAATCTGAATGTCAGAACATTTTTTATTAATTTTATTACATTAAAATATATTTAAATAAATTAATATAAAATATAATTAAATCTTAATTATTACCTATAAATTATGTCATATACAATTATTACTGTTGTGCAAAATTTTAGGACAATGATAAATTTAGTTTTTAATAAAAATATTCTAATGTCCTTGTACTTTTGAAAAGTAAGGATAATACATGAAGGTTGTTTTGACAACTTTTTTTTATATATATAAAAAATTAAATGAGTTTATTTATAAGATTGATGTAATTAGCAAATAATTTTCTATATAACTTGTTTGAATTTTGTTTAAATCTAGACATAAGTTAATTTTAATTTATAAAAAAGTTATATATTTTATTTTAAAATTGTGTTTCTTACTTACAATTATGGATTTTAAAATTTTCAGAACACGGACTTAATGAATAAAATAATCAAACCTACAATTGTTTTATATAGTATAAATATCCAACAATTATTATTTTTATTAGTATGATGACGTAGTTTAAAGTTGTTTAAAATTTATTAATTTGTTACCTAATTCAATTCTAATATATCTCTTGATTGAGTTGAATATGAGTAGTTGATAATTGAAATATATATATATTTATACAGAAACAATCATAAATTGGAATATAAAAAAATTGATCATAATAAAAATACACATGTTTTTGGTGTCTCAGGACTTTTAATCTAACACATTCGCGAAATAATTAAAAGAAATAAACTTTAGTTTATTTTGAAAAATCTTTAAAAGAATCCTTATATTATTTGATACCAAAATCACTTATATATTAAGAGGTGGCTAAATTTAATTCAATGTACAATCCTTTTAATACTATCCAAGAATATATAATATAATATTTTTCTTTTGATAAAATATTCAGTGAATATTGAAAAAAAAAAAAACTATTTGGACCACTGGTACAAGATAAAAACATTGAGCAGGTTTGGCAATTGGAAATAATAACCCGAACCAAATGGCCCTTAAACAGTTACACATGGCCGAAATCAAATAGGCAGTGATATTAATAAGTTATTTTTCACACACCATTTAACCACTCTCTAAAACCCCCCCTTCTCCGATCTGTGCTCTTTCTGGTCCCAATTTTGCAGATTCGACCCATCTCTCATCAGGTTTTTCCCTGTTGGTTTACCTCATCTTAATTTGCGTTCCGATTTGATCATTTTCATTTGCCATTGATTCCTCGATTGCATGATCATTATTTTGGTTTTTTTTTTTCATCAATTCTTCTGGAATAATGCGATGATTTTTGAATCTGTGTTCCTTGTAGATTTGGATCTTTGTTTCTACTGTACTATTTTGATAATCCGTCGAAGCAAAGGGAGGATTGTTATAAATTGAGTTTGGATTTGATTTGATTTGATTCAGTAATGGCTGCTCCTGTGCCTCCAGGGGCACCTAGACCCGGCAGTAACACACCGCAGCTCCCTCCCCCTAATTACGTTCCTAACATTAGGGGTACTCCTGATACACTTGCTGATAATATGCACAATTTGAATCTTAATCGGCCTCCTATGACCGCAAATCCTGTTTCTAGACCTCCTCCATTTGGTCAACCACCACCTTTTCCTTCTTCTGCCCTTTCACCGGGGATCCCTGGCTCCTCACCTCCATTTTCACGACCTGGACCACCTCCTGGAGCAATGATGAGGCCTGCAGGGCCTTCTACTGGACAGCCATTGTCCACATTTCCACCAAATGTTGTCCCTGGAAGGCCTACTGGGCCACCTCCTGGTCAACCTCCATCTTTTGTGTCAAGACCCCCTCCTAGTTCTCTTCCACCTACCATGGGTAATGTTGCTGCGCCTGTTTCTGGGGTTCCTCCTCCTACTGGTTCTCCACAAATCCGTCCGCTTGTGCCACCTCAACCTTCTCCTGGTGCTCGTTCCAGTCCGAGTCCTTTTGCTTCACCACCAATGAGTACTCCCCCAGTTATAGGCCCTATCAGTGCATCGGGTAATTTGATGAATAATGGGCCGCCTGTATTTTCTGCTGGGGCTTTGGCAGGTCCCCAACGTTTTCCCGTCGGCAGTGTGACACAACCCCCGGTTGGACCTCCACCAACCATGAGAGCTCCTCCAGGTCCAGCTGTTCAACCCCAACCCCCCTACCCCATGGCATCTCAAGGAATATTGCAGCCTCCAAGTTCACCTTTTGGAGCACCTTCTTGGCAGATGCAATCCCAGCAGGTAGCTCTTTCTGCATCTGAACTTTATTGTATTTAAGTGTTTTTTACCCGCAATATTTGTTGGATGATTTGATAAAAACAATTTTACCTATTAGTGTACAAATGCTACAAGGAATTGGCTCTTTCTTGGTGATTGCATGGTCTTTTAAAGTAAACAGATGTACGAAATAGTGGACCTTCTTAATTTGTTTTTCTTTTGCCAGGTAGGAAAAACGACTATAAGGTTTTTGTTGCAAATAGTAATATTTTTGGAGATAAGTTCTTTAAGATAGATAGGTTATCGCTTAGTTAATTCTTATAGATAGGTTCAATGGATGTAGGAAGTTGTGATATCCTAAGTGTTATCTTGTAAATTGTTTTGGCATTAATCATCTCTGTTAGACTCTTGAATTTAAATAAGCCCATCCTGCTGGGTGGAAAATGCACTAAAGCAAATTCAGAAATCATTTTCTTAATTTTCTTAAAAATTTGTTAATTTATAAACAAGGATGTTGCGTGTAAGTATTATTGAAAAAGTTGTGGACGCAATAGCAATAAATTGGATGTTTTGAGAATTAGTGTTTTATTATTGTGGAGATTTAGACAGATGAATAGGCCTTACAATATCTAGTACCCTAGCTGTGTAATATGTCCTATGTTCATTTATCCATCTTTTGAGAAGTGACTAAGATTCTGATTATTGGGAATTATGTAGGTAGCCCCACCTCCTCCAGTTCCTGGTCCTTCACAACCTCCTCGGATGTTTGGCATGCCACCACCATTGCCAAATCAATCTATGACTACTACCATATCACCTGCTGTTGGTCAAACTGGAGCCCCAATGGCAGGGCCTTCCAAAATTGATCCCAATCAAATTCCAAGACCTACTCCAGGTTCCTCTGTGATTTTGCATGAGACTCGTCAAGGCAACCAGGCAACTATTCCTCCGGTAGTCATCTGAAAATTGTTGATATATGTTTTTTCTTTTCTAAATAAACTAGAGATAGAGAGAAATGACTATGTTGAATTTGAGGCTTGCTACATATGCTCGTTTAATTACCTTTACCCCATTATTCTGGAAAGTCATTTACCTTTCACTATTTTTTTTATCCAGCCTGCTACAAGTGATTTCATTGTAAGAGATACAGGGAATTGCAGTCCACGTTACATGAAGTGCACAATCAATCAGGTCCGGTCTAACATCTGCAATGTTATTTATCTTTAAATAAGGTCATGAGAAATGCTAGTATTTCTTGGCTTCTCATCGTTATTACTTGTTTGTATAGAGGAGTAGTGGTAAGGTTTCTGCCTTGTGACCAGGATGTCACTGATTCATTTATTGGAAATAGACTCTCCACTTTGGGGGGGATTAGGATGTGTGTATCTATTTTCCGTACACCCAACTAGGTGGCAGCCTTATGCAGTCATGCACCAACACAGCCTCTTTTTTTTTTTTTAACTTGATTTTATAGAGTTGTATTTGTGGATCCTGCATTGTGGTTTCTGAAACGTCTTTTTTCTTCTGGGGTATTTTTATGATTTGTTTTTTGATGAATTTTAATTAGTATTTTTTTTCTTAAAAAGATGCCTCATTCTTTTGCTGTGTTCTTCTATGTGTAAAGAAATTTAGTTTATTTGAAGTGAATTTTAGTCTTACAATAATTTTCTGAAGTTGGATACTCTAATTTGCAAATTTGGGGATATCTGTAATTTGTTTTGATTTTCTTTCAATTGCTTTGTTTTTTGTTGTATGAAACAGGTCCCTTTCACTGCTGATCTTTTGTCAACATCAGGAATGCAGTTGGCTATGCTAGTCCAACCCCTGGCCCTTCCACACCCATCCGAGGAGCCCATTCAAGTACTGATTTTGATTTCATTTGAAGTGCTAGTCATAGATGTTTTCTGTATTATTTTTTATTCCTTTTTGAAGTTAGGACTGTTTTATCTTTGTCAATTGTTTGATGGCCAACTAGTTATTTTTGGCATATTTGTTTGGGGAAAAGTTGTATCTATTTTAAGGATTCATGAACTAACAGCATTTGGTTTTCTTTGTTTTTTCATATGTAATTTTCTGTTTACTTCTTATATTTGCTAGTATCTCCTTGGGGATTGTTCAAAAAAGCATTTCTTTGCTTTTGATAAGGTTTTTCAATTGTTTGAACTTTATAAGATCAGTGACTGTTGTCGAGTCCACAATTACTGTCTCCAAATCTGTTTTTGTACAGCTGTGGTAGTGAATGTAATTTATGTTATAATATTCATTAAGTTCACTCTATGTTATTTCTAACATATTGCCTGCAATGAAGAATTTATGTATTTATTTTCTCAATAAATATTTTAGCTGAATGCATACTATTATAGGTTGTTGATTTTGGGGAGGGTGGTCCTGTTCGTTGCTCTCGTTGCAAGGCTTATATAAACCCCTTCATGAAATTCATTGATCAGGGAAGGCATTTCGTCTGCAATTTGTGTGGTTAGTACTATTTATATCTGGTATACAATTGCTCATCCTACTATTTTTTGTTGTCATATCCTATGGAAGCTGCCAATGACATGTGGATGTAATTTCTTATGTTGCTTCCCCTTGGAGCTATTTGGGGAGAAATGGGAATTTATTGTCATTGGCTGGCAAAGTTAAATTAATCAGTGGTTTAGAGATTGGTTAATAATTGTTATTTGTATCACAAATTTATGCTTTTAATGCAATAGGTTTAAGGGTGTGTTTTGGAGAACTTAATTAGGCTTATCTTATTTTTACATAATCTCTCTAGGATACTTCTAATTTTTTTTTACAGCTTATACGAATACAATTTAAATTTATTCCCTATTCGGTAATAGAAACAAATTATACGCTAACACTTTCATTATAAAAACTTGTTCAACAAGAGCTTAATTAGGTTGTTGACGCAAAAATATGATGAACACAGTTTAACCCAGTCACTTATGTAGCATTTTTCTTTTTGTTAAAAGAAATTCTACAAGACAAAGAATGGAACAAAGCTGCCTCATTATTCTTCATATATGTTAAGGAAAACCCTTCGAGAAAATATCATGCCTTTACTCCAATTAGAAGTCAATTGCCTAATGGCCAGCTGATGAGCCAATAAAATGTCATCAAATAATAGCATATATTGTTTGTTACTATAAATATATAGCCTCTTCACTTCTACCAAAACCACTAAAACTAGTCACCAAGATTTATTCAATGTACTCAAGATCCATCACCAACTAAAAAGGTTGAACAATTCCGTAATGCGACCACAGAAGAACATGTACGAAAATATTCTGATCAAGTATACACATGGCACACATATCAGGGTAAAAGCCTTGTGTTGCATGTTAACCTAAATGTGCCATTAATATGGATGGAACCTCTGGCAACCTGTACTTTTGAAAAAAATCACTGGATCACAAATAAGGCCTCACTGATGTTATCATAATTCTAGTTTCTTTATGATAGGATTATTCATTAATATTTTACATTTTGTCATTTTGTAACATGATCAAACATTTTGTCATTAATATTTTTGTTACAGGGTTTAGTGATGAAACACCACGGGACTACCACTGCAATTTAGGCCCAGATGGTCGGCGTAGAGATGCTGATGAAAGGCCTGAGCTGTGTAGAGGAACGGTTGAGTTTGTTGCTACAAAGGAATTCATGGTTAGTTTACTTGTAAAGTATACCATGCTATACAAAGTTGAAATTTTGTATAATATACAAGCTGTAGGAAAAGCAACTAAACATGAATTAAATAAATCAGCATTGGTTGGATGCGTAAGTGAAAATTTAGTGGTTGCTAAATTGCTAGTAAGATAGCAATCATGACTGCCTAAAAACAAATGATCTCATTTCATGAAAAAAGATTACTGCAATACTTAATAATAGGATTAATTACTTAAATAGGTAAAGAGGCAAGTGAGTTATTTTTCATAAATTAGATAATCCTTTGGCTTTTTTCGATAAAAGTTCCTGACCATTCCTAGGCTAGAGAACAAATTGGTGCTCTTCTGGGTTTTGAGCATGACAGCTACTCATATAACCAATAAGTGAGACCTAAGTATGAAAACTAGACCCAGTAACTTCTAAATAGACTAAAGCCCAACATTAAAATTAATCCATTATTTTTTACTACCAAATAACAAGAGACGTATCCTGCTAGGTGAGGATAATCTAGCATTTCAATTTATAAAAAATGTTCCTAGTCTGAAATTATGGATTGAGCATTAACAGGTTCCTAAATGTCTAGACCAAATAACTCTTGACCAATTGTACTTTTGTAAAGTATGGAAAATCACTGTAGATAAAATATTGCAACAATTTTGTTCTTCATGCTTATTTACATTTTATGCTATTGCTGCCTGTTTTATTCCATGTTTGTTCTCTCATATTTTAGTCATTTTTCTCTGATCTTATGTGTACTGGATTGGTAATGTGTGGTTAATTGTATATTCTTGAAGTTGATGAACTAAGCAGTTTATGCTTCGGCCTGGATAAGTTTTATTTTTTCTTTTATGCTTGTTCTTCATTCTTTAGTGTCTGTGATGACTGGTGTGTGATTCACTATTTTCTGTAGGTTCGTGAGCCAATGCCTGCAGTGTACTTCTTTCTCATTGATGTATCTATGAATGCTGTTCAAACTGGTGCAACAGCGGCAGCTTGCAGTGCCATAAGTCAAGTTATTTCAGATCTTCCCGTGAGTTCTAACTGTTTGACTACTTATCAATCATTTATAAATGACAGTTTGTATGCAGTGACAGATCTTGACCATGATTTTGGGAGGTCAAATAAGATGTTATTAATAAATAATAGATAAATATAAAAAGGTGAGAGACAAAAATTATAAATATACATGTAGGTATATTTAATAATCATTAAGTTTGGGGGATCAAAATCATAAATGTACATGTAATCACAAAACTTTGGAGGGGGGGGAAGTGTCCTGACCCCTTCACTTTCCATGAAGCTCCACCACAGTTTGCATGATGCTTAATATTTTCCAAATTTTCTTTTGTTTCACTTGACTGAAATTCATTGCTTCATTATACCCTGTTCAGATTGGTACATAATATAATAAAGATAAAACTTTCAAAGATTCTTCCCTCTTTTTTCCGCCTGCCTCCAAACAAATAATGACATAAAATTGATGAATTGTTTGAACTGAATGGAGTGATATTAAAAAAAAAATTCCCACTATTAGTCCTTACAAGGGAGAAGTGTGTGCATCAGATCTTTGTTTCATCCTTCTTCATTCAATGACACTTGAGTGGCTTTAACAGATTTCACATCGTATCAAAGTCTTGCTATTACTTAGCAAATGTACACATTAATGATTTCAATGTATTTTACTCTCAAGAAAAAAAAAAGTAGGAGACTTGGGAGATAAAGAATATTAAAATGATAGTAATTATGAAAAATGTGTATGACTTGTATAAGGTTTTTTAGTTGTTTTTTCCCAATCCTTTTTGCAAAGATCCCTTCTGTTTGTGGTTGGTATCTGATAGAGTTTCTGTTAGAAAGCTTTGTGTATTTTATTTTTTTCTTGAGTAAATTATACAAACATTCACTAAGGTTTTTTCGGATCACAAAGTCTCTACAATTCTACATAAACCTCCCATAGTTTTCATATATTACATTGTTGCCCATTTTTCATCACAGATACACTCCTTAAGTTTTAACAACATTACACTTAACAAACCCCTTAGGTTTTCTCGGGCTACACTATGTTTTAATAACATCACACTTACCTAATCCCTTAGGTTTTCATGGACTACAGTTTTAAAAACATTGCACTTGCACCGCCTAATAAGAGACTATTGTAACTGTGAAAAAACATGGGATGTAAGTGTAACTCGAGAAAATCTTATAGTGTTATTGTAATTTTCTCATTTTTCTTTTTGTGATGACCGAAGATTCTTACAAATATCTCATTTTGTTTTGACATGTACTTAATAACTAAATTCTTTGGTTTTATTATTGCTACAGGAGGGTCCTCGAACGTTTGTGGGAGTTGCAACTTTTGACTCAACAATTCACTTCTACAACTTGAAACGGGCATTGCAGCAGGTATCATACAGTACACAATAAAATATTCTGATCTTTTTACTTGGAAGGTTTAGTTGTAAGTTCATGTATTAATTCAGTTTAAATTTATAATTTTTATATAAAATACAACTGTTTATGTGAAATTGTAGATGGATTTTTTTGTTATATAATCTGTAATGTTACTACATTTTGAATTATTCGATTTTGGAGGGTGAATGACAGAGATAACTTATATACTCAAGTTAGTTGGTGTAAGAAACTGAGCAATCATTGTGGTGGAAGTATTGGTTGTCTATTATTATTTGTGTGCATTGATATTTTGCACTTGTGACAACTTCCTTTGAGACTTATTAGATAAATTGTATTTACAGTTCTAAGTAACTGTGTCATAGTTTAGATAACAAGCTCTTTGCATTTCCCTGTTTTATGTAATTGATTCTCAGGCTGATTTTGAAATTAAAAATTTGTAGCCACTGATGCTCATTGTTCCTGATGTCCAAGATGTTTATACTCCCTTGCAAACTGACGTAATTGTTCCACTATCTGAGGTTAGTTTCAAACATTTCCTTCTTGCAGAATTTTGGCAATTATCTTTGAAGAAAGTATTCACTTTGCAGTATTTAACTTGTTTACTTCTTTTGTATTAAGTGCCGTCAACACTTACAATTACTTTTAGAAAGCATTCCTACCATGTTCCAAAATAATAGAACCTCTGAATCAGCCTTTGGCGCAGCTATCAAGGTATTGCATTTTCTTTAAAGTTGTAGTTATATTTATTTGTTATTTGCTAAGATTGTTGTAGAAATTGAATCAATATTTATTTTAACTCAATTTCTTGCTTTTTAGTTTTTCTCTACCTTCATTGTTACCAACCTCTTTGGGCTTTGGAATCCCTTTAATGCTTTTTATTTATATTTAACCCCAAAAGAAGGGAAGGATAATAAAGAAGCAACCATGACTGAACTCTTTAACTTCTAACTTGCTGGATGTGAGGTTTTATTTACACCCGCTCTCAAATTTTCTCATTGTATGTAGGGTGTCTTTATGATGTAGAACGTTTTAAGTTTCACATTTTGTGCTATGCACAGAAGATGAAGGGTTTGTTACTACTTTATTTTATTTTGCTTGGGTTCTGTTTTGAGTCCACGGAGATGCCTAATTGTTAGCAACCCACTTCAGAAACAAAATAAAGAAAAATATTGTATTGCTCTTTAATTGAGGTGAATATAAAATGGAGAGAGATATCTCCTAAGTAAGAGTGCCCTCTCTCATTGGGTTTCTCCTTTCATAACTGAGAACTTGCTTGGATCTCTTTGAATATATACATCCCTGAATGATCCCCCTACCTCACTTCTCCCTAGTTTGATAGCTAATCCCTCATAGCTTTCAGAACTAACTACTTTATTTCCCTTTATTCTTCCTACCAGATACCTTTCTATCCTACACTTATCCTTCTCATATTTATTCCTTTTCTTCTAATATCATTTTTCACTTGCAAATTAGATTTATTTAGAAAAATATGGAGAGTGGACTTCTTACTGCCAAGGTAGTTCTGCATAATCCCTAAAACAGACGTAAAACAAGATCAGAACACAAAATGGTTTCCTGCTTTCATTCCCTCAGCTTCCTCCCTGGCCCAAGGGCAAAAACTATCACTCAATAACTAGATTCCTCCCTCGAGGATTCTTTCATCCTTTTTACCCCTCATCACTTTCTCCTTGCATTGTATTTCCCACTTACTTTGCCATTTAGGCAAGGTTTACAGCCCCAAATCTACATCCCTCTTCTGCCCTTTTCACATACTATTCATTGATTTGGTTCTCTAATCCCCCTTTACCTTCCTTATTCTCTTGATGTATGCTTTAGTAACGAATGGATTTCATTGATATATGCTCTACCTTCCTTATTCTCTAATCCCCCTTTACCTTCCTTATTCTATTGATGTATACTATTCATTGATTTGGCTCTCTAATCCCCCATCACTGTCCTCCCACTAAGTTTGACTAGTTCTTCCATCCCAAGCTAGATAGATCAAAATGTGAATATAATAATGTTTTTTTTTTTTCCTTTTAGGCAGCTTTCCTTGCAATGAAGGACACTGGAGGAAAGCTATTGGTTTTCCAGTCAGGTATTAAATGATTGATTTTTATATTACATAATTGTTGCTATCTACATCTACGTGGGTCGTGATGTATAAGATATAAAACTTTATTTGTATCAATTTTCTTGCGTGAGAGTATGCATCTGCCACATTTGTTATGTGACCAATTGTTTTTTCTCTTTTTGGGATATGAATTGAGTAATAGTCAGCATCTTATTTAGTAAGTTACAAATATTCTGAAATAACCATTAACGTTAGATAAAAGAAAAATATCATTAAAAGATCTCTTTCAATAACACGGTTTTATTACAAAAATTTAATAAAAAAGAGAATTAATATGGTTTGTTGATGCAGAGCATGAAAGAAGTTCTTAGTAAACAACACAATTGGCATTATATAAAAACTTTTGATATCACTAAAACGACACCATGTTGCCATCATTTTGAAACAGTACTATTATTATAGTAATGTTGTAATATTTTTGTCTGCCTTTGGTGGCCAGATCATCACATTATTGGCTGGCTCATCATTGACCATGTTTGATGTTTTTTATGATTATGGTTTGTTGTCTCCAGTCTTGCCATCTATAGGCATTGGTGCCCTTTCTGCTCGGGAGGCTGAAGGTAGAACAAACATCTCCGCAGGTGAAAAGGTATATGTCTCAATTTGGTTGTTGAATTGTTGGATTCTTCCCTTTATAATAGAAAATATATCAATTTATTATTTATGTCATTTCGCTGGGATAAGCTCAAGCTTGATTGATGGTGACATGGGATGAGATAAATTCCGCACATTTGCATGTCCAATTTTATTTAGTGAGCAAAATTGATATGATACCAATTTTCATAGATGCAATATTTGATAATTGGTTTATATTAGAAAGAAATGAAAATTATTTGTTTGCATAACATGCTATCCATGTTCATGATATTGTTTTATCTGTTTTACCTTCTAAAGGTTGGCACCAATAGTTTTGTACATTCTCAATTTTGAATTTCAGGAAGCCCATAAATTACTGCAACCAGCTGATAAAGCGTTCAAGGAACTGGCAGTTGAATTTGCTGAGTATCAGGTTGATATTGAGTACTTTATCTTATGATTCAGGCATTACTTTTATGTCTGGTTGAATTTTTTTTGAGCTTGTTTGATGGTCAGCTTGTTATGGATCAGTTAAGTATAATTATTTGTTTTGCTGCAGGTTTGTGTAGACGTGTTTGTGACTACTCAGACTTATGTAGACATTGCTTCCATATCTGTTATCCCACGGACTACTGGTGGACAGGTATACATGATTTTTTTATGTCTCAGTTGGAACTATTGAAATGTCATTGCTTTTCATGCTAAATGAGTTGAAGCTCTGATCACTGTTTTCTCTTATATTTATCATATGTTTGCTGTAACGATGGAAATAATAAATGTTGTTTTTAATCTGCTCTACTTATATAAATCTCTTTTTTTCGTAAATGTGGAGACACTTTTAACCACTTTCTGGAAATCTTAAATGAGGGAAATGGAGTTAAAGGGGGAAGTAATTGAAAACCATATCATATATAAATATGTAATGAGAAGTAGTTCTTTATGGATTAGAGAAAGCATTAACTGTAAACGTAAAGGGTTTTGTAATGATACCCATCTTCTTTATGGATTCTATGATTGTTCACAATTCAAAGGTTCATTTCACAAGAAAACATTTATTTTATAAAAATGGAATATTATGTGGTAATTAATAGTGTGTTTTAATCATCATCAACACTTATTACATTCATTCCATCCTTTTTCAAATATTTGTTTTACATATTGAAGTAACTTCTCACTTTTTCCAGGTCTATTACTATTACCCCTTCTCAGCTCTTTCTGATACTGCAAAACTTTACAATGATCTTAGATGGAACATCACTAGGCCACAAGGTTTTGAGGCTGTAATGCGTGTGAGGTGCAGTCAGGTAGTCTGTTTGTTTCGCTTTCTTTGCTTACCTTGTCACACAACAGAGGCTCCTCAATTTTCATTTTTTTCTTGACAGGGTATCCAAGTGCAGGAATACTATGGCAATTTCTGTAAACGTATCCCAACTGATGTTGACTTACCTGGGGTCTGTATATTTTTCTTGATTCTGGATATAATTCTAGGCATGTGTATTTAAGCATATCTTTATCTCTGTTTCTGCATGAACACAATAATGATTAAAAGATATGGAGATATATTGGCATTTTGAATTGGATATTTTAACTAACATGTTCTTATATTCCAATTCATAATTCAGATATAATTAAAATATTTAAACTGCTAGTATCAAAACTATTGGAATTTGGTTTGTGTACTATTGTTCCATAATTGTTTAAGCTTGCTGCGAACTGGGATAGATGTAATCTTAATCAATATTGTCACCAGCTAGACTTTGTTGTGCTATTCAGATTTGAGTTAGTGAATTCCTTTTATCAGATAGTTAGTTAGTCACTTGCAGCCATCATTATATGTTGTATTCTTTTAGAGTAGTTTGTTACAGCTGTCACTATTACATTGCCATAACAGAGCCAGTCTGTTAGAAGAACTTTTGTAGGCTTATACAGCTGCTGTCAAAAAATGCTCAGAAAAATCACTACAAAGTTTCTTTTCTCCTAAGTTTGTTTTCAATATGATATTAGAACTTTTTGATCCATATAGTGTCATCGCATCTGAAATCAGTTTGTTTTCAATACTAAGGAAAAATTTACACAGGTTTTTTGTGAAGATATTAGTAACTTCTACTGAGATGATGATTCTGTTTCTATTTTATTATTTTTTTCCTTTTATTACCTATTTATATAATTATATGGAATGGCATATAGATATAATGTAACATTATATTTATCATCATTGTTAAGGTTCCAACATAAAACCAATTGGCAATATGTGGAGTAGCCTAACATGTATTTAAACCATACCAAATGACATAAGGTAGGCGATGTGAGACTTTCAACACACCCCATCCAACGAAGCCTGCCAGACCAGGCAAAGGGTACTTTTGACCCAACTAAAGGGCAACTTTTTTGGCCCATGACAATAACCGGAAAGATGTTAGGCTTTTGGCTCTGATACCAAATACATGTTAGGCTACTCCACATATTGCCAATTGGTTTTATGTTGGAACCTTAATATGGTATCAGAGCGCGGTTCACCTTGATCCGCCATTAATTTTTGATTTGGATCCATAGGGCTGTTTACTGGTCTACAATCATTCATGCCTGTTTCTTTCAGGATATCTAAAGCATACTTTCTTTGGGAGACTACGATGCCTTCTTTTGATTGAGCTACTTCAATCCCTAGATTGTATTTGAGACAACCAAGATCCTTAGTTTGGAAGTGATTGCATAAATGTTTCTTTAGCAAAGAAATTTTATCAACATCATCTCCTGTAATGACTATATCATCTACATATACAATTAAATAAACACATTTTTCTGAAGCAATATAATAAAAAACAGAATGATCTGCTTCACTTCGTTTTAATCCAAAACTTTGAACAATGTAACTAAACTTTCCAAACTAAGCACGTGGAGATTGTTTGAGACCATAGAGAGAACGATGTAACTTACAAACCAAACTAGACTCCCCCTGAGCAAAAAAACCAGGAGGTTGCTCCATATAAATTTCCTCCTCATGATCACCATGCAAGAACGCATTCTTGATATCTAACTGATGAAGAGGCCAATGACGGATAACTGCCATAGCAAAGAAAAGTCGAACAGTAGTCATTTTGGCCACAGGAGAAAAAGTATCACTGTAGTCAAGGCCATAGATCTGAGTATAACCTTTTGCTACTAATCTAGCTTTGAGTTGATCAACTTCACCTTTTGGTCCAACTTTAATGGCATAGACCCAACGACAACCAACAGTCTTCTTCCCATGTGGAAGAGGAATTAAGTTCCATGTACCATTGTGCTCAAGAGCCTGCATTTCATCAATCATGGCTTGTCGCCATCCAAGATGATCAAGTGCCTCTTTCACATTTTTTGGAATAGTAATAGTGGATATAGAAGAAACAAAAGAAAAATAGGAAGGAGATAATCTATGGTAGCTAAGAAAATTGTAAATGGGATGTGGATTACGAGTAGAGCAAGTACCTTTGCGAATGACAATGGGCCAACTTGAGTCATCATTATCAGGAATCGTGGTATCAGGAGATGATTGAGAAGGATCTGCTGAGGAAGACTCATCTTGGGACATGGGACTGATCATTTGGCTCCTGTGTTGATAGGTAATAAGAGGCAGTGATGAGGATTCCGGTGTATTTTGTGTGGAATTTTGGGTGTCAGGAGGAGGAGGTACAAATGGCTCCACTAAGGGTATAGGTTGGACATTTTGGACCGAATTAATATCCTGCATAGAAAGAAGAAGGGAAGAAGGGAGTTGACTCAAAAAAAGTGACATTAGCAGACATGTAGTACCTCTTGGTTTCAGGAGAATAACATCGATATCCTTTTTGAAGACGAGAATATCCCAAGAAGACACATTTGATGGCTCTAGCTGATAGTTTATCTAAACTTGGAGACATATCATGAACAAAACATACGCAACCAAATACACGAGGAGAAACATGAAAGAGTGGGTCCTTTGGCAATAGAATAGAGTGTGAAACTTTATTGTTAAGAGAAGAAGATGACATTCTGTTAATGAGAAAACATGCAGTAAGAATAACATCTCCCTAATGATGAACGGGCATATTTCCACCAAGTAATAAGGTGCGAGCAGTTTCAACCAAATGTCTATTTTTTCGTTTTGCTATACCATTTTGTTGTGGTGTGTGAGGACAAGTAGACTGGTGTAAAATGCCTTGGGAGCTTAAGAGAGTGGAGAAATCAGTAGAAAAGTATTCTTTGGCATTATCACTTCGTAAAACTTTGATTACTTTTCCAAATTGATTTTTGATTTCGTTAAGGAAGGACTGAAAGATAGGTAATAATTCAGAACGGTCTTTCATTAGATAAATCCAAGTACACCTAGAAAACTCATCAATGAAGATAACAAAATATCTATAGCCAAAGGATGAGACACGACTAGGACCCCAAATATCAGAATGAACAAGAGAAAAGACAGAGTCACATCTAGATTCAGAACGTTTAGGAAAAGAGGACCTAGTATGTTTCCCTAGTTGACATGATTCACATTCAAAATCTTGAAGAGTCTGATGTTCAGGAACCATTTTTTTAAATCTTGATAAGTGAGGGTGCCCTAACCGTTCGTGTAATAGTTTTGGAGACAAGGATGCAACACAAGATACAGATGATTTAGTCCCAAGGTAGTATAAGCCTCCAGATTCATGTCCTTCGCCAATCTGTCGACCCGTACCACATTCCTGTATAACAAAAGAGTTGGCATTAAAGGTTACTGAACAATTCAATAATTTGGTTAATTGACTTAGGGAAATGAGACTGAAGGGACATGAAGGAACAAAAAGAACAGATTTTAAGTTTAAAGATGGAGAAATGGAGACTTGACCAGTTCCTTTAGAGGCTACTTTAGATCCGTTGGCTAAGGTTATGAGATGAGAAGTTTTAGGAAATGAGAGAGAAGAGAACAAAGAGGCATTACCAGACATGTGATTAGAAGCACCTGAGTCAATAATTCATGGATTTTGACTTTCCACATATTGTGAAATGCAAGCTGTTGATGAATTTGGGGTTGTTGATGACATTGCTAGATTACTGGATTTCAACCTCAAATATTCCTGATATTCTTCGTGAGAGAACTTGGGTTCAATCATTTCAGATTTGGAAAAATTAACAGTTTTATCAGGAAAACCGTGCAAAGAGTAGCAATTTTCCACTGTATGACCCATTCTCTTGCAATGAGTGCACTGAGGACGTCCTCTTCTAGTGTCGCGACTTCTTCTACGGGTAGAAATCATAGCAGAAGATTCAACAAGTTCTTGATTATTTTTTCCTTTGAGAGTTGGAACACGAAGCAGTCTTGTAGTCAAACTTTCCATAGAAGGAACTTCTTGTCCAGTTAAAATTTGATCTCTAACATGATCAAATTCTGAATTCATAGCCCGGAGAGTCATAACCATATAGAATTTATCCAACTTTTGCTTTATCTCCTCTAACGAGTCCACCTCTAGGAACATCTTTAATTCTTCAACTGCTGATTGAGCTTCAGCAATAAAGGTCATCATATCTTTATCCACTTGCTTGAGAGAGGCTAATCGATTAGTGGAATCATAGAGGCGTTGGATATCATTTGCAAAGATATTCTGAGCTTTTTTCCAGAAAAAGTTACATGTTTTGAAGGATCTAAGAGTGTTCAAAATATTTGGTTCTAGGAACATCTTTAATTCTTCAACTGCTGATTGAGCTTCAGCAATAAAGGTCATCATATCTTTATCCACTTGCTTGAGAGAGGCTAATCGATTAGTGGAATCATAGAGGCGTTGGATATCATTTGCAAAGATATTCTGAGCTTTTTTCCAGAAAAAGTTACATGTTTTGAAGGATCTAAGAGTGTTCAAAATATTTGGTTCTACTGATTGCCACAGTAGAACACAAAGTTGATAATCAAATTTTTTCCATTGTTGAGCCTGATCTTTTGGTATCTTACTTCCGTCTTCTTCTAGATGATCGTGAAACCCTTGTCCAAGGAACCAAAGTTCCACTGAAGAGGACCAAGACATGTAATTTTTTCCATTTAATTTCTCAGCCGTTATTGTGGGAGTTCCGGAAAAGGAGGTTGTGGGCCCTGACGACATGTTTTAAATAATGTAGATGTAAGATGGAGACAATGGAACCTGTAAGAAAGAGAACACCCAAGATAGCCAGAAGGTTACTGAAAGGTGGTCGGAAAGTCGTCGGACGGCAACAAACAAAAGGTGACTGGACGGGGGACTGACGGTTGCCGAAAAGGGACCGGAAAGTGGCCGGACGGTGATCGGAAAATGTCCGGACGGTGACCGAAAAATGGTCGGACGACTGGAAATGGCCGGCCGGTGACCGGAAATGGTCGGATGGTGGCCGGACAGGCAGAGCAGAACCAACCTGCTCTGATACCAAGTTAAGAGAGTAAAGAGAGTGAAAAGAAGATTTCTAATTTTGTGGATGCATTACTCCACTCTATGATCTCATATATATATAGGATTACAACATTTAAAACAACAACCACCAACTACTAACAACCACTAACTACCAACTACTAACCACTAACAACTAACTAATAATAATTCTAACACTCCCCCTCAAGCTGGAGCATACAAATTGTATGTGCCAAGCTTGGAACAAATAAATTCAATTCGAGGTCCTCTTAAAGACTTTGTCAACACATCTGCAAGTTGATCACTGGACTCGACAAATTCAGTGCAAATTTCTTTAGACAACAATTTTTCACGAATAAAATGACAATCAAGTTCTATATGTTTGGTCCTTTCATGGAACACCGGATTAGAGACAATGTGGAGAGCTGCTTGATTGTCACAATACATCTTCATCTGTTGGATCTCACAAAATTTCAGTTCTTGAAGGAATTGTTTCACCCACACTAGTTCACAAATCTCTGCCTGAAACTCGCCTGCCACTATTTGTTGCTGCCACACATTTTTCCTGTTCCAAACTAGATTGTACAAATTTGAGGGCTTAGGGAGTTGATTTGAAGATATCTATTTTGTTGTCTTTAGGATTTGGAAAGTCATGATCATTGATGGAACTGGTTTTATTGAAACCTCTTACAAAGACTAAAGTGCTGGAGACATTGTTCTGGTGGACTGTTTTTTATTTTATAGTTGTGGGTTAATTTGGGGAAAACTTTATTATTTTATTTGCATACTTAATTTTACTGAATTGGCTTATTTAAGTGGATGCTGTTGAGAACAGAGAAATCGAGAAGGCATATTTTAGGCATAATTAATCCTAATATATAGGGGAGAGAGCATAATTAATAATTACAAAATATTTAATTTCCTATTTTAAGCATAGACATAGAACCAATCTAATTGATCGTAATATCATATCTATAGAATTCCAACTTATCCATTGCTGGATCAGTTTTCCTAGAAATAGTTACAGGGCCAGTTCTATAATATCACTTTTTTTGGTTTCTCATGTGTATATTTTAACTTTTCAAATAATCAGAAGCTGAAAACATTCAGAAGTTCAATTATAATTAGGATCAATTTAGAACTGTTTCTCATAAAATCAATTACTTTTTTTTAAGTGTTTTTTCTGATAGTTAACAAACATTAATTAACTTCTAATCTCTATAAAATAGCCATTAAATTATTTTATACCAGAATTACTTCTTTTTAAAACATAAACAGACTGGCCCGTAAACAAGATTTAATATGCTATCTGTCATGTTTATAACTTACCAGAGATACATGTCATTTCTTCCTATGTTATCAAATTGTAGAATTATTAGAAAATACTTTGGTATGCTTAACCTGTGACCTAATTTTTTTTTTCTTTTGTGCAGATTGACTGTGACAAAAATTTCATGGTAACTTTGAAACATGATGACAAGTTACATGATGGGTCAGAATGTGCTTTTCAGGTATTTGGAAAGTTTACTGGTCTACTTTATTCCACGGGTTTATGACTTTCAGTTCACCCTACTTGGAAAATTGTTAGTCACGGGATGAAAATATTCTACCCTTTTTGTTCTGACTATAGTTTTTTTTTTTTTTTCAATTATTCAGTGTGCCCTTCTTTACACAACTCTATATGGCCAAAGAAGAATACGTGTCATAACCTTGTCTCTGCCTGTCACTAGTATGCTCAGTAATCTGTTCCGTGCAGCTGATTTGGACACTCAATTTTGCTGTTTCTTGAAACAGGGTATGTATCATTCATGATTATGCATTTCCATTATGTTTATTCTGTTTTTGACAATTGTGTTTCCCAGATATGGACTGTTGTTAACAGTTCTATATTGAGTTTTGTTGGCTTTATATATTGTAAATGCTTCCATGGTGGTATCATCCTGTTCATATTTTAAATTGTGTTTACTGTTATATTTTTTGGGTAGAGGAATTTTAACTATTTTTTTCCTGCAGCTGCTTATGAGATTCCTTCAAAGCCACTCCCATTTGTTCGGGAACAAGTAACAAGCCTTTGCATCAATGCACTATATTCATACCGTAAATTTTGTGCTACGGTGTCCTCATCTGGACAACTTATTCTTCCTGAGGCTCTAAAGCTTTTGCCCCTGTATACACTTGGTATGTATGAATTGTCATGTGTTGCAGAATTTTTCTGATGAACAATGTTGTGGAACTAAAGATATTATTTGTCATAGTTATTTCTATGTTGCATTCTACCTTTTATCAAACAGATAATCTTTAACCAATTTTTTTTTTTTTTATATTTGTATTTTTTACTTTTCTACTCCTGCATTGATATACCACTAATTAGTATTGATCAAAATTGGAATGCATTTGAAAAATTTATCCTGCATTTTATTGGATAATAATACTCTGGTCAATCAAATGTTCATTGGTTTTATCGGTATTTTCTTTATGCTAGACCTTCTGTTTTGAAGGTAGTGTTTTGTTTTAGCCAATTGGATAACTGTCAAAACTGTTATACTTTTGCTTGATTTATCAATGGCTAGTCTTAATTTATTAAGTTAAAACTTTGATATATGGTCTCCTAAGAAGGCCCGTACAAGTGGGTGCTAATTCCATTAATTTATTTTTCAGCATTAACTAAGAGTACAGGGTTGCGAACGGAGGGGAAAATAGATGAACGGTCATTTTGGATAAATTATGTGTCCTCTATCTCTGTTCCATTGGCAATACCACTTGTGTATCCTAGGATGGTGGCTATCCATGATCTTGACTCAAAGGTATATTGATTAATCATATTAAAAGAAAATATATAATTGTGAAAAATCATGATATTCTATGTGAAACACATCTGAGTGAATTACATATTATTAGCAATTACGGAATCATAAATTGATTTTTAAAAATGATAATGAATTTTTTATTTTGAAATTTATTTTGTACAGGTGCTTATTAACCTTGACTATTTACGAGACACTGAGAGATTTTTATAAATTGCAGGAAGATGAAGAGTCTGTTATTCCTCCGTTTCTTCCTCTTTCCAGTGAACACATTAGTGATGATGGAATATATCTTCTTGAAAATGGTCATGATTGTTTGATATATGTTGGAGGCTCTGTGAATCCAGACATTGTGAAGAAACTATTTGGTGTTGTTACAATTGACGAAGTCCCTACTCTGGTAATTTGCTTGCTGTCTTATTTTTCTCTCCTGGTGTCATTGTCTAACAGCATATGGTCAAATTCTATCCCTAGCAGTGGCTGTTTTCAAGGAAACTTCCTATCATACCCTGGTGGATTTTAGTCCACATGACTCTTTCTAGTATGCTGAAAGAAATAGATGTTTAAATCATGTTGCTTTAATGATTTTCTAGTGCTTTATATTTCATACCTGGCAATCCTAAGTTAACAATTATGTTTTATCAGTTCGTATTGCAGCAGTATGACAATCCACTATCAAAGAAGTTAAATGAAGTGGTTAATGAGATACGGCGGCAAAGATGTTCCTACCTCCGGTAAACTAATTGTTTTGAGAATTATTGCGTGTTTCTGACCTTGTCAAATAATCTTCCATGTGCTTTGATGTCTACATGAAATGTAAATTTTTAATAATCTTTATATCTCTGGCAGGTTAAAGCTCTGCAGGAAAGGGGATCCATCAGGTCAGTGCCTCAGAATAATTGTGTAAACCTGATATCTCAACGTCGCTGTATTTTTAACTAATAGCATAACAGAAAGAAGTTAATTTAGAACATTAAATCACGTAGATTCATTCCCCAATCCTATTAACAATGTTTCATTTTTCCTGTCTTCTGAAAAGTTCATTATTTCGATTGTCTAATCTTCAAACATGTTGCTTGCTCTCTTTGGTAATTGTTGAATATAGGGAAAAACTGTATTGGGTTAATTTCCCTTATGTATTTACCACACATAGGGCAGTGTATTTATAATAAAGAAAGGTACTCCTCAAAAGAGTAACATAATACAAATAGGGTAAATAAAAAGATATTATTTGATATTGTGATTAACAATATCTAACAATATCTCAACAATATCAAACAATATCAACTAATATCTAATCATATCTAACACTCCCCTCAAGCTCGGAGCATACAAATCGTATGTGCCTAGCTTGGTACAAAGATAATCCATCCTAGGTCCCCGCAAAGACTTAGTGAAAATATCTCGCTAATTGATCACATGAGTTAACGAACTCAGCCTTGATGTCTCCGGACATAATCTTTTCCCGAATAAAATGGCAAGTCAATCTCAATGTGTTTAGTCCTCTCATGAAAGACAGGATTAGAGCTTATATGGAGAGCAACTCGATTGTCACACACTAGTGTCATTTGAGTGACATCTCCAAATTGTAGCTCTTTAAGCAATTGCTTGAGCCAAATAAGTTCACAGGTAACCGAGGCCATAGCTCTATACTCGCTTCGCACCGGATCTTGCCACAACACTTTGTTTCTTACTTTTCCATGAGATCAAGTTACCACCAATGGAAACACAATACCCGGATGTAGATCTTCTATCGAGGGAGATCCCGCCCAATCGACATCCGAATAGCAGATAACTCTTGTATGATTATGGGAGTCATACACCAAACCTTTTCCAGGAGACTTTTTGATGTACTTCAATATACTGGATGACCGCATTCCAATGATCTTGACAAGGAGAATTGAGGAATTGACTCACCACACCGACCGCAAAGGAAATGTCGTGGCGAGTAACCGTAAGATAATTTAATTTTCCAACTAATCTTCTATACTCGTTCGAGATCCGACATTGGCTCCCCCGATTTGGCAAGAGTTTGGTATTAGGATCCATGGGTGTGTCAACAGGCTTTGAATTCATCAACCCAGCTTTCCTCCAAAATATCCAATGCATACTTTCTTTGAGATATAACAATGTCATCTGTAGATTGTGCTACCTCAATACCCAAGAAATATCCGAGTTTGCCAAGATCTTTGGTTTGAAAATGGTGGCAAAGGTGTTGTTTCATCCGAGAGATGCCATGATGGTCACTACTCGTAAGAACAATGTCATCGACATACACTATCAAATAGATACATCCAAAGCATTCGAGTGACTGGTAAAAGACCGAGTGGTCTCGCCTCACTTCTAGTCATGCCAAATTGTTGAACAACGCCGCTAAATTTTCCAAACCAGGCCCTAGGAGACTATTTTAGGCCATATAAAGATTTGCGAAGACGACATACCAATCCGTAAGACTCCCCCGAGCAACAAATCCGGAGGTTGCTCCATATAAATCTCTTCTTGCAAATCGCCATTCAAGAAAGCATTTTTGACATCCAAGTTGATAAAGAGGCCATTGTTGAATAGCAGACCATGGCAATGAATAAACGAACATAAGCCATCTTTGCCATCGGAGAGAAAGTATCACCATAATCCAACCCAAAAATTTGGGTATAGCCTTTGGCTACAAGGCGAGCTTTGAGGTGATCAATAGTACCATCAGGACCAACCTTGATAGCGAAGACCCACCCGCAACCAACAACAGATTTTCCGGATGGTAATGGGACAAGCGTCCAGGTTCCACTAGTCTCGAAGAGCACCGAGTTCATCTAGCATGGCCTCGACGCCAACCAGGGTGGGCTAAGGCTTCGAGAGACGATTTAGGAATAGACACGTAAGAAATAGACGAGAGACAGGTATAAAATGGTGAAGAAATTCGATGATAACTTAAAGCAAGTATAATGTGGAGAAGGATTACGAGTAGAACGCGTACCTTTACGAAGGGCAATAGGAAGGTCAGACTCGTGGACGGAACCGGAGGAGGCAGAGTATTTGGCACTGGGAGTGAGTCATGTGGCGTCTGTTGTGGGCGAGGTCTCGCGACTATAAACCCGAAGGGGTGGTGGAGGAGGAGGGGCTAATGGTGGATGGTCCTCAACATAAGGATCAATGAGAACAGGAATGGGAACTCGTAGCGAGATGGAGACTCAGCAGGTAGGGAAGGGTCCTTAAAGTAAAAGGAAAACTCATTGAAGGTGACATCTGCAGACACAAAATAGCGATTAAGAGAAGGAGAAAAACACTTGTATCCTTTTTGGGATCGAGTAAATCCTAAGAAAACACATTTGTGTGATCGAGGAGATAACTTATCATGACCAGGATCAAAATTGTGGACAAAACAGTAGACCCAAAAACCTTCGGAGGTAAAGGATGGAGAGTGTCATGAGGAAATAAAATAGAATGGGGAATTTTGTTATCTAAAACCGAAGAGGACATACGATTAATAAGATAACAGGCAAGAAGAACAAGCATCACCCCAAAAATGTTGAGGAACCTCACCATGAATTAAAAGAGTACGGGTTGTTTCAATAAGGTGTCTATTCTTGCGCTCAGCCACCCCATTTTGTTGAGGGGTATAAGCACAGGAAGTTTGATGAAGAATGCCATGAGAAGCCATAAATTGTTTAAACGAGTTTGAAAGATATTCACGGCCATTATCACTTCGAAAAGTTTGAATAGAGACACCAAATTGATTTTTAATTTCATGATAAAAGTTTTGGAATATAGAAAACAACTCGTAACGATTTTTCATTAAAAATAACCAAGTACAACGAGAGAAATCATCAATAAAAGTAACAAAATATTGAAAACCTAAATTAGACTTAACACGACCGGGTCCCCAAATGTCGAGTGAACTAAGGCAAAGGGGGATGAAGCACGCTGGGAAACACTACGAGAAAAGGAAGTACGACTATGTTTGCCTAACCGACAGGACTCACACACCAAATTGGACAACTCGGGATAAGCCGGGAACAAGTTGCCGTAATTTGCGCAGACCGGGGTGACCAAGTTGAGCATGAAGGAGATAAGGAGACTCCATAACCGTGCCAACATGTGGAGAAGGTTGAAGATAATAAAGTCCATGTGACTCACATCCGGTGCCAATCACTCTTTGCGAGCTCCGGTCCCGTAGGAAACAAAAGTTTTGGTAAAAGAGATAACACAATCAAGAGATCGAGTTAGACGACTAATGGATAATAAGTTAAAGGGGGACCCGGTACATACAAAACATTATCAATGGACAACGAGGGAAAAAGAGTAACCGTTCCAACACCATGAGCTAAAGTTGTAGACCCATTAGCCATTGTAACGGAGGGTAAATTATGAGAAGAAGTGAAAGAGGAAAATAAGGATTTGTTACCGAGTGATGTGATCGGTGGCGCTCGAGTCAAGAACCCAAGGGCCAATAGAAGAAGAGTGAGTCAAACCAAGCAAAAGATGTACCCGTGTGGGCAACGAAGTAGTGGAACTGGAGGGCTTTCGATTCTCATACCATTGAAGAAAATCATTGAAGATAGCGGATTTGTCCGAAGGTACAGACGAAGGAGGATCCACAGCAGAGGATTGTGCTGAAGAATCAGCCCGAGCAACTGCAGCAGATCGGCGAGGATAACCATGTAAAGCATAACATTTGTCAATTTTGTGGCCTAGTTTGCCACAATGGTCACACTTGACACGCCCTTTGCCCGGCTTGTGAGAGCGATTACGATCATCACTGTGAGAGGCCAAGGCAGATGAATCATTAGAAACTACAGGGGGAATATTGAGAGGTTTACATGGAACCCGCAAAGGGAGGAACTGGTAGCGGTAAACCGGGTGTAACAGGGGAACCCAAAATCTGGTCACGAACAGGGCATATTTATCAGCAAGTCCGTGTAACATCAAAACCATGAAAAACTTTGATCGTTGCTCTAATTCTTGGGCAGGAGTCGAGGCAGGGGGTAATAACTCATTAAATTCATGGAGAAGAGCATGGATCTTACCCACATAATCCGCCACAGGATCCTTATCTCGAGGAGCAATAACATCAAGAAGATTGTAACAAACACCATAAAGACGTTGAGTGTCATTGGTGTATAATAATTTGGCTTGTTCCCAAACGTCATAACATGTGCCATACGATCGAAAAATTTGTTTTAAAGAAGATTGGATGGTATTCTTGAGAACCATACATATATGAGCATCAACTTTCTTCCAACGGACACGATCATTGGAAGGAACATCATCTACCTTGGTAGTAAGATGATCAACATACCCCCGACTCTCAAGCCAAAGTCTAATATCGGATGCCCAAGTTGCATAATTCGTACCATCTAATTTATCAATGGGTAAATTCACATTGACATAATTAGTAAAAACAGATTGCTCGGACCCACCGAGCCGACAGAGGTAACTTCAGAATTGGAAGTGGCAGCGGAAGATGCCATGGAGGAAGAGAGAGAAAAACCCTAAAACACCAAAGAGGTCCGATTGGAACAGCGAGGACAGATCCAGAGAGAGGAGAAGGAGGCGACGCCGGCGCAAAGATCGGAGGCCTGAACGGTGGCGAGACGCGCCGCCACACGCGGCGGAACGGGAGAAGGTGGCGCGGCTTCGGGAGGCGCGTGAGGGAGGGTGGCTGCTCCGATGACCGCGAAACTTCCACGGTGGAGGTCGCACGGAGGAGGCGAGCAAAACCCTGTGCTCGGCGATCCGAGCTGCTACTCTGGCGACGGCGGCGGCGGCGGCGGACGGCGGTGGCGACGGCGGCGGCGATGGAGGCGGCGACAGCTGCAGGTTCAGTGGCAGAGCCGAAAAAAAATCCCAAAAGACCTTAAGCTCTTGATACCATGTTGAATATAGGGAAAAACTGTATTGGGTTAATTTCCCTTATGTATTTACCACACATAGGGCAGTGTATTTATAATAAAGAAAGGTACTCCTCAAAAGAGTAACATAATACAAATAGGGTAAATAAAAAGATATTATTTGATATTGTGATTAACAATTTCTAACAATATCTCAACAATATCAAACAATATCAACTAATATCTAATCATATCTAACAGTAATATTTGCTTCATTAGCCAGTGCTAGTTTTCTTGGAAAGCATTGTTTCCTGGTTCTTAAAACATGCCCAATGGTTCTTTATTACATTTCATGATTTCTTGTGGAAAATTCCAAAGATGATGCTGTGCTATGTGAAACTTTTCTGGATTGGTTTCTCACGGAGTGGTATTTGTAATGTAGGCTGTAGATTATGCTGTTTGAGTTTATGATCTCTCTTGGCTAGGATTCGATTGCCATAGATTATGTAGATTATGTTATTGCGCTTACTTGCTTAACATGAGTAAAAGACAAATTTTTTATAATAAAATAATTTTTGAGCATTTAGAAATATTATCTTCAAGTTCAAAAACAATAAAGTTAGTGAATCAATAATATTCTCTAAATTTACAACTTGTCTGCTAAATTCTCAATAACTCCGCATTGTTTATGCTGGGTATAAACTAGGAAGTATTCAAATAAAAGAAAGAAATCTATAAATTGTTATGGTGGTGTACATTGTTCTTGATATTTGAACTTAACACATGTTATTTACTATCCATCAGGAATGTTATTCTTCTCATATATGATAGAAGACAAGAGCGCTGGTGGCTTCTCCTATGTAGAGTTTCTTATCCATGTCCATAGGCAAATTCAAAATAAAATGACATCATAACGAGTTTATGGCAGCTTCAATTTTGCAAGCTTTTAGACCTGAACAATAGACCAAGCCCCCCGTATAGGTGAGATTCTGCGTATTTAAGCGCATTCAAATGCCTTGAGTTTGTCAGAGAAAAACCAGACGACGTAACATTTTGTCAAGTTTTGTTGATGTACATGTATAAGTATTAATGTTGGTGATAGTTGGATTTTCTGAGAAGTTTTTTATTTTCTTGGGTTCTACAGTTAACCGACAAATCAAATTTTATGGACAATTGTGTTTTTATGCGAAATATTAACTCTCATTGTCATTTTAATAAATTTAGAGAGGACAAAATAGACTAAATACAAATTATTCTTTCATAACTTCTAAGAAAATATTGTTTGATATGCATTTCAGATTCAGTGCTAGACATATGAAAACCTACACGAAAAGCAGGAAATCAAAATGAGGAAAATGAAGGAGAACAAAGTTGTTTTATAATGAAATTGAAGCGGATTGCAAAGATTTGCTGGTAGGAGAACATAATAGCTTAATTACTGGTTTTGTTTGAAATCTTAAAAAATGTTATTATATTAAAAATTCTGATGGAGAGTTTTGTTATGTATTATAGCTTAATCTAAATCCATTTTGAATTAGTTGGATGTTTAACATATTATTCAAATTCCGTAAATATTTAACTGAATAAAATGTTATTAGACACATCTATACCATGGGAATTCAGAGTCTCATAGCAGGCTTTATAAGAGAAAGAGAAGAAGTTAGAAAAAAATTGGGCAAAATTGTTGTAAAAATATCGAACTTGCTTTTAAAAAATTTCTTTTGTGATCAATCATTTTCAGCTGATTTCAGTCAACTTGATACTCACCAAAAAGATAATTGAATTCTGAAATCAAACAGTGGAAAGATATTTCCTTACCTCGATATGTTTTTAACGAAAGTTAATTAGAAAATATTTTAATTATGAAATTTGTCCAAACAAGGGTTTCTGGCTACCACCTAATTTACTAGTGTTTTCCAGTATATATATAATTTGACATTATGCTTTTTAAAGAATTATTCTGATAAATTTGGATTTTTATTTATGAGTAAGAGTATTTTTAAGAATTATTTTCATCTTCAATAAACTACGTGACTTATTAAATTGATATTTTTATTTCCTGTAAATCCTGTTTCCTCTATTAATAAACTAAAATTTTAAAAAAATGATAATATAATCTTAATCCTAATTTCATTTTCAAATGTTAACAATATTAATATTAGTAATAATGATGAAGAATCCTAATTTGAATAACTTGTTTCTATTTTCGTTGTCAGCGTTAAACAATCTCATTAATTTATTAATGTTTGATATTAATAATGCCTTATTATTAATAATACATTATTTATCTTATTATAATTATTAATCTATTTTATTCATAAGTTTATTAAAACAATCTTTTTAAAATCGAACGTGATAAATACATCATTTTAAGATTTAATGATGTAATTCAAATTTAATAAAATAATATTTTTATAATATAATAAATATATAATAAATTTATTAATAATAATATTTTTTTACAAAAGATATAAAAATAATAAAGTTAATGTCATAAAAACAATCAGTCACAATAAAAATTATAAATATAAAATATAGTAGAGAGTGAAATAAATAATTGTTAAAATAAGATAAAAATATAATAAATTTATTATTATTTAAAATTGATATAATTAATATGAAATAAAAAAAATAAAATATATTATATTATTTAATATTTTTTTACTATTTGATCCAAAAATTCAACTATTTTTTTTATTTTATCAGTTTTTTCCTAATTTTTTTTAAAATTTCTTTTAGATTAATTAAATTCTAAGTAATAATTTCGACGGTTAAATTTGCCGATTCAGTCATATTTCTAAAGTCATACGCGTGAAAATATCTATTTTTTTCTAATAGTTTTTTTCCCGTTTATTAAATAAACACTAATATCTCTTTGTGCTATATTGATTAGTGTTTACTGCATGTGTTTTGACATATCTTTTCTATTACATAAACAGTTTTCGTATAATATGAAAACGGGTACCTAGTCACCATGTCAACCTAAAAATGTGAACAAATGTTTTACCTGCGTTGATTCAATTTTTTTAAACATAAACATGTTAGGAAACAATTTTTTCCAAAATTATTTTGGGTTGAATTTTCCACAATCATTCTCATAAAAGCAAATCGAACTTTTTTTTGAAAAAAAAAAAATGTTATATTACTCATTGATTTTCAAACAATTCAGATGATATTATTTTATTTTTATCAACCGAACATGTTTAATTATTTGTATAAATCATAATTTTCAGGAATTATGATTTCTAATTATGATTCTTTTATCAAGCTTCCCCTTAAATGCCTGTCCAATGCTCAATATTTTGTAATGCTTTTAATGACTCCCCGAATTCAACAATCTTTGAGCAGTAAAAAACTCAGATGAACAAAAAAAGTAATAATTTATAGAGAAAAGTTCAAAATATGAAGTGTTAATCTAATACTAATACTGACTGAGAATATTATTCATCACTCAACTTAAAAAGAATACATGATTTTTGGCAGCATGCATCACACCAAGACAATGCACCATGCCTTTCTCGTACTTTTGGTAAATTCTTAAAGTTGAGACATGACACTTCAAATTAAGATTTGTTTAATTGTCGTATTATTCATCAGGAATTCTCTTGGTAAGGCTACGAAGGAAACGAGTAAGAGCATTCTTAGCTCCAATTGTTGCTGTCTCTATTTTTTTCTCCTCTTCTTCATTATCAGCCTTCATTTCTTGAGTAATGTGCACTCTTCTTACAAGCTTTCTCAACTCCTGTCAAACATGTTATGATATGTAAAGAGAACATAGAGTGAAGGTTGTGCCATTAATATCACAGCAAAAAGAAAGTGGACATATGATTAGCACACAGGTTATTTTAAAATGGGTATCTTTCTAGTATTTTTTTTTTTTTTGTACAGAATATAGAGACTCTGTTTCATTTCAAAACTGAGTCATCACCCTCAAGTTTTTACATGGTTTCTGCCCGAATGTCGGGTTGATTTGAAATATGCTCTTGAAATTAATTCCCATATGATGTGAGATAATGTATGAGTCACTATTAATCTGAATCTGAAAGCTCAATCAAGTCCAGATTTACATTATTTATATCGAGTCTAAATATTACCTGGCGATCAAATTCAACTCCCTGGACTGAATAAATTTCATTGGTGATTTCAATGTCCTTACTGATCAAACCATCAAACCACCTTGTCACTTGACTATGGTACCAATTAGACTCCTGATAAAATGCTTCAAATATAAGAATACAACTCAAGGACGTAATAATTATCACATCATAAGTAAATATAACATAGATTTAGCAAGCAACACCCCTAATGAGAGAGAGTGAGAGGAAAGTGTGGTATTAACTTAGTAGAGTCATGTCTATTGGGTATAAAATTCAAGTATGAATGTTGAATACATACCTCCTGGTCCTCCTCCGATTCAGATTCAACCAAGTCATCTTCATCATCATCTTCAGGGTCATCAGACCCTAAGCCAGTTAAAGCTCGCAACTCCTTGTGATCTGAATCTTTTGTAGCTTTAATTAATCGGTCCATTAACTCCGGATCTACTTCCCGTAGCAATTTCCCTGAGACAATTTACGTATGAAGAACATGAATCTGCACTGCAGGATATGCATAATATCAAATCAACTTACCACACACACACACACACACACACACACATATATATATATATATATATCAATTAGCAATTGTACAGTAATCTATCCTAAATGGCATTAACATGATAAGTTAACATAAGCAACAACATGCATATATCGACTCCCTACTAATGCAAAATCAAAATTGGAAAGAGCAGAAAAACACATCTGATGTCGAAAAAAATATGACATGATGTTAAATCATGTTTTGAATGTTTGTTATCCTCATAAATGCATAATACAACGAACCCAATATAATTGAAGTGCTCCGGAAGTAATTAATTACCAATATAATTGAACTGCCTCCGCCTTCCTTCACGGACATCAGGTGCCAGCCTCTGCGGCAAAACAACAAACACTTTCTCTTCAACAATAGACTCATCCACAATAACATTTTCACAACCTATTAATTAAATACATAAAAGATTGCGCTAGTACGACTTTCCCTACGTCATGAATATGGTACAAAAGAAAAGAAAAAGGCACCTTAACGAGCATAAGAGCTTCGAACACAACTTGGTCCAAGGAAGCGACCCTGCAACAACCCAAAAGAAAGCACACGAGGTTTTAAGCAAAGGAGGGAACTTTGGGAGGTGGGCATTGAGGAAAAGGAAAAGGATATAAAGGGGAATGAAAAAAATGACAGCAAACCTAAGGATGCGTTTGATTTGTGGAGCGGAGAAGGAAGCCAAGTCCATCCCCCACTTGACAGCGCGCTTGGCTTCTCGCTTCAACTCGTTCCGGCTCTTCTTGGCCTCGAGATCGGCGTCGGAAGTGGGTGGTAGTGGACAGTTGGGTGTTCGAAGTTTAGGACGAGACGAAGCCAACGTCGCAAAGGACAAACGGTGAGAGGTTGGTGGTGTTTTAGATGTTGTGGGTTGAGATGGTGGAGGGTTGAGAAGGTGGCGGTGGTGGTGGTGGTGGTGGTGGTGGAGAGGAAGGGTGACACAAGTGCGGTGGTGGTGGTGGAACCATGGCCATTGTCGTAGAGGGCGTAACACTTGGTGAGTCATGTGTGTATCATCAGAAAAGAAAAGAGGTTCTCTTTAAATTCAGTGCTTTTCAGTTGTTGGTTATTGGAATGGAGCATGAAATTCAGTTTCTTGCTCATAACAACGTTAACTTTCATACCTTATAGTTTAACGTAAGTCACATTTTTTAACAATATCTTTCCATTGTTGGAAAAACTTGTGATTTTGTATGAGTTCCGTGTAATCAAGTAACATTGTTCAACTGCTTCACCAAAAATAAATATTTTTCACACATAGGAGTTAATATTTATAATGATGTAAGTTAAACATTCAAAATATTCATTTTGTAAGTTTTTAATGTTTTTACATAAACAATTGTTTATTTAAGAAACCATTATTAGATTCTAATCATTCTAATAAGTAATTTATCTCTTGACAATTATATTATCTTTTTCATTTTTAAATGGTTCTAGTTTAGAAATTTTGCATATAAATTAATTTACTAAAACAAAACATCATTTTAATAAATACATTAACTTTATTTGCAACAAATACAATAAACATGTTAATAGGAGCATTTTTTTTTATAAATACTATCAAATTTTGTGGTTTTGTAAAATATGACGAGACATGCGCTCAATGAGGAAGAAGTGGTGAAACGCACAAGGTGATGCCGTTTCAAAAAGTCCTTATTCCAACAAAAGCAATAAAATGTCATTACCAACCCTTCAGTTCAGATTTGACTTCCTCTCCTGCGCTACCATTCTCATCGCTTCTCTTCCCCTCCATCTTCAATTTCACTTCTAGGTATCTCTCAGCTTCCCAATCCTCTTCCTCTCACTCATTTTTCGCATAATTTCTCACCCACATGTTCCTTCTTTCAATACACTGCTGATAATAATTTGACCTAACTAAATCCCCTTTTGATTATAATACATTCTTTGTTTTCATCGTTTTTATTGACCGCTAATTGCTTGAATCTAGTCACTGACAACTACTCCTTTGTTTTTTATTTATTTAATTTTTTTAATGGAAGATATTGCCATAGTTCCATGTGAATAATGTGTTGCCAGTTTAAACGGCAGGCATTGCACAGTAAAGGCGTCTTTTTTCATTTAATTTGAATTGGAAGTAAATAATGCAAGGAGAAGATAAAAGAGGAAATCATGCTTTGTCTTGATGAATGTTTGATAAGATCTTCATATTCATACGTTTGATTTGTTCTTTACAGAGGATAATTATTTAGATGGAGTTTCTGCATACCCTCTCAGTGGTTATCGTTTAGAAAAGTTGTCGTAATCAGCGCTGCCACTAGGAATGGTTTATGATTTGTTTGGTTAGAGAATATTTTTCAAGAACCTCGAAATTGATCAAGTGATCGAGAGAGTTGTAGATAATTTATTTTTTGGGGGTATGACTAGATTAATGTCGTGTTTGAATTCCCTTCTAGGAGAAAAAAAAAATACGAAGTTTAATTCGTTTTTCCATTTAGCATTTGTAAACTCAAATTAACTTACGCAGAAACTGATGTGTAGCGACTCTCTTCATTTAGCATTTGTAAAACCTAAGTTTAAATTATGCATAAACTTTTTAAGTGGCAGAAGTTTAATTCGTTTTTCCATCTTATTGTCTGTTCTTATAAGATGACTGGAAGTTTATGAAAAAAGTTTGTCCAAACAGGATATAAATAACTCATCATTTTGATAATCATCAATAAAAGACACAGAGGTCTCATAAAACTATGTTACGCTTTAACACAGAAGCCTCCCTGATGGAGTGGGTGATTGCTGACCTTTATTTTTTCTTTCCTGATCTGAGTAGAATAACTAGAAGATGAAATTGGAAGGAGAAGGACTAATGGTCATGAGTCTTTTTCTGAGAAACCACCTTACTTTGGCACTCTTTGATTTTAATATTAAATAAATATCTGCATTTTGCATACATTGGTATTATATTTCTGCTGTGTTGAAGTCATCTTACAATTTTGTAATGGAAAATCAGAAATAGCACCAGTATTGTATGGCTTCCTTCAGAGCATTTTGGAACAGTCCAGTAGGTCCCAAAACAACTCACTTTTGGGGACCTGTTGCCAACTGGGGATTTGTGGCAGCTGTGAGTTTCATTCATATGATCATCTGATTATATTATTGAAGAAGTTTAGCATTTATTCACTCAACTAGTTATTCATAATGTACGTTGGTCTTAACCTTTGAACTCTGAACTGATCTGATTTTTTTTTATTAAAAGGGATTGGCTGACATGAACAAACCTCCAGAAATGATCTCTGGCAACATGACAGGAGGTTTATCTATCATCTCTGCTCCTACAAAATGTTGAAACTCTTTTCCCTTTATATGGTCTGATGCTTATTGCATCTATTGTTTGTTGTTAATACTGCAGCAATGTGTATATATTCAGCATTATTCATGAGATTTGCATGGATGGTACAACCACGCAATTATCTACTTTTGGCTTGTCATGCCTCAAATGAGACTGTTCAACTCTATCAGTTCTCCCGATGGGCAAGGGCAGAGGGGTAAGCAGCTTGCATATTAGCAAAGCTAAACTACTATGTTTATCCAGTTCTATTATATGTTACCCTCTGCGATGTTAATGTTCCATGCATTACAATGCTATTTAAACATATATTTGTTATGAATTGCTCTTTTGTATATGAATTAGTTTTACCTAGAACTGCCTGTAATATTAGTAGATCGTCACCAGGGATTCTCTTTGGATGTGGTGTTCGAAAAAGTTTCTTCGATTTACAAGCCCCACTAGGATACTAGGCGTAATGAATTGACCATACTTTGTGTAACCAAATATATGAAATGGCCATACTCTGACACGCTTGATTTATTATGATTTATCACCATCGTGGAGTTAGTGTTGTTTCCACCGATTTCAATCTTTATTTGAGTAATGTTAACATCTGGAAATACTCTCTTTGATACACATCACCATTATTCATGAGCCCTTACTAAATGAGGAGAGGCCAAGTATTTTAGTAGGATTCTCGTAAAATTTATCTAATCCTGATGTAAGAAGAGTGTCTTATGAGTAGCATTTCTCTTTGTATTTGTTTATCTATTTAAGCCCCTGTGAGGGATGCTCTTCGCAATATTTGAACCGGTCTTTTATGCATTATCAGACATTTATTTTAACGCAATGGAGCGGTGGATACACTGTTTACTGATAAAGTGTGCATTTCTTGCAATTTCTTTTGAAGGCATCTGTCGGCTAAGAAGGAGGAAGCTTCATCTCAGTAGCTTTCCTGGGTGGTGATTTGAAAGTTTTGCATTTGAACTTGTGGATGTATGAATAAGAGATTACTGGTTGTAACAAGGGCCTTGTGGAAACTGTAAAAGACCGGCCGTGAAAGGATTGCGCAGAAGTCTAAACTATTTGAAGCTATGGGTGGGTGGGTTTTATATGTCTAACATATTGTGACCTATAAATCTTTAAACTTAAAGCACAGACAAAGGATTTGTCTATTATATCTCATGCTGAAATTCATTTCAATTACAAACTACAAAGTTGACCGTTAAAGATTGTACTGTGACTGTTTTTTGTAATTCAGTCATGCCAAGGGAAAGCCAGAGTTTATTCATTTGAAACTTGATGTTGTTGGTTATGATAAAAGCAGTTCAAATATCCATCTAATTCATTGACAAGTAAATTCATCTGTTTCATTTATGAAAAATAATAGCAATAGATTAAAACTAATTCATTTTTTCAGATATATACTTTATTAATGATTTATTTATTATTTTTCAAAATTAATTGATTATATGAAATAAAATAAAGAAAATCTTATTTAATACAACACGGTAGTCTTTCTCTCCTTCCCCTGTTCTATTTCTCTCATCACTCATGTTATAGTAACACAAAATTAGTCTCTGAAATAATGAATAATATAATTTTCTGAAGGTAAAAGCTTCATTTTATTATTTAAAATTATTAAATGGTATTAATTTCAGTCTTGACTCTAATTAAAAGGTTTTTAGTAGTTAAAATGAAACTTTACAGGTTTTTTCCTAGCGCTAGCCCTTAACAGGAAAATCATGTGGTTTTATCAAATAATGTGAAAGCTTAAATTATTTGCTTCTTATTTTTATTTCACGTGAAAAAAAGAACATCCCGCGGGGTACCAAACATGCTATAGAACGCAACTCAAATCTGTTGCACGTGGTTGAAGCAAACCAAGTTAATGATTCTGCCTCTTATGCTATTGCCTGTCTGATAAATTATGCATGAATTCAATTATATATTAAGCTTCACATCTTTCCAAAGAAAATCTTGATTAACACGGTTTTGTCAAGAGTTTCCAGACACCCTATGTGTCAATGAATGGCCATGTCTGCATCTGAAAAAATGGATTAAAAAAGTGAACGAGGATGTGGAAGCCATGGCAGTCATAGATAAAAATAAATAAATAAAACAAAGATGTTTGATTAAAAATAAAAATAAACATATTGAATATTACTTATTTTCATATACTCAAAATTATTTTTTTACGTAAAAAAAACATTTTTATTTTCTAAAACAAACAAGACGCAAAAAAAAATACATTTTTAAATATAGGGATTACAGGAGAAAGTTTTCATACAATCAAATGAATAATTTAACTAAAAAAAGTTATCTGGGTTCATAAGTTCTTGTTTGAACAATTTTGTTATTTCTTTTCAGCCTAGAAATTATTCATGTTTTAGAAGAAAAATCGAATTTGTGAAGGGTTTGTGATTGATCAGGATTAACGCATGAACACTTTTCTTTGATAATTAAAAAGAAAAAAGGGTTTTTGGAGAAGAGAGAGGGGGAATGGCGGAAGAGAAAAGCGAGGGAGTGAAGAAGGGGATGAGTCCATGGGAGCAGCATTCGGCGGTTATCAACCTCCCTCGCTTCGACTACAACGCTCCCTCTTCTCTTCTTCGTAACTCCCATTCTGGATTTCTCATCACTTGCACTATCAGTTCAGTTACTTCTCTTCTTTTTCTTCATTTCTCATTCATTCGTTTTCCCTTTCATTTATGCCATTTTCTATTTCGCTTGCCAGAGCGGGAGAAGAGCGCCACAAAAGAAGCAATCTCCATCCTTCATAAGGTCAATATTACTTCTTTTTCTTCATGAAGATAACCATATAACTATTCTCATGTTTGTGGAAATTAGTGAAAATGGTTTCTTTACTGTCTCATTACTCATTTATAATTGTTTCTTACAGTTTGTTGAGCCGGCTCATTGTGACTCTTCAAATAACCCTAATGAGAGTAGTATTTCTAAGAGACAGAAGTTGTGCACTGACGATGCTGGTGAGGAGTGTTTGGATAGCAAGGAAACCGAGTCTGCTACTGCTAACTCTGGAGACGGTATTCAGTTTATTTACTTAACTTTTTAGCAGTTTGGGAGATGGACTGTTGTTTGATAGGGTTTTATTAAACAACCGGACATGGTCTTTGTTTCTGATGGCAGGTAAAGTTTCAAGTGCTGTTAGAGCAGAGCCAGACAAAGATGGAGTAACTGGTCTTTCTTTGGTTAAGCTCACAAGGAATGGGTTGCTTCTCTTTACCTATCCCAATCACACACAGCCTGACACTGTTAATGTTGTGTCAAATATCATCCAAGCTTTGGAATCTGGGAATGGAAGTTTGCCAGCGTAAGTAAATTAGCTCATTCTTGTGTTACTAGTTAAATGTTTTGTTTGTTGTTTAGTGTTTTAGTATGCAAATGATGCTAGGTGTAGTGTAAACTTATTCTGTCCTCTATCTGCCTTGCCACCCAAGGGAAAGAAGTGGAACCTTGAAAACTCAAGCCAGGGATGTTGGTCCAGGAGGGAACTGATTAATAGGAAGTGGTTAATGAAGTTGTAGAATTTGTTAACCACTCTATCATTTGTGAATCTGACTTACCAGGTTTTGCTCCCCTGTTCCCTCTAGTTCCTACTCTTTGGGTTGGCTTTCCTGGAGTTCTCCCAAGAAGTAATCCTGCTGATATTCTGTTTATTTTGGTTTATACATTAAGTACACGGGAAAATGAGGGAAAAAGTATTTCCAGCTTCAACTCAACCATCCTATGCAACTTTCTTTCTTTTCAAGAATTTCCTGGCGTGAGTTTTAGTATTTGTTATTCTTTAATTGTGTATCCTTTATTCATTTGTACATTCTTTTACATGTTTGCTATATGGCTTAACGAAAAGGAAATAGCTTGATGTTTTACATGTGTGTAAAGTAATCTTGAAGATTGAGCTTCTTTTGCTAGCTTAGACACTAGGTGAGGCTGTGGGTTAGTAGATGCTTAATGTGGCTTGGTAGAATGCCTTTGACAGGCCGTTGGCTAAGGTGCTATGATATTGTGTTGCTTCACTTGCTTGTTCCATGTCCAGTGTCAGTTTTTCTTATTTTTCCATGTCCTCTTATCATTTAAGTGCCAAATGGATGGTCAAGTACTTAAGTTATATGTTAGGGGGAATCAAGGTGTGGGCATGTGGGAAGGGAGCCAAAGGTTTGATAGGACATCCCCTGTGCTGGTGTGAGGAGAAAAATTGATGGGACGGTCCTATTACTCAGAGATGCATAGGCTACGGAGGATATTTTTCCAAAATAGTCTAATTGTTTGGATTTCACATTGGAATGCTAGTTGGGGGAGAAAAGTCACCAAAACAAGGGAGTCCATAAGAGGTGTCAGAAAGTGGGTGAGAATTTGAGGGATGGGTAAACGTGTGGTGCTATAATGGAGGGGACATGTGCCATATTTGATAAGTGGGTTGATTTTGTGAGTGATGAGTGTGGCGGTGATGCGGATAGTTGTTCTGAGTTTGGAAAATATCATACTGATTTGACATGTCAGAATCGGTTAATAGAAGCTTGCACTGTGATGAGGGAAAATGGACAGTTCAGATGCTTTTAAAGCTACCCATTGAACTGGGATGCGTGGGCTGAGATCGTTGCAGGGATATCTTGGGGATTGCAAAGGAAGCATACTGTGGTGATTTGTGTGGCATTGGAATTTGGATGAAAGATTGGGTTGTGGAGTAAAAAGAGATGCAAGGTATGTGGTGGGCTTGTCAAATGCCTGATCTATAAGGTTATATCGGGTTTTGATGGAATTAAAGGTTGTGGAGGCTGAGGGAAATGAAGAAAAATTAGTGTGTGGAGGATGATGACCTAGATTCTCCTTTTCAAGAATGGAGTGCCAGACTGACGAGGAAGGAAAAAAAACTGGGGCATGGGGAATTTTCAATCTGTGGAGGTATTTGGTTGAAGGGGTTGGGGGACTGATGTTAGCAAGTATATGTTTGTGTGGTGTATAGAGGTGTAGGGGGATATGGAACAGGTGACAATATGTGGGTTGCATAAATGGGAGTGCCGGAAAGGGAAATTGTTGAGGAGGTGGGCAACTTGGCTGAGAAGAGTTTTGGTCTGGTGAGTGTAGCGTGGTTGCTGTGTGGGGGATGCATGTTGGGTGGAATCTCACAAGCATAGTCGGATGAGGTAAAGGTCGGTGCTAGTTGGTTAGAGAATGCAGCAAGTTGTTCCAATCTTGGCCATGGTTGACATCAAGGAAACACAGTGGGCATCCATGGCATGTTGAAACAGGAGACGTTGTGAATCTTTTAAAAGTTGTTTATTTATCAAGTTATGTGCGGAGGGTTCCTAGCTTGGCAGTGATGGCATGGAGGTGATGATCTTCTAATTAAAACACCATTCAATATAATATTTTTTCCACTTGATTCCTTCTTTTTGGACCTCTTTAGGTCAACCTATCAGTATTCCTAAAGCTTAGTTCTTATCAACTGGTATTAGAACTTTTTCACTCGGGACTAATCAAAGGGATGGTGCACAGCTGGATCATGTGGGGGCAAAGGCAGTGTAACATGATCTGATGATAGAATCCAATTGTAAGGTACGAGACTTGAGTTCCACATTGGAAGTACGAGATTGTCGTTTGGGTCTATAAGACCCCAAGCAACCCAATTACAATGACTAGCTTTTATGCTGTGGTTCTGCCAAGGTTCTTATTTAAAAGAAAACAATATAATCCCTTTTCCCTATAAAACTTTATGTAGACAGATCTGAATAATATTTGTCTCTCCAAATAACTTTTCCTCCTATTTGCTATACATTTAATTTTCTCACAAGGTGGGTTTAGGTTTTGCATAAGTAACTAGTAGCTTATAAATTTGTCAGACTAGAACTATAACCTTAACTAATACCACAATTCTTGTTATCCGTAAATTATTCTAAATTCATCCGTTCTTGTTTTTCTCAGCTGTTAGGCTGTTATCTATGTTAAATAGTTGTTTGCTTCTGTTTACTGAACTTTCAATTTCTAACAACCGCAGCTTAAGCTTAAGTTTAGAATGGCTGATTTTGACTGATTGCAAATATGGACCGGCAAATTCTACCTATGTTGTCTTTTTTATTTCCTAACTATTCAGTGGATGTTTACTAGAAAAGTCCTTCACTGTGATTTCAGTACCTTTTGTTCTTATCTAATAGTGAACATATTTCTACTGCAGTTGGTGTCATCGCATTTTCCCTATCCAGGCTACCTGCAGTTTGAACGAAAAAGAACTACAAGAAGTAGTATCAATGCTTGTTAAAAAGTTTGTAGCTGCTAAACAGGACAAACTACAACGACCTCTAAAGGTCCAATACAATATTACCTTTTAGTTGCAGATCAGCCATGCTATTCATACGCTAACATTGTTTCCATTTTCACACCTGAGATATCCCCCAATATCATTGTCATTGTCAAAGAAAGAAGAATCCAGATTTTAATTAAAATTTGAATATCAATAAAGCTGATCTCAGATGGTAGCCAAATATTTATCGGCCTGTAGCGTATTGACATCCTTACTGCTGATGTCTCAATGACAATTGAAATCAGAGCTGAGATTTTGTTTTGATTGTCAACTAGGACTTACACATTCTGCACCTTTCTTAACTTTGTAATTGAAAACAACATATTTGAAATTAAAATATAAAAAAACAAGATCGAAAGTGTTGGATTTACAAATGATGAAATATGAACACTATATGATTTGTAAATGAATTGATTTCTTAAACAAATATACTTCCGAATAAGCTTCAGACAAGAATTTCTATATGAATTTGATATTTATGTTAGAGATTTTCAGGGTTAAACTATATTTTGGTAAATGTCAATCTTACATGAAGATAATTATAACTGCCATTGTAGTTTGCTGTTGGGTTCAACCGAAGAGGAATTGAAGAAACAACATCTGCGAAGGAAAATTCAAATGACTCTAAAGGATGTACATTGCTGGACCGTAATAAATGCTTTGGTGTAGTGGCATCTGCAGTCAATCATGTTGTGGAAGATTCAGTAGTGGATCTCAGGTCTCCAGAGGTAAAAGATGTTGTACTATTTGCCTTGAACTATTTATGGCTGTTGTTATTCACATTTATGCATACTCTGAGCATTGATTAGCACTGGTGTTGCAGCTTTCTGTGCTTGTTGAGTTGCTACCCCTTTCTGGAGTACCCAATGGGTCCATAATAGTGGCTGTCTCTGTCCTCCCCAGCAACCTTGTTAGTACAAAGCCTCGACTATGCATCAAAGCCTTGACTTCCAATACTAAGGAAGGCTCTGTAGCTCCATGAACACTGTTGTTAATCTTTTACTTTAGCTTGCTTGGACAATGTGGCTTTGTCAGTCAGGTCGCACATCCTATAACCAATATCTATTGGATTCTGTATGACCCTGCAAATGGAAATGGAAATGGAAATGGAAAAACCAGCTACAAATAAGAAATAGCCTACCTATCTGACCCTTTATAACAAGTAAAAGCTGTAGCCACCCACTTTTGCTCCACTCCACCCATTTATATTGAGCCTATAGCTTAATACCTTAACATTAAATGTGATCTGCGAAATCAAGTTGAATACACGTCGTACATGTTGAACTTTTTTTTTTTTTCGCTTTATGATTTCGTATACTCGCTGGTTTATATAGAACCCTTGCATTTTTTGTTTGGAAAGTACTGCATTAATTGGCACTGTATATCATTTGCATGATGGATGAGTCCATTTTAATGGTTGCTTTTATGAAGAATATTGCTATTGCAAATCATTTTCGTATTACTAATTGAAAAGGTCTTGTCTTGAATGTAAATGATATATCATATTCTACCTCTAACCTTATTCTATGTACTCTACCACCTTGCCAGACCAATATGTGGGTCCAAGAGGTTTATATTAATTTATTTAAGGACAGAATATGTATTTCGAATATAACTGACTTTATATATATAATGTAACCTCATTTTTTTCATTAAATTTAAACTGAATTATGAAAAGGGTTGCTCATACCAATCCTTATCCATTGATATATTGAAATTAAGTTTTCCCTTTCGAGGGTGAGAACATCTATCAATTTATCAATTTTAACAATTTTTTTTATCAATTCTTTGTATTTAACTATTTTTTACGTATAACTATTACTTAATTTTAACCAATCTCTATTTATTTATAATACCCAAAACATTTTTATATAAACAAAATTGAAGTTTATAACATTTGAATTTTAAGAATAGATCCCAATTTTATCATTATTTATCTTTTTTACTTACTCCTCAATTTCAATATCTTATTTCTTTTATTTATGGAATTAATAGCTGTGCATTATTAGGAATTTCTTTTACATGGTTAACTAATTAAAAATTAATTTCGCAGTTTTATCTGAATACTTTTTTTACACAATAACATAATTCTTATTTTTAGCAATGAGGTACTCTATTATAATCTATTTTTCTTAAGACTATCATTTTGTTTTTGTGTATGACTTATGTGATGAATATAATTCCTAATTTGAGATTGCGAAAACAAATTATATGGATGTCATACAATTATAGTTAGACAATCAAAATTAAAATACGAGGTTATATGACTTAAATTTTTTGGGTAATATTTATGATTTACTCAATCATTTATTCGATATTTTCGGCTAAAACAACTGAATTGAGAGCATAATAATGTATAATATAAGACCTCATTGATCGAGTTGACTATTTCAACAAATGATTTTATCGTGCCAATCATGTCAAGAAAAATTTTAAGTGTGAAAAAAAAAAGGAGACGATAAAAAAAAATAAACAATATATATTTCATGATAAAAATTAAATTTCAATACAAGAACAAGGTAAGTTATCTTTGTTATCTACTGCAACATTCACACACAAATATCTCTATGTATGGGGGAGCTTACTCAATGTTTTATAGTAAAAACTTTGCTTGAAGCTGCCACAACAACATCGCATCGAATAACTATTGATTTGATATCTCTTACGTACTTTATAAAACAAAAATAATTACTACGTTACTAAACCGTCATTAAATGAAAAGTAGAAAGATAACTACCAACTTAAAGCGTGTGCAATGGAACATGATAACTCTATAAACGTCAGATCCAGCTCTAAGTCTCACCCTCTATCAACTTGTCAGTTTCCAAAGCAAATAGCTTCTTCTTTTCATTTATGAAGTTTGTTACCCTTTTCTCCCAAACCATGCTCACAACCCTACCTTCAAACCAGACAACAAAAAATGGCATACTTTTGGTCAGATCCCAAACAACCTTAGCCAACCAAATGATGCACTTCACAAACAACCACATTATTCTACTACAATGTTACAAATAACTGAAAATATGTTCAAAAATTTTCCCTCTACAATGTCACAAGTAACTGGGAATGGGAATATATAAGTGTATCTAAACTTCATCTTCTGAATTGATTTTACAAGATTAAATTAGTTTTAAATTCACGTAGAGCTAGTTAATTAGAACTCAAAATTAATTCAAAATTTACTACTGAACTCTCTCTCAGTTCATTTCGAACCCTACATGTAACTTCTGTGTCAAACTCCCAACTACACATTTTTATTATCTGCGGCTAGTAATTAACATTTTTACCCATTTTACCATGTCAAACTTCTACCTAAATGTCAGATTCAGAGATGCAGATAATTATCAAAATAACAGTAGAATTATGAAGATAGAGCAAACAAAAGTTAACTTATGTTTGACATGTACGTCTACCTTTATCTCCAGAATTAAATATCTTCACTGGTGGAAGGGCCACACCACTGTTACTCAAGAATCATTTCTTACAAAACCATATCACTTCATATCTTGAACAAATAAAACCATTTTTCAGTCCCTGCCAAACTTCCTTAGTCTTCAAATATATTCACCTATAAATCTCATGAACAGCAAGAAAAAGAATTTTGATCTCTCTCAATATGTACATAGAGATATCAAATTACTTTGATGGATTTCAATTTCTAAATTAACATATAAATCATGGTTGATCATAGTAGCACTAGTTTTAACATTTTTCACGTATAAAATACAAGTCAAATATACAAAAAATTTAGTATCATTCTCAATTTAAAACCTTAAAATATTAAGTTATGAGTAATATTTTCTTATATAGTATTCATTTTTTTTATTCAATATAAAATTTAGACTCACTTATTTTTTTTCAATAAGTATTTTGAATTTTGTAAGAATTTTTATTTAATTTTTTATTAGACAATTTTAAAAATTTCTATAATTATCATGGAAAAGATTATTTTTGAAGTGGAAAAATTATTCCCATTTATTTATAATTATTCTAAAGAATTGTGTGTATCTATGAAATACTTTTATATCAAATAAAGACATTCTTTTTTTCATTACCTAACCTCAGCAACTTTATAATTTCGAAGGTGAAGCTTAACTTTTTTACTTTATAAAAGATTTTATGGACAAAACTTCACCAAAAAAATATTTCATACCAATATGTAATAAACTTAAAACTAATAGCTCTATTTCACTATAGAATAACCTTAAATGGAAAACACATTTTAAATGTTCGAGTTTGATGTATTTCCACGCATGTCGAGCACTAATCAATAATTATTTACCATTTATACAGAAAACATATACATTTAGAATGTTTAATAATAAAGTTTGTATATTTTAATTAAGATTTTTGTTACCTTAATATTAATATGAATTATTAACCATAAAAAATAATCACTAACATTATCAAAATCTTGAACTTACACAATAAATATTCTTATCTTTATGTAGTTTATTTCATAGTTAAACTGTTATTGTTAAATATTAAATATTGGAAGAAAATAATCATGAGAGAAGATGATAAAAAGGGTGGTTTGTTTTCAAGGAGAATAATATCCTTTTGAGTATTACCTATTATTAATTGAACTTTTTTTCTTTGTTTGGATGAGGAGTTAAATTTTAGGGGTAACTTATTTGGGCCTAAAATTGGCATTAGGTCAAGGTCCCCATAGGACAATTCTCCTACGTTAAGCAATTTTTTAAAGTTTGGATAAAATATTGAAGTTATGCAGAGGCTACAAAATCAACTAACTAGCAATCATTACGGTGTATTATTTCAACATGAAGAATGGACCAGTGTGTTTTCACAGGAACATTTCCTGTGGGCTATTTTGTTGTTTATCCAAATATATATATATATATATATATATATATATATATATATATATATATATATATATATATATATATATACTTCAAAGATTATAAATAAAATAAATATTTGTTTTAGATTATGTTAGCTTGAAAAAATGAAAAAAAAAATGAACGAAATTATCACAATTTAATCCGATAATTTTCTGTCGTTTTAAACTACATATATAAAAAGAACGAAAATTAGGTTATGTTTTAAGCACAAGTTATTGGAGGAAAAAATAGCTTAACTAATAGTTAATTAATAGTTTGAAAATTATTATCTGAACGTACCATAAATCAGGAACCTACAACATTAATAATGATTTATACTTTAAAAACTCATTTTAATTATCTTGTCGAGACTAATTCAATTAACTCTCAAAACATGTCGTGCAAAGAAATTATTCTTGTGTACTGTTAAACATTAATCTTATGACATGTATCTTATTTTTAATTTCAAATATTGAATGTTATGAATGAGAAATGACATTCATATAACATGAATAAATATATCAACCAAAATAAACTCTAAAATTTATGTTAACTCAAATAAGGCTTTAAGAAAAGATATTCCATCCTTAATTAAATATATAACCTTAAAAATTGCATTGTTTATGGGCAAAACAACATATGTATGGTTTGTGTTGGAATAGATAGTGTCTTTGTCATGTAGCAGCATGTTTTTGGATTAAATGATGTAAAAGAAAACTCAAGAAAAAGTACTGAAAGGGATTAAAATAAATTGACATGGAGAAAGGAAAGGTACTCTTGTAGCAGAAACAAAGAGAAAAGCAAAATTGTTAGTGAAGAGAATGAAAAAGAGGTACAGTGGTGGATTATGCCTATAGTAGATTGATTTTACAAAAGTGGATGAAATCAATTGCCACATAGGGCTAAAGAAAGGTCCAAATTAATTGTTTCTTTGAGAGTGTTTGAACAAGTGCAGTCCTTGTAGTTGCTAAACCCTGCAGCAGGGTATGATGAGATTGCTTCACTGATCTCACTGGCTGAACATGAACCATTACTTCTCTGAGGTGAAGGATTTGGCAATGTAAGCGACAACGACAATTCATACCCTCCTACATCTTCAACTTCTGTATCACCTGTCTCATTTTTCACATCTACATTAATTGGCTTTCCACTGCTCTTTCCTTCATTTAATTTTGTGACCTATAAACACCACGAAACACATAAGCAACAGTGGCTTAAAAATCTCACTTGTGCAAAGGGAAAAACTCATCCCACGTTTACCCACTATTCCTAATACATGCATTCATACATACAAACACACACAACACATATATATACCAAAAAGGGGAAATCAAGAAAGAAAAGCAAATGCTTTTTTTTTTTCATTTTATTGTCACTACAACAATGCATTTAGCATAAACACAGATGTGTGTAATTAAGGAAAAAAAAAAAGTGTACCTTTCTGTACTACAGAAGAAACTTCATATTGAAGAAAAAAAGAGGGGGTGTTACAAAAGATTTAAATTTGAATTGGCAGAACCTAACGAATAAGTGATATATGTCTATAATCAAACAAAAATGGATACATTGGTGTCTTTATCTTTCTTGTGATCCAAAGAGAGCAATTATAAGTTTTGGATTTTATGGAGGGGAAAGAAGTTGAGGTTAAGTCCTACGAGTAGGGTCTCTACCTTCAAAAGAAGTATCCGTATAGATGCAATAAAGGGCATGGATAAATTTCCATTTGCAAAGTCAGAATTTCAATAATTTGGGAGGACCACTGAATGTGAAAAAACTCAGAATATAAATTAGAAGCCATGATGACCCTTTCGGCCACATTGCAGCCCATGATAAATTTTGGACAATCACAAGCACCCTTTCTTCTTTCTATTCCCACCACAATTCTCAAGTCGTACACAAGGGGACCAAACCAATCTAACCACTCCACAAGGCGATTAAATGTTACATAAAGTAATGTATGTACCTGCGTTCAACACTTCACGTTTTCTTATTTTAGCCACTTCGTTTTGGTGGCGTTTTTTTCGAAAAACCAACTTCGTGAGAACAATCAAACCAAAAATACTCTGAATCAAAAGTTAAATACAGCTGCAAAGTTTAAACGCTAAACAGATCTTTTACCATCGGTTCAACCAACCCTGCTTTCCCAAAGAAGTTAAAAGAAATAAATAATTCCAACGCGAAATATTTAGTAATAACACTAGTTCTACATAAAGCTTTCAGTTTGAACCTGAGAACAAAGTTCATAATATAATAGTATATTTTTTTCTTTTAAGATAAAGAAAGAAAAGGCACAAAGCAGCTGAGAAATTATCCAACGGTTTCCCATTTAACACACAACGTGATCCCAAAAGCTGTGCATATTTGACAGACCAAACGTAAGATCACACTGAACAAAAGTGGAGTTCTTCGAACCCATGGATTGGTCATCTTGGCATCCCACAAAGGAATAAAACTACACACAGAACTTGCTATTACGTTCTTTAAGTTTCACCTTTAATTTTAGGTCTAAATAATAAAAAGTTTATAGTGAATATTAGCATTTATCGCAAACTATAATTATGGGTGTTGTGGAAGTAAAACTCCATTTATAATTAGAAAGAAATGTCACCCTAAAATAAATTAAAACACTCCACCCCAGCAAAAATAAACATAAATAGACTTGCACAAAGAAAAGTAACACGAGAGAAGAGAAAGAAAGGTTGTGTTTTTGCACCTGGAGGAAATCTGATTGTTGGTTAGGGCATTTGAATGAAGTGAGGTTGGGAAAATGTGGTAACAGAGAGGAATGGGGTTGTGTCTGCCATGTTGAAGCCTCACAGAACTCCTTTATTCCCTTCTGCTCAACCATGGGCTTCTGCAGATAATCATAAAAACAGTACGGATTTGGAACTGCATCACATAATCTTTGGCTGCATTGCAGGCTCTCTGAGATGGAACTCCTCGTCTCGATTCTTGCTCTGAATAGAGAATCCAAACGAAAAGGAATTTTAAAAGAAGCAAAAAAGTAAAAGTTGGCTCAGAAAAGCAAAAGATTAAGGCAAGTTTCAAACACCAATCTCTTTTGCTTCTCTCCCAGACATACTTTTTTTGACGTTTGAAAAGTCTGAAATTATTTCAAGGGAGAAAAAAATTAAATAAAGTTGTATAGGCTGACCTTTTTGGAGGGAGATTGCTGTGGCCGAAGAAGGAATCAGATTCTCTTCCCATGGGTTTCGAACATGAGTACTCAACACCTACATCATTCACTTCATCAACACACCCATCATCGTGCTCCTCAAAAGATTGGTTCCTATGTTGGGAGGGTGTCCTACCTGACAAATGCGCATACCAAGTTACCAACACATTCTGAAAAATGAGATCATTTTTTAATGTAAGCAATTAATGCGTTGTGTTTTGAACACAGGCCAGTATCGACCTTAGCTGCTTATGAAGTATGCACAAAAAGTTATGGATTTCATCAAAATGCCATTAGAGGAAGACTTAAAAGGACATTGGCTTCTTATTCTCCCTACACTATTATAGCAAAGAAGAGACTATTAAATGTGCAACTCGGTTTCAAATTTCCCAACTTGTGTATAAGTGCGAGTTCATAGATTATGTTTTCGAACTTCAAATAAGCTCCGAGAGAAGAAACAACAATCAGCATTCAATGCACAAAGCATGGTCTATAGTTCCATCGTATTAAATGAATACATGACAGACAAATACTCTTGAGGAGCCACGATCATCATCAAAAGATTAAGACTCTATCCTTGTTCATATGTTTTGCAGTAAAGAAGGTTCAGTACCTTGTCTGCCCAAGTCACCCCTCATGCTTCTGTACATCTGGTTTGGATAAAGAGAGAAACCAAGTATCATTAAGCAACACCAAATATGAAACATAACCATGCATCACCAAAATATTGACTCGTCAGAAAACCATATATTGTTCTATTTTCTCATCCCAACCTGAAGATGACTCTTGACGTGTGAAATTGTGAGCCCTTTGACATCCATCAACTGAAGAACGAGCTTGGGAGTAGCCTCTGAAAAGTTAACCAAACAAATCAGAAAAAAATATATCAGAAATATATAATGGCTAGGGAAAACGGATCCTGAATCCAAAACAACAACCACAACACTTACTATGATGACCTCCAAGACTATCAATGGCGTGAACAAAGCAACGGTGCAGCTCAGGAGTCCATCTTAAACGAGGAACCTTCGACCTTATATATTGTCTAACAGCTCCTTCTCTTCCACAACTACCCATGTTCACTTTGATATTCTCTGAACTAAATATATATCCAAACTCTTGGTAGAGTCGAAAAGACCTTCACTTTTCTTGTGTTTCTTCCCTCTCAAGAACTGTAGTTTCTTTCCACCCCTCGTGTCTTATATATATCAGAGAGAAAAGAATGAACTTTCTGCTCCCACAAAACAGAAACCAGAGGGGGGCAAAAGAGAGAGAAAAGGAATATCAGGAGAGAAAATGAAAAGACGAAGAAGACATGTGTAAGGGCTCTGCAAATTCCTTAGGAGTCACACACACATACACTGATAATACCTGATATATGGTGGTTGCTGTACCTTTGAGTTGGCAACTAGAAATCAAATAAACAAAAAAAATAAATACAAAGGGAACAGACACTACTACACACTCAAAACTGAAATCCCCAAAAAGCAGAAAACTCAAAACACTTTTTCTCAGATAAAAATCACGAGGAGGCTTCTGATCTTGTTTGCACTGACCTTCCACGAAATGATTACACCTATGCAATTGCCAATATAATGGGTACTATCCACGGTGTTACAATTACTCAACTGCCTCACTTTGACCTTTGTTTCTCTCTCTCACACCACCTTTTCGTTTCTCTCTCTACAAAGACTTATTCATTAGAATATGACCACTGCTACATACGCCAACGTCGTCATGATCACTGTGTAAGACCCCATGAAAATACTTTTCTGATTTCTCTTCTTTTAGCTATTATTATTATTATAATTTTAGTATCCTTTGTGTGAATGAACAATGTGTGAATGCAAGATCATTATTGTACAACAAAACTTCACATTTCTGTCCTTAGTGTAATCTTTCAAAGACCGTTTTACCCTTTATGTAGGGCCCACACTGTTTCCCGCTCTATCTAAACTTAGGTTACCTGTGTGTCAAGCAATAAACTGTCTGTAATGCCATTTGAACGTGCATGGGAAGTAGTACAGATAATAGTAGTAATAATAATAATAACACTTTTTTTTTCGTATTATTCTATTTTTTATTCTCAAGATCTTTTCATTTTTCCTGTGCAATAGTCAACTTCACTATTTATCCATCTTATTTCACATTTTAATCTATTACCTTTTCACTATGCTGCACCAGAGAACCTTCTACATCTTCTTTTTTTTCCCTAAAAAAATTATGTTATATATTTATTTACCTATTATATGGAACAGCCTTAACATAATGTGCCCTTTGTCTTATTGTGCCATCGATAAGATATCTATTTTTTAACATCTAACCGTTTTTTTCTTTTAAACTTTTCATATGGTTGGGAAGAAGAAAAATGAGGAAAAAAATTTGAAGAAAAGTAAAGTGATTTTTTTTAAACTAAACAATATATTTTTATGTTTTTTTAATGACTAAGTTAATGGATTGAAGAGACATCAGATAAATCTTTACATTTAAAGAAAATAAATATATATATTTAAGATTAATTTTATCTTTTATTTTGACTTTACTTAGAAATATTTACATTTATTTTATTTTTTCCTCTTTTCTTTGTTTTTTCAACATATCCATTATTCTGATAAAAATTTTACGTCATTTTATTTATTTGGTCAACGAATTAAGGCAAGAATCATGCAACAGAGCCAAACTTACCAAGATGGTGCATGCCTACAAGAGCTAGTTTTCCTACAAAAAATAGTAATGATAGTATACACAAGAAAAAAATATATAGAGAGAATTACGAAAAATATTGTAACACATATATGTTTGTCCTAAAAGAGGCTAAAACCTAAAAATGCCTTATGAATTATTGACTAGACATTTCTGTTAAGGTAGTAGGGAATATCTTTCTTGTCAAACAAATAAAACAGAAAAACCAAGTCAAAGAAAGACACATGCTAAGGATTAGGGTTTAGCAAGTGATTAACGTGAGCCAAACTAGAAATCAAAGGTAACATAAAACAAATAATTACAACAAAAGCCAAACCAGATGGATGAGTACGAAATTTACCATCCCAAGTAGACACCAAAGTAAATCAGATCCCTGGGATCTCGAAATTACCCCTCGCAAATCAACGGCTGTGATCGTTGGAAGGATCTTTACGTCAACGTGATGAATTCCGTATGTGGAATTTCAACTCTGAACTATTGTCAATCTACACAGCTGGGATGTGCTATCAAAATCAATCAATCAACTCTCTTTACTATATGTTCTCAATATTTATATATTCTCATTTCCAATAACAATATAATAATTATTTTACAACTGTTATTCATGGTCTTAAAAAGTTTATTATTAATTATAATAGTTGTTAAATATTACAATACTGAGTGATTAAACGCTGCTTAACACATTATATATAATCTTAATAATATAAAAGTTATTTATTTATTTTTAAAATAAAAAGTTTAAAATTTTAGTTTTCATTTTTATAATTTTTTTTAATAATTTAATGATCTGAAAGAATAAATAATCTTCTTTTTAGATTACAAGGCAAAAAATAATTATATATATATAACTCTATTATCAAATTTGTAAATTTTTTTCCAAAATATTTCAAAAACAAAATTAATCAACACTTTTTTCACTACAAAAGGTTACTTGTTTATAAATCAATAAATCATAACATTGGACTAACTGTTTCGTAATTAAACTTCAAGTTAATTGAATTCTAAGAAGAGGAAGAGATCAATAATTTTCAAATACCAGGTTTTGAAGGAGTCAACCTAAAAATCAAATACCAAAACTCACATAATTTCATATCCTACCGACAAACCCTGAGTGCATATAAAGAGGAAATAAGAAAACTAACAAATTTGAGAAAAGAAGAAAAATGGTCAAAGACAAAGTTTTCTTAGAAAATATCTTAACTTGATAATAATAATAGTAATAATAATAATATATTAATTATTTCTAGAGGGAAATAGGAGCATTTAAAAAAGTTTGAAAAACAAAACTGATTTTTCTATTTTCAATCTTTAAATCTCAATTAACTTAACTTAAAATATAGTTTTTATCTTTCATTGAATCTTATAAAAGCTTCTCACATACAACACATAAAAAATAAAAATAAAAATTTCGTAGATCTGTTTACCAAAGATTTTACTAAAGTCAATAAACTTTAAATATATTATGCATGTTAGATTAAATTTAAAAAAACAATAATAAATAAAATTAAATTTACTATTTCAGAAAACTACATTTATCTTGAATGTGATTTTAAAAATGATTTATTGTTACTCAATTACATAAAAAGTTTAATAATTATATATATCAATAATATGAAATAGTTTTATATATTTATTCAATGAATATTTGTTTAAAAAGTATATATTTTCATTTATTAGTTTTTGTCTCTTTATCATAAAGATTTTGATTATTTTTATCACAAACTTCTAAAATTATTACTCTCTCAAATCTTGGTTTAAGAAACTATTAACGATGAAGTGTATTGTATACTATAATAACACCATTTAATTATAATTTTCTTCCAAACTTTTTTTCAAATACAAAATAAACAATTTTATGAGTCTCACCTCAAATTTTTTTTTTTAACAAAACTAACTTTATATTCATTTCATAATTACAAAAATATTAATTATATTAACTTTATGTACTTTAAAAAAAAAACATAAGAAAAAAACTTTAGAGATATTTAAAATCCCTATTTATAAATTCAACACAAAATCACAAATTTAGATTAACAATTTATTTTTTTGTATCGTATTGCACATGTGATTGGATAAAGTCCTAACTAAAAGATTAAGAATTGAAAGCATGGAGAAAATAAATTTACACAAATTAAAATTCTTATTAGACAAGATTAGTCTCCGTTATGTCAATTTATATATTTTAATAAAAAAATTATAAAAAATTTATATATTTTCTAACGTGTAAAATTAGTCTATCCTCTTCATTATTATTTTTATATTATTATATTCTAAATTAAAATTATTTTATAATTGAGACTAATTTATAGGTTTTTCACATTATAATTAAATTAATTTTTATTCAAAGATTAAAAAAATAAAATTTATATTTTGATATTGCATGTAAAAAAATGAAAAGGAGAGTTGAGAAAGGATGAAAGGTAGAATTTGAATGATAAATGGGGTATTTATTTAGGGTAGTGAGGGAGCAGGTGACCATTTATAAGAGAGGAAAGGAAAGAAACAAAATGGCATTCTCAGCTAATCAGAAGGAATTGTTCTAAAAGATGGCAGAAAGTGCAGATTGAGAGAGAAAGAGAGAGAGAGAAGCAAAGGCAAAAGGAATGGAGGAGAGAATTAACAAACAATGTCTCTCTCTTCAACCTCTGTGTGTCTGAGTGTGTCAGTGTGATAATGATGGACATGGCAGAAGGTAAAGAGAAGGAAATGCTGAAAATTCCTGCTCAAATGGAATGATGGTTATCAAACACTCCAAACTGCATTTAATTTAATACCACTCTTCTCTTCTCATAGATACATAGATAGGATACCTCCCTCAATTTCAATTTTCTATTTTTCTTCCACCTTATCTATCAAAAATTAACATGTTAAATCTACTATTTTTTATAATATTAAAGATATCAAAATATTTATTAATGTTTAATTTTAAAAATAGAATTAGAATTTAATGAAAATTAAAATTAAATGTGTATTTAATTAAGTACGAAGATGAATTAAAAGTGTGGAGTGTAAAACAACAGGGCCGAGATGGGGGTGGCCTCGAGGCCGCCGGTTCCTTTGGCGTAAGCAGGCAAAACGGTAATGTGCCTCGGCACATGTGTCAACTCTATCTCTTTTTAATTTTATATAAATAAATAAATATATATATATATATATATATATATTTATAAAATAATATCATTTAAATAAGAGTAAGTGGGTCTTTTAACTCTCTCATCTGGTTATTTTTTTAAACTCTCCCGTCTTATTGCTCTCTTTACCTTCAAAATATTTATTTTATCAATAATTATTATAAAATGAAGGTTTATTTATCTAAATAAATTGAATACATTGAAAGATTTTATTTTTATAAGGTATTTGATGAAGATTTTAAATAATATAAATAAAACCTATAAGAAAATAAATCAAGAAATTAAAATGAAGGAATATTTATTACATCTTTTATCATTTAAAAATACTATTTAATAATTAAAAACAAATAAAATTTCTGAATTCTTTTACATAACATAAATTTTATGTGATTATTAATTTTTCAACAACCTTATCTACTATTTTAAGATTTTTAATTTATTTAATTTAATTTTTATCTATCATATATTAACCAACCGAACGATTTTGTTCAAACAAGAACACACTTAAAAGGAGTATAGGTTTTAGAATAAATGTTGCTAAAACGATAAGTTATGATGTAGAAAAACTTTATGCTTATAAACTAAGTGATACAGATAATGGATGTGAATTATTAGATTGAAACAAATTAAAAATACAGGTTTTATATATTTGGAGAAATGAATTATATATTTTCAACAGTAAATACTATGCTAATATTTATAGTTTATTTATCGAATTAGAGATTTTATATAAAATATTCAAAATTCAATAATATTATATTTGTATAAAATAAAATATTTAATACTAAATATAAAAAAATTATTTCTTTTACTTTATTTATTATGTGTGTCAAATTACAGGAATTTCAATAAAATACTTTTATTTTATATAAATTAAGTTAGGTAAGGTGAGGAGAGAAATACAAACTTTAGAGTAAAAATTAAACCCATATCTTTTGAAAATATAATAGAATCTTACATGAATTTTAATAAATATGTGATGACATAAAATATGAATATATAATACAATCAATTATTTTTTATATGAATTTTAATAAATATATGATGACATAAAACATTACATATAACTAATAAAAAAGTAAAAGTTAAACTTAATTTAAATAATATCAAATAAATTATTCATGATATATATATAATAGAAATATTTGATTTTGATATATGTGATCAAGGTATATTAGACTAAAGTATATAATTGTATAGAGGAAAATTATATATTTAATGAGATTTATATATTTGATTTTGTTAAAATTATTATTAATTATTTTATTTTTATTTCCTTATTTTTATATATTTAAAATTGTTATCTGTTTTTATGATAAATTTGTGTATAATTGAGAGGTAGAAATCCATTGCGAAGAAAAATAAACTTACCCATTAACTAGCGTATTAGATTTGGAACTTATATTTTGAATTTGGATCATACTTTACTTTGTTGGATGGTACAAAATTTTCAAACTTGGGCATCACTGGAAAATTTGTACCTAATTACCTTCTTTTAACCCACTCATATACCCTCTTGCTTGGCATAAGTCAATCTACACTAAAAAGGCAGGCCATGCACGTGTTCTTCTTCCCACCACTCTCCACAACGCACAACCTGCTACGCCCCATATTCCCTTTGACATTCTTCCATGGAAACCATTTTGTCAACAAATGACCGTGAATCCACCCCTGCACCACAAAACAAACCCCACCTTCTTTCCCATTCCTTCATTCAAGGATACCTAACAAAACATTAACATTCATTTTCCATTCCTAAATCCATGAAAGCAACTCTTAAATCAAGGCATGATATGAATCCTCTAAATATTTTTTAACAATTAATTATGGCTAATCATTCAAAGGGTGCTTCTAGTCTCCTTGGCTTAGGGATTAGGCAAAAGACAAATTGTTCTGATCCCATGCTTTGCTTTGCCCACTTGTTTTGACAAAGTCTGGGATTAAACAAATCAAAATAAAGGGGCCATTACACACAAATTACATGCGACAAAATACTTCGATCTTGAAGTGCATTATTGAAGAGTAAAATACAAGTTTGTCTTATTACATTATGCTGTCCCACAATGCTTCTCCTAGCTATTAGAATGAATTTATCATAAAATATTTTTAAAAGTACAAACATGCATTCAAGTATCACTTAGCTCCACTCATATATATATATATATATATATATATATATATATATATATATATATATATATATATATATATATATATACTCTAATAAATAAGATTATAATAAAATTATTTTGTCGTAAAAAATATTATATTTTTAAGATGACAATACATAAAGACTTTTATGAATGAAATATAATATAAATTAAATATATAAAAAATATTATATTATATTTAATCTAAAAAATTTAAATCTTTATATTATACGTGTTTTTTTTATAAATTATTTTTTATTTTATATAAAATTGTAATTTATATTTAATTTAAAAAATATTAAAATTTTATCTAATTATAAATGTATATATTTTTAAATAAAATAAAAATATATAAAAAATATTAAGACTTATTAAAAATATGCATAGTTCTTAATGTATTTCAAACTCACCTCGATGTTCTTTTAGCAAAATAATTAAAACACCTACTTAAATTCTTTATTTATTTATTTATTACAATATACAAGCATGCACACATGAAATATACCGAATCCCATATTACATATTAGTTGGCACAAAATATTTTTACATTAACAATAACATTATTTTCATATATTAAAAGTAATTTGTAGTGGTATATTTGGATATCGAAAATGTTTATTTTATATTATTATGAGGCTATAAAGTAGGTTGGTATTTCTCTACAAGTTTTTAAAATTGGATTAAGAATATTATTATAATTTATACGTTTTAATTGATAGGTTCAAAATTGGCTTTGGATACTAATATAATAAAAAGGTTAACACATAGGCACCAATATCGATGGTTAGTTGGTCATTTACACACACAATAAGCGTCACCATGACTTCAAAAAAAACGCACAAGAGTCATTTTTTTAATACTTTTTAAATAAGCATTTTAGTAAAATGTAAAAAAAAGTAAGAAATATAATAGATTTTAGAAATGTTTAGTATAAGATAAAAAGAAAAGAGAAAAATAAAAAAAAATAATAAAGAATATAATCCAAATAAATTGAATAAAATTTAAATAGTGTAGCACGAAACAAAATAAATCACAAAGGGGCTATCATTATGTGATCATTAGTTGTAGATTTTATAAGTTGGTAGAGTGGATTAATTATTTAAGTGAGTCCACCTAATTCCATATCTTGAAGGGTTAAACAAAAGCAAAGTATGAAGATGGAGACAAGGAAAATGGGACCTATCTCCATTAGTCATCATATATTCCCCAGATAGAATTGGATTTGTTATGAAGAAGAAGAAAGAAGAAGAAGAAAGAAGAAGAAGAATGTGTATTCTAATACTTTACTTTACCCAATAAAGTGCTTTCATTGACTTCTTCATCCATCACTACTTCATCAGTATTACGTGTGTCTCCTTCTCTCATTGTTTTCTCATTAATTATTAACAATATTAGTGGTTATATTGGTCCTAAACTACATGCTATAGCTAATATTTTTGACTTCCTAATTATAATTATTGCATGCAATTGTCACCTGTCACTTTGATATGTGCTTTCACATTATAAGGAATAAACTTAAATAAATTATATACACTTACTTTATGTCAAATCACACTTACTATATATATATATACTATAGTGCATCACCCTTTCGAAAATGCACTACATTGTTAATTATACCAAACATCGATAGTCTAAAAAGTGTGATCCAACTTAGGACACATCAGAGGATAAATATCAGTGAATGAATTGTTGCGACCTGCATGCAAGTAAAATAATATTTAGATGGGAGATTCTGGATTTGTATCATATATTTTTTCTTTAATTAAATCTCTAAGTTTTTAAAAATTATAATTGAATAATTGGTCACAGATATTATTAGTGGGTATCTGAAGTTTGTAAAAGAGTTATAAATAGTTATTTGTGATAATAAAATAACTCCAGTCTCTAGAGATATGATGATCAAACATTCTAAGATACATAATTAATTTAGAAACCTAATATTTAATAACAAAACAATCATATAAAAAGTTATATAAAAAATTATAAATAGTTAGACTTTTTTAGATTACTTAAGTTATGTTGATATGGAGTTGTGTAGAGTTTTGTTTTGAAGGGCACCACGAAATGTCAAAGTTGGGAATTTGATAAAGTCTCTCCATAGGGGAAGCTGTTTTTGCTTAAAAGGCACACAGACACACGCGACACTAAATTGATTAAATTCAAACTTTAGTTTTTAACCTAATCCAAATTCAATGCCTTGAGAATGTAAAGTCAAGGTGGTAGGTACCTCTTGTTCAATCATTATTCATTCCCTTCACACGATAACAAAACTTTTAAAACTCCTAATTTTCTACTCACTTTTATTCATGGTTATGTTCCATATATCCCAGTGGCGTTGGCATACCCAAGTCACAAAGCAATGAGATAATTTATTTTAAAAATAAATAGCATTTCGGTATAATATATAGTTTTACGTAATTTTAGATTAATATACGAGTTTCTCATTTAACTGTGAAATTAATATATAAATTTAGAAATACTAAAAATAAAAATTAATATACTTTCTTATATTTTTTATTTATTTTTTAATAAAGAGGCACTATTACCCAGCATGTCCGCCCCTACATACATTCCACTTATTCTAGCTAGCTATGAGGACAAGTGAACAAAAAATATAACAAGGTTACTATGTTTTTGAACAATAGTATGATCTACTTTACTAAAATATTTAAAATGAAATTTTGAAATTAAATTATGCATAAATTAATTTTAACTTGTGATTTTATTAAATAAATGCTTATAAAGAAAAGTTTATCTAGACAGGCCCTAAGCCCAAGATGGTCGCTATGTGTGTAAAGGTCCATGCTTCCTTCAAAAGGTTGCATGCAATGCAAGTAACTGGACTTAATTGTACACAAATTGTGAGGTAATAGGAATGAATAATTGGGACATCGAATAGCAGTGCCACCGTTCTTTGAACAAATATTGCAGGTGCACAGCACCACACACTTGACTTAATCCAAAGGATAAGTGATCCCACTTTAATTTCTCTCTTTATTAAACTCATTCGTGGAATAGAAATATTTAGTGCTGTCCACATATAATGTTTTGATGTTTGATCAGTGAAGTACAATTACTTTTGCTAGAGGGTTTTTTCTTGTCCCTTCATGTGAAAAATGTTCTGGATTATCACCGTCTTGTACAATGCAGCGGATGAAATACTGTAAGTATTTCAACATGATGAAAATTGTGGTTTAATCATTCCAATTTATAATTTGTATCACGGTAATATATAAGGCCAATATTTCACAAGACAAGAGCATTGAAAAACATTCAAATAAAAATCTATTCCGGTGTAAACATATTCATTCATTTCCATCGCTACTGATTTTTAATTTTTTTGACAGATTATAGTCCTCTTTTCTCCGTCATCAGGACGAATTCAACTATAGAAGGTAGGAAAAATATCATTAAAATTAGCTATCTGGAAACAGCTCAAGTCAAGCCTAAGAGGATGATATATTCAAAAACCATCAAACTTCATGCATCCCAAAACCCTCCAACTTTTGACATGATCAAACATATTTGTTCACTGAAATCAGCTGCATGTGGGATATTCACAAACCTCAGAGAAAGATTCATTGGTCAAACGCCAACAAATTGGCACTCCCAGGCCTAAACATCGTCATTGAAATTGGTTTCAAGAAATTGTTCGATTACTTCCCCAGGATTAGCGAATTTGCAACTTAAACTTCCTTTTATTCCTTTATCTAATAAAAACAATAATAATAATAATATAACCTTTCTATTGTTGGAAAATCCTTATCTTTTCAAAACTCTATTAAATCCTTGATTCTGACACTATCTCAAAACTGATGTCCAGTGTTACTTCAAACCTCATTCAAGTGCCAAATTACATCATTCGATTAGATTACTAGCCAAGTGTTCTAGAATCAAATCTGAATCTGACAAGTAATTGTCTCAAAATAATAAGCTATTGAAAGTGATCAAGGGCATGGATAAGATGCTGTAAAACCAGTCAGTTGATATGTTTATGAAATGTTAACAATAGTTTTATTCCTTCCAAGCAGAAACATGGGTCCATGACCGAAGAAATAGCTAGATATAAAGTATAAAAAGTCTGAAGTAGTCTCTGGACAAACATTCTTAGGTAACTTTGATCCATACAATAGCAAAACATGAAATAACATCTGTCCCAAGCAATGGTTCCTGTCAAAGGTCAAAAGTACGAGAACCAAAATATATTTAGAAACTGCGAAGAGTCAATAGAAATTTGTGTGTGTGAGAGGGGAGGTTGAGAAGATCCACGGATAATGTAAAAATTATGAAGGTGGAAGTAAAATCTACAAAGATAGAGGTCGAAGCATATAGCTACTGTTACACGTTCTACATTATAAGTGTGTGTGTGAGGAAGGTTAAGAAATGAATTCTACAAAGACAGATCTAGAAGCATGTACTTAGTGTTACTTCAAGGAAAAAATGCTCTTTTGTTATTACTTATAATGCAGAACAGTGATATACCATTCATGATTTCCATTTTGCAAACCAAAGTCTAACCAGAAGCGCAAAATATAAAAATCACCACTCCACCAGCTTGGAGAAAAACAAGTGACTAGGAGAATTAAAGATTCCGCTGTATGCTAAATTTACCTATTCATAATACTATCTTGTGGCAAATTATTTTAAAAAGATTGTTCGTTTTATTGTTCACTACCGTTCACAGCTTAAATTAAAAGTTGATTTAGAGCCTCATGGGCCCAAGAACAGCCTCTTATTGTGTCACAAAGGAAATAGTTAATAATCAGTGCAAAACTATTTAACAGGGGGACAAGGCACGGCGTATGCTCACACACACAATTTGAAAGAAAAAAAATATTACTTTAACAATTTTCTTTTTCTATCTTTGTGTGTATAATTTTCTCACTTTATTTTATTTCAAATTCCCTTTCTTTTCTTCGTAAACGTGAGAAATTAATGTTAATATAGAATTACTATATTTGAAAGACATCCAAAAAACTGTTCGAAAGAAAGGTTGAGAAAAACAAGGAGAGCACACAACTTCCCTTGCATTCTCATCAACATCTCCAACTTCGGCGACTATACTAAGACAATAGCCCATGCCTTTTTGCTTAGAAGGGTGTTCATCATATTGGCTCAACAAAAGCCATCGTCACTTGTGGTTCACACCAACGAAACTGGGAAAGAGAAGGAGAGAGAGTTGGTAAAACAGAGTGACATGTAGAGCGTGTGTCCGTGTCTGAAGCTTGGGTCGTATTGTCATTGGTGTGTCCAGTGATTTGGCCATTTTGGATTTTGGTGAGTAGTGTCCGACACTACTTCCATGCCTCGTTTGTCTGATTTGCTTCTGACATGAGGAAGCACCTCTTCTACGCTGTGTTCGTGCTTCACAGAAGCAACACCCACAAGAACAAAGGTGTGCTAAAAATCCAAATAATCAAAACCAATCAATAGCCACACCAAACCAAACCCATTTGAGTCCGTTTTAATGGATAGATTTCTTACACAAAATCCTTTTTTCTAGATTTCAAATCCAACTCAATTTATTGGATATTTGTTTAGATTTTAAAGAATCCAAAATCATTGTCCACCCTAAGCATCATCATTTGATCAAGATATTGTTTGATTAGCCTGGTCTAGAGCAATGTTAGCTCCTCATAGTCTACTCAGACCACAACTGAGGCATCTTTGGGGTTTAAAACCAAATTTAAGGTAGTTTCAAGAATCCAAACTACTTGGTCCAATTAAAGAATCCAAACTACTTAGTCCAATTAATGGATATGGATATGAAATCCAATCATTTTATTGAATTTGAGTTGGATAAAAATCCAATCCATACCCAACTCTCACAAGAACATACAGAAAAGCAGCAAAAGAGTCACGAGGAAGCCAAAAGAGTGAAAAGTAGACCAAGTTCAAGATCTACCATCCAGCTGAAATGCTAGAGTTTATAATAAGAGGTTTCCATTACAATTAACATTTAACCAGTTTAAGTTAACTTGTGGCAGATTCATTTTAATTTTTATTTTTTTTGTATCTTGCAAACTCTTGAATCTTGATAGTTAGCGTCAAAACAAAGACATAATAATTTTTTGATTACGCACAAAGCCAGCCGAATTAACCATACTAGTACTATCAAATACCAATAGAAAGCTAAATGTGAAATTCCTTAGTCCTACATCTACTCCCCATCAACAAGCATTGGGTCCAACGATACACCACATAATACCCCAAGCTATCAGTCTTCAGCACTGCTCCTAAAATTCAAGGGTAACCATCACCATTTGCAACATCCGATAAAATCAAGAGTAATTTTTCAGCCACAACACAATCAAGTCATATGAACCCAAACCACTACACAAACAGATAATATAATATTATAATCATAATAATTCCATCGTAGAACGGGAAAAGGCATCAATTCCATAATAGAGGGGCAAATTGAGTAGTAGACCTAATAATCCTAATTAGTACAAGATGCACTCACTACCCTAAATGGTACAACAACATGAATCGCCCATCCCCGAACAATTAAGAACCGGGAATTCATCAACCCTAAAGGCCGATCAGTGATGTGGCGCGACAGTTAAAGAGAGGAGAAAATCGCAGAGGAAATGAATTGGAAGAAGAGGGAAAAACTTACAGTGAGAAATAGAGGGAAAGGAATCAGGCATTGGCGGGTTTGGGAACGAGAATTAGGGGTTGTTTGGCGTTGTCCTTTTGTTGTTCCTCGCGGATCTTCTGCATCTGGAGCATTCTCTCCATGACGAGTTCGTACTCGCACTTTTCGTAAGAGTGGCGCTCGTTCTCGCACTTCCATGGAAGGTAGAACTCCGCTTGCCTGCACTTGTTGAGAGGGATGAGCAAATGGGCGCACTGATCCCGATACGCCAAGGGAACCCTGGCCTCCACCATCTCCTCCTGTGTCGCTATCATCTTCTTCGATGATCCTTCAACTTCCATCTCTTCTGTTTCTCTCTTTCGATCGCTTCGACTCTTTCTTTCACACTCTTCTCTGTGTTGCTCCCAGGCCAGGGTTATATTATTTGCTTCGATAGCCTTAATTCAAATGTAAATTAGTTTTTTATTTTTAAATGAAAAATTATTAACAAAATAATTTCATCGTTGTTGTAAAATGCTAATCAAAATGGGTTAAACAGTGATATAGAAAATCATCTATTTTATTTTTTTAAATATGACTTTTAAAATAACTACTGTATATTAATGTATTTATTATATGATAACATTTCAACAATATAACTAAGAATTATCCAACTCAGTATGTAACATTTATATATATATATATATATATATATATATATATATATATATATATAATATGGTATGCTAGATTTCCATCGAATATGAAAGGTGAATGAGTCTCTGCATGCATGCGTTTAATTCTCTAAGGACATGTATGAGAAGTGATTTTTGGTTTTTCTGATTTTCTTGTTAAATATAAATTCAATGCTAGTTTTATTAAGAATAAGTTTTTGGAACCAAGAAATACATCAATATTAGTTTTGTTTTATGTAAATTTTGAAACAATTTTTAATAGATATTCAATTTTCTTTTGTAAAATAAAATATTTTGTACAATATTTAATTTTATTGTACAAACAATCAAAATTATCATGAATTAATTTTAAATAATCAAGATCAGTTTTATTTGTAAACATTTTCTTTTCAAGAGAGCTAACTTTATTCTCTAACCAATTATTCATATGTAATGAAAATTTTTTTAAAAATATTAATATTTTAAATTTAAATTTAAATTCGGGCAATAATAGGGTGGGGTGCCTGGTGCTTCAGCTTTTTTAATCTTCTGGTCAAGCTGGAGCTTGTCTTAAATTCTCAAGACTATTACGTTGGTAAATTTGGCAAGTATGTCCAGCTTCGAATGATATGGTTGTTTGCCATCGAATATGAAGTCTTGGAATGTGAATGAACCTCTAGATGCATTTAATTCTCCCAGAACCCTCACATAATCGATTATGACAGTGAAAAATATCATATTACGAAATTTTATCATACTTGCGCTTTGAAGACTTATGCATAATACCACTTCATCAACTTGTACATCCATATTCAGTATTCTAAGACTCTATCTAGTTTTCAGGAATCATCTTGGATTTGCTTGATGTTTGAATTAAATCTTCATTAAAATCATATATTGGACTTGTTTGAGTTTGAATTTTGTTGACTTGAATCATCATCAAAATCATCTCTTAAAAATAAGGGACATGTTTCACATTTCCATAAATCTCCCCCTCATTTGCTTTCACATGACACATTAGATAATGGTTATTATACAATCACTATTAAAACTTACTTTAGACAGCAGTTTCTATCTAACCGTTATTATACAATATGTTTGAATTAAATCTTTATTAAAATCATATATTGGACTTGTTTGAGTTTGAATTTTGTTGACTTGAATCATCATCAAAATCATCTCTTAAAAATAAGGGACATGTTTCACATTTCCATAAATCTCCCCCTCATTTGCTTTCACATGACACATTAGATAATGGTTATTATACAATCACTATTAAAACTTACTTTAGACAGCTAGTTTCTATCTAACCGTTATCTAATATGTTACTTTGGAGAGTGAACTCATGTAACATTTATATATATATATATATATATATATATATATATATATATATATATATATATTTATCTTATTGTTATGTATATTGATAAATTGAGTGGTGAATTTTTTTTAAGTATATAAATTTATTTAGTCTTAATACGTAAAAAAATTTAGAAACATGAAAGTCCACCAAATCCAACTTATATATAAATGTGAATAAGCTATTCCTAAAAATGTATATATTTAGTTTCATATATTGAAGAATTAGTCTTTTAAATTGTTATTTTAATTTTGTTAAGCTTTTATAAATAATTTTTTTGTCATATAATATAAATCCCATTAACAATTGATTTTAATCATTTCAAGATATTACACAATAGTCTGGTTTTATTTGTAATATTGAAAACCTATCCAAGAAATAAAAAGTTTATGTAGATAACTTTATTTCTCTTTATTAAATTTTTAAAGTCTAAATATATATTAACTAATATTTGTCTTTATTTCAATTAGAATAATATCTCAAAGTAAGATCTTAAGTGGGAGAAGCAATTAAACAAATTTGGCAGCTTCATTTATCCTAATGTTAAAAATTATTGAAACCATAATTATTGTTATATAAACTTTAAAAATAATATTGTATTTTATTTCTTATTTTAGTGTAATATGCGAATATACTCGCACTAGTGAATTTTTTTATGACGAGTTATTTTAGACTTTCTATATAATTTTACAATCAACATAAATCTAGGCGACATAAAAATTATAATTTTTTATGTCAATTATTAAATAACCAATATAGTAAGTACTTATTATGTCGATTCTTAATGTAACCGTTATAAAAAAATTTGTGTTAACTATTTTTTATATAATATTTTTTTCATAAATATTTTATCAAACAATTTCAATATAACAAATTTTGAAAATGAAACACAAATATTATCCACATACGAAAAATAATTAAACATAAAATGTAGATATATTCACTTAAATTTGATGAAAAATATTTTATAAAATAAAAAATTCATAATAATAATTGCAATATAACATATTAGAACACTCAATTAAATCAAATAATAAAATATAAATCAATATAGAAAAATGAAACAATACTTCCATGGTTTACCTTGTAAATGTAATTACTATGTCATCTACTGAATAAAAGTTATAATTTTAGCAAGTATTACTAATTTTTGGACGAAGATAATTCATTTTAATATTATATAAATTTATTTATTTTTATAAGTATTTTATGTTAATAATACTTAAACTATTGTTTGAGCTATTTTAAGATCCATAGAGATGAACACTGATATTTTACAAATAAAGAAACAAAGAGCCAATTTTTTTTTAATATAAAATTTATGATAATTATGAATTTTTTAAACGTAGATATTTAAACTTTTTGTAAATTAGTTTCATATATATATATATATATATATATATATATATATATATATATATATATATGTACTTTAATAATTACATGTAATTTAGTTGTATTTTGAATGGTTAGGTATATAAAGGAATGTTTTTTAATATAGGTTTGGTTGGTTAACAAAATCCAAAACGGCATATAACAAAGCCAAAATTTATATAAGATAGTCAATGAAAATTTACATCGAATCCTATACTACTTGACATAAATTTACTCCGACCAAAATATACGCACTACTTAACGTAAATTTTAACCTTTTTAAAAATTTAATTAAATTGTTTTATATTTATTTCTCTATAAATTTGATGTAAATTCACGGTAATGTTTCGATAGTACGATATAAATTTATGTTTGTTAGAATATTTGACGAGAACTTTAATTTGATGTAAAAAACCAATAAAAAAACCCTATCAATACTAATAAAAATTTGTAACTGTTTTAATGGAGTGTTTGAATACATATTCCTGCCTCTAGAAAACACTTCGCATCAAGTAAATAAAGAAAGTCAGCAAAGCCAAGCGCGTGACACCCAACAAACACAACCTAGAAAGACAAGAACACAAAACATTAAAAAACAGCCCAAATATTAGCTAATAATGAAAGAAAAAACAACACCATTTACATGGTTAAGCGTTCCCGTATTGGATATTATCGTTATTATTATCATAATAACAATAAGAATGTTATGGAATAGTTTCATGTAAAAGTTACTGTCAATTATCATTTCCAAAATTAAAATACCTTTGCTTGGTAAGGTTAATAATGACAATTGAATAGGAGACCGGTAGCACCGTAATTATGATCATAAATAGCTTCACTTGCTCAGTGAAGAGTTTACTTAAAGAGGGGTATGGGAGATGCAACAGAGAAAGCTCTTAGTACATGAGTGACAGCGTCAATCTCCACCTCAAACAGCATCCATGGCTGCTCATTGTCAAGGAGGAAGTGATATTCTGCCTATCCATTTCTTCAAGACCATTCTTGAAACTAATCTTCAAAGGCTTGTAAGTTAGCATTCCTTCTTATAATTGAAATATTTGCTATTGATAAGAGATTGAGATTAATTACACATAGATATTTGATTACAGAAACACCTAGCTAGTATAGGAAAGTGATGCATGTGACCATTTTCACACACTAACCAGCAGGTTCTTTGCAGAAATTACCCAACAAGTTTGTAATGAGATATGGAGGTGAATTGCCAAATCCAGTGTTTATGAAGCCTATGGATGGCACTGAATGGGAAGTGTACTGGGCAAATCATAATGGCGAGATCTGGTTTGAGAAAGGGTGGAAAGATTTTGCTGAGTATTATTCCCTAGATCAAGGACATTTCATTTTCTTTAAATATGAAGGAACTTCCCATATTGAAGTACTCATACATGACCAAAGTGCTCTAGAAATAGCTTATCCTTCTGCTAGCACTCGTGATGAAAAGGACACTCCAGACAACAACAGTGAGGATGAGTGTCCAGATCAAAAGGCTACACAAATAGCAGGTCATAATCTCATGATTTCATTACTTTTTTTAAAGAAGTTACAGTGTCTTTTTATATAACAAAGAAGTGTGATATTTATAGATGGAAATACACTTGGAAGTAGCATATTGCAGCATTCATTGTTTAGATTTTTGAATATCATGTGGGTCAAAGTTTTTGTTGGTGATACCTAAACAAAAAAGAGTTGAAACCACCAAGCATGGTGAGACTTTTTTGTTTTGCATTTGACAGGTGAGAAGGGCACTCGAAAAAAATCGTTGAACTGGCCACTAGAACCTAGAGCACAGGAAGTAGCAAGCAATTTCATGTCACGCAATCCGTTTTTCACAGTTTTCTTGAAGCCTTTACATGTGACAGGATACCAGCTGGTAGGATTAAACACAGAACAATTTACATTCATTTAGTCCTCGGTTCTGTTCTAACTATGACAATACAAATATATACATATTATGCAGCATGTACCATATTTGAAAGACATTATTGATATGAAGGAAAAGTATGTGGTGGCGCTGCAGCTTGGGAAAAGATCATGGAATGTAAAGTTGATCCCTTATCACGACTTTCGTGCACACAAGTTCTCTGGTGGCTGGTCCTTATTTGCAAAGGAAAATAAATTGCAACCTGGAGATGTTTGTGTATTTGAACTGATTAACATGGAGGATTTAGTTTTTAAAGTTCATGTTTTCAAACAGCAGAGCTAATCTTGATTGTTGAGAAATTTGAAAAATTAAGTAATGTATAATATATCATTCCATTGGGTTACCTTTGCTCGTTAATTTTGAAATATTGGAAGAAAAAATGTGTTTTGGTCCATAAGATTGAGATTGAGAACATATGTCAACTTCATCTTCAAGCAATTTATTCATGAAAAAACTCATTTGTTCCACAGAGCAAAAGTGAAATAGTCAAATGTTTGAATGTGTTCATATCTCAAACACATTGAGAGTCATAAAACCATATTGAGGTACTCCAAACATGTTCTTAGCATTTAAGATAGTCTTGGCACATATATCTGTTTGTGTATTTTCTTGTTTTTACAAAAAGTGCAAATTGAATGATCAACAAAATATAATAATATATTGATTAAAAATATATAAATAAAAATTAAACAAAAAATATGATATATGTTTCAAATTTGTTGTATTTGATATATATTTATATTTTCAAAATTCATATGCATAATTAATTATTTTTAGAGGTATAGTGACATTACCCAATTCATTAATTCGTACAGATAATAAAATTCTTATCAATTGTAACCGAAAGAAAACCTATACTGATAATACATAAATATATAAATTATATGTAAATAACGTTCTTATTCTTATTTACTAATAATATTTTGTGCATCGTAAATGTTCTTTTATTTATATTGGTGAATATAAAATATGTAATTTATCTGAGGATCTAGTCTAAGTAAATTAAGACTAAAAGTAATATAACGAGAGTAAATTTAAAATTTTACCGATTAAGTTAAAAAAAATTATAAATAAAAAAGTTTAAATATTCACAAAATCACAATTTTTTTACAAATTTTTTTTATCCGCCATTTCATTAAATTTCTTATTTCATCTCTCATTTTTTTCTAGATCTAAATGCACCTTGAGGAGAGGTGATTAATTCTATCTAATCAGAATTTTGAATAAAATAAGTTTTTCGTTTCCTAATTTTAAACTATTTTGCATGTTTTAGTTGAAGTCTACATGTGAGTCCTAAGAGGTTTGTTTGTAGACTTTGTTGTGAAAAGATGAATATTGACTAGTTTAGGAACATTATAATATACTCAATTTGTTAATTTGAGTTTTTTGTGAGCAAGATCTTTATTTTTGAAAATTTAGGAGTTTTAACTTGGAGGCACTGTATTAAGGTAAAAGAAGTTAGTTATTCTTCAATTTTCACAATACTCTAGGCTAGAATATCTGAATTGTGAAGGTGACTTGATCACATTGTTTAAATTTTAGGAATTTAGATTATGTGATTATGTATGTGTTGATTGGTGATTATTGTATAGAATGTGAATGTAAAATTGATTTATATGAGAGTGAAAAAGATAGTATTTTGTATGAATGTATTGTTCTTATATTGAAATTAGTGAGTGAATTTACGATATAAAGGATAAGATTTAGGATTAATTTGATTTGGAACATTAGAAAAATGGTTTTGAGCAGATTATGCAGTATGTTGTTGTCACGAATTCGTCCATCAAATTTAAGACAGTATTGAAAGCGTTTGCAATTTGATCAACGCTTTCAGATTCGCCAAACGGATTTTGGACAGTATTTGAGGTTCCATTTTATACTCAGTGAATTTGAAATTCACTTAACGTTTTCATATTTGCTCAATAGTTTTCAAAAAATCATAAAAATAACTTTGAACTCCAAATTTAATATTCCATTTATGAAAATTTAAGTCCGGGAAATAAGGAATCCAAATAAAATAAAAAAATAGCTAAAATGGATGTCTATAAAAAAGTTATGATCAAAAGTAGAGGTCAAATTAGAAAAAAATTATGTTTTGTTATAATGTGATAAACAATGTGTACATGTCTTAAGTTATTAAAATACATATTATGAACATGAAATAAGGTGTATTGAATTCTATTGTATATCTTGAAAATTTTATAATATGAGAATTGTCAAAGAGTGTTCTTATATGTATAGTGTTGTATATATAGATAAATATTGATTTAGGACTCGATGAGATATCGTAACTCTACTAATCACAGAATTAGGTAATTATAATTTATATAGTTTTACTGTTGTTATAATTTATATTTTTCATTTATGATGAATAATTTAAATTATATTTGTTCTGGAATAAAAGAGAGATGTCCCTTTTAGGTTTTTTTCCTTCCCCTTTATAATCAAATTTCCCTTTAGAGTTTTTCTCCTAGCGCATTTATTGGGCCCAATAATATCTTATTCCCAGTACTATCTACACATTAGACCAATTAGGTATCAATCAAGTTCATCTTCCCCAAATAGGTTTATCTTGACCCACTTTACTCATGTAGTTGGACCCGAACCCAACCAGACACAATCTCTATGCACATACCACAACCCCCAAGTCTTAAATTAGAAAAATATTTATAATGCAAAGACTAAAAATCGAAATAAACGTCGAATACACTTCATTCCTTAATATTTCATGATATAATTGCGAAATTCAACCACTTAAATGAAATAAACAACCCTTAAAAATCATACTTACAGTGACCATCGTCTTGATGTAGAGTGTGAAAATTGTTTCTGCGTGTACTTAAATTTAGACGAAGATTAACCTGCTTAGGTCGCATTTCGACCATAATGTGCATTTCATACATAGTGCGGATTTCGCACATTGCTCGGTTTTCGAGCGTAGTATGGATTTCGTACGTAGTGTGGATTTCGCACATTGCTTGGTTTTCGAGCGTAGTACGGATTTCATACGTAGTGCGAATTTCGCACATTGCTCGGTTTTAGAACGTAGTACGAATTTCGTACGTAGTGCGGATTTCGCACATTGCTCGATTTCGAGTGTAGTACGGATTTCGCACACTGCTCGGTTTTAGAGCGTAAGTCCCATTTTGATCATAATATAAATAGTTAAAGAATGTCCGAAGGGACCTTTTTATTGATATTTTTACCTCGTTCAAAACCTTGAAAGAAAAACCCGATTGTTTTGTAAAAAACTTTCTCAAGGTCTAACATAGATATTAGAAACTAAAAAATTGAAATTGTATAAAATTATAAAAGATAAAATAACATGTGTAAGGACTAAAATATATAATATTGATTAAAAAATGGTGTAACTATTACATTTTTTTTTTAAATTGTGTAAAGACTTAAAATATTTAATATAAGAGGATGAATATATTATTTTAAAATAAAAGTTAATTTTTTTATTATCATTATTTAATATAATGATCTGAAATAATTATTATTTTTGAAATATGTAAGTGCTAAAGAATAAACAAATTTTTTATCTCGATTAATTTATAATATATAAATGTTTTTTAATATAATAATATTATTTTAATTTAAAAAAATTTATCATTTATAATGTCTAATAAACCTATATATTAATTTAGTTTAATTTTATTATTTAAATAAACTAGTTCAAATTTAGTTTAATTTTATTTAGACTATAAATTTAATTTGTCTAATTTAATCTATTTCTTTAACTTTTTGGACCCTTATTATGTTAAGTATATTTTGGATAACCTTATAATTGATTAGTAAAATTTAATTGTATCCTAGACAAATAAATTAAAATGATATTTTAAAATTATATGAATTAAAAATATAAATTTCAACTTATTGGATTCTTTTATAAAAAATTTATTAATTTAATTATTAACCTTAAGTATATCAATAAGTTATATTATTTTTCTAAAAATATCTTTAACAAATTTATTCATTTAATATTAGACACCTAATTAATTAATATTTAAAACGAGAATAATAATTATATATTTTATTTCTCTTTTCTCAATTCTAAAAATTATAATAAAAATAGTATTTTAATTTTTATCCTACCCAAGCAAATTGAGAATTATTTTTGTGATTAGCATGAGGCTCGGTAACGAATTTTGTTATGTATTTGACAAATTATCCTTAAAAAATAGAGAAATAATTATTTAAAAAAAATAAAAAAATCTAAATATTAAAAAGTACCTTTAAAGAACATAATGATATAATTTATAATATATTATTTAAAGTTAGTATGCATGTCTTTCATTTTATATATGATTTTAGAGAGTATGAGTTGAGAGAAGGATTCAGAAACACGAGTGGAATAAATGATTTAAATTGATTAAGATTAACAATAATAAGAAGAATGAGAATGATGAGGTACTTGCCTGAAGTTCAGTGGTGACAGGGTATTTATTCATGTCGACGTAATTTTTGTTAATGGCAGCTATTATGAGTTTATCGCATTCAGGCTCCATTCACGTCGTCACAAAGGACACCAGGTTCAGCCTCGGATTTCCATCCACCATCAGCTCGTCGTTTATGATCTGGTACGCCGCTTCCTTCGGGATCGATTGCAGAGACGGAGGAAGAAGGAGCAAGAGAGGAACAATGGGTGTCTCTAACGAGTCCTTCGAGGATTTGTCTATAAACCTAGGTAGGGTCTTGTTTCGATTGTTGGTACGAGTCATCATAATTATTTTAAATGTGGAGTAGGAAAAGTTTTACCTGCCCCACGGTGGGCGCCAATGTTCTGGAATAAAAGAGAGATGTCCCTTTTAGGTTTTTTCCTTCCTTCTATAATCAAATTTCCCTTTAGGGTTTTTTTTCCTGACGCATCTATTGGGCCCAATAATATCTTATTCCCCGTACTATCTACACATTTGGCTCATTAGGTATCAATCAAGTTCATCTTCCCCAAATGGATTTATCTTGACCCACTTTACTCATGCAGTTGGACCCGAGCCTAACCAAACTCAATCTCTATACACATACCAATAATATAAGATAATTTTAATTATCAATAATTTTTATATATTAAAACTTAGCATAAAAAGAAACTTAAAAAAATCGATTTAAAAAAATCGATTAATCTATTTTTTTAAATCTCTGTATTCACTTATAATTACTGATTCAGATATTATTTACGAAAACTGTAAGTTTTAAAAACATGTTGACATTTTTTTTAAATAGTTGGGTGGTATATTATGTTAAACTAAAATTACTTAATTTTATAAATTTAAAAGAGA